CAGACAAAAACTCTCAATAGTTTCATGGACTCTCCAACTTGTTAAACAAACAGGATAATCGTTCCGTTGTTCTACAGCCGTGGTGACTAAATCACCTCGGTTAGAAATCTATGTAAACAGAAGACACACAACTTTGGTAATTAGTGTATCGTTGCTCTCAGCCTGATCTAGAAGCGCAGATATCCTCCGTACTGCATAATACAGTTACATGATTGCTCAAAATAATCCTGAATCTGCCAGATTACCAGATTGTGCATTATGAAATTCCCGCATCAAAACATTTAACTCAGTAGGGGGAATTAAGTTTAGCTACTGATAGAATATTTGGTGTATTCGTTTTGAAATATTTTTGTCAACAGGCCCAGGATTGTCACTGTTCCACTGAGAGGTTCATTTTGGCCCATGGGCGAGGCATCTTTATTGCACAGCAAGTGTGAAGAGACATTTATCAAATTGTACCCAAGTGAACATGAAAATGGAGACTGTCGCAGAATACTTCAGAATAGGAGCTAATGGACTCCAAGTACATATACGTTTCAGTTTATTTTTTATTTCTAGGATACTTGAGCAATACAAACCCATTGGGAAATTATGTTAATACCACTACCTTTTTAGAATCCTTTTGGCTGCTATACATTCAAATGACGTGCAGCTTTTACTGAGTGTACCTAATAGTTCATCTACAGGTTTCACATCTCATCTTGAGGAATTTCGTGTGTGGAAATGTGCAGTATAAATGTGCCAAATTCAGCTTTTCTTGTATAAACAGGATGCTTCTTGCTGATTTTAGTTAAGTTTTGTTATCAATAATACAAGATGCAGCAAAGGTATGGCTTTAAGAAACATTATTGAGGATGCCACATACAATCTACTAGTAGTCTTTGATGTAAGAGAATGTACTGTATATTCTAAAGCTTTCTACAAGCTGTTAAGATAATTATTAGCTCTATCAGTACATGAGGGATCACAACTGCTTGCTCAGCTTATACATCCCTTGTGGACTAAGTGATTTATGGGATTGATTTTGGTATGTGTGAGAACTGTATCACGGTTGGCTTCTGTGGATTAATTTGGAGATACGCGAAGTGATACATTCATCACGGGCGAGAGAGTCAATCCACATCTGAGATACGTAATATGCAGTAAGATTATTCAACCTTTACTCGATTCCCTGTCTTTGTAAACTCACCTGACTTGGCTAGTCTTAAATGTAGAATCACAGTTTGAGTCATTCCATGAATGTTCTCGTATCTCGAACGTTAAGCTTTGAGTAGTGGCTTGTAAAATAAAGGAAAGATTGACTGTCTAGTGCAGTATCATTGTCAGTTGGAACCTGTTCATAGTAATAAAATTGTGCTGGCTGTTTTTGGATCAGGTTTGTGATGAAAGAGCCAGGGCCATACAATGCAAACAGGACATCTACTTAGATGTTCTAGACACTATTGATAAAACTGAAACATTACTCTGTGATTACTGTGATAATCAATACATTGAACTATGGTAATGCGCCTCTTGCTGCAAGTTCTGGATAGAAGGGAAAGCTTACTCTTGTGTAGTCCTAATTTTCAAACTTCTCTCCTTCAGATAAGCCTTCAGGGACATAACTAACCACTCGATAAGCAATTGAAAGTCTAATAATTGTGACCTGTTACATTTAGGTTTTTTTTCTTTAAATATAATGTTTAACATAATGTGAACAGTGTTGGTTAGAAGGGATTCTAGCCACAACTAGAGATGGAGCAGGTGCCAGCCAGCACAAAGAAATCACAACCACGTGTGGCTGCTTTAACAGAGTGAATAAGCAAGATATTTGTACAGATGAAACTTTAAATGTTAGTGTTTTTAATAAATGTTGCTTAATGTTATAGAGCCAAACCACAGGTTCACCAAACTGGAAGAAGTGCCATTAAATTAACTCTGAGTGTTAACCGCTTCACTGTCAGAGGGACCTTCAGCGCACTGCATCCCTTCTAGAAAAGACGGGGTTATGATGCACCTTATGAAACTAGTGTGTATTCTGAATTGTATTGTGAGAGGGGGGCTTTTTTTTTGTTTTGTTTTTTTGGTTCGTTTGGTTTTTGCAGGGTGGGAGCTATTCTATTTTTTCCAAGATGTTCTAGACTTGAACATCCAGTCCACTCAGTTTCTCTTAGCAGAAGTAACAATCCTTTAATGTCCTCTTTGTGCAGTTATCTTGGAGCTATCTTCTATGAATTGTAGACGTTGTACTGTAAACTTTCCATGCCACTACTACGACCGAAGCATTCGTTTGTAACCTCAAACGAAAGAAATAACTTTGCATTTTTATTTATTTTTTATTCAAATCATGTGACTAAAAATACAACGTATGTACACATTTTTATTTACCTTTTACAAAATCCATAAAGAAGTCATAAAAATGAACATGTACATTAACAGAGTAAAGTGTCCCTAGTGGATACTCCAGATTGTGGCGGTAAAAAGCATTCTTCTTTAGAACAAGTGGCTCCATGCTGCAGTTACTAAATCAACTGGAAGCCTAGAATATTGGGTGTAATTATGTGATATTTAATGGATTAAACAAATTGTTTCATGCCATTGAGACATTGTGAAGCATTTCTCAGTTTTATGTTTTCTGTACAACAAAAAGGAGTGATATGTTTTACTTTTTACATTTGGTAGCCTTACTTACCAAAGTTTTAGCACAGAATTGTTTTACTGTTTATTTTTTTTCCTGTTGTTTAGGCGTAGTTTGGTGGAGCACATCCATAGCACAAGCTTAAAATCAAGTACTGAGTATGTCCTCTAGCTAAATGTGTGCATGTCACCTGGTTGTATCTGCGCAAATTTATTTGTACTGTATGTGTACAGAAATAATAATAAAAATAGAAAAATGAGCTTGTCTTATTCTGAGCACTTTTCAAACATGTCATAACTGCTGGCATAATATGTATTTGGGTTTGCGAAGAAAAGAACATATTCACAATTTGTGGAAAACCACATTTTTTGGGGGGCGTACGTTTTTCTAGTATTAAAGACTAATAATAAACACAATATGTCAGACTCTGAAGATAGCGTACAATTTATGCCTGTTTTACTGAGCTATAATATTAACCATGAGAATGTGCTTTGATTATGTCACTTCTAAGGGTGTTATGGATATTTGAAATAAATTGTTAATTAGAAACATTAGAAAAATTCAAAATTAAAGTTTTGGGGGGAAAAAGGACTAACAAATTAAAAAGTGATTTAGGATACAAAAGTTATCACATATGAGCACTTTATTTAGCCTTGGGTATGGTTACGATAAAGGACAACTCTGAAGATTATACACTTTCCAAATGGTGAGCAAGAACATGAAGTTAAAAAATATATGCATATGGAAATACAAACTATGTACACATGGCTAGTATATAAAGATATTGCTAACCAGGATGTATATTCAGAAGCTTAATGTAGTTGTTCTGGTGAGTATAATAGCTCCCTATCCTGCCACCGGGCCCGTCACTCCAGGGGGCCCGGCCACCCTGCAACCAGGTACCCGCTGCCATCTTTTGCGGCCGCGGCCTGCGCAGCAAACTGCCAGGGCCTCCGTCAAAGGGGTCCATCGGATGGCCCATGCTGTCAGGGCCACCCAATGTATATGGATTGTCAGGGGGCCTGGTCAACGCTGGGTGCTTTAACAGCGCGACTGGGCCCCCTGTGATGACGTCAGACACTGGGGGGAAGTGACTGCACGTCACTCCCAGCCTACACAGAGCCGGTGTGGGAGGAAGCAGAGGAGGGAGTCAGAGTGGAAACTGACTCCCATCCACCTGAGCAACCATTGGACCCCAGGGAAAGTCACCCTCCTGCACCTAAAAGGTGGGAAACAGAAGGGTGACTTAAACATTGTGTGTGTGTTTGTATGTATGTGTGCATGTCTGTATGTGTGTCTGTCTGTATGTGTGTCTGCCTGTATCTATGTGTGCCTGTTTGTCTGTATGTATGATCCTGTCTGTGTGTCTCTGTCTGTATGTATGATCCTGTCTGTGTGTGTCTGTCTGTATGTATGATCCTGTCTGAGTGTGTCTGCCTGTCTGTTTGTATGTATGTGTGTATTTCTGTCTGTGTGCGTGTATGTCTGTGTGTCGGTCTGTATGTATGTGTCTGTCTGTTTGTATGTGTGTGTGTGTGTATGTATGTATGTGTGTCTGTCGGTGGAGAGAGTGGGGGGAATAGGGTGGGGGGGGGCATGGATCAGTTTCGCAACAGGGCCCCATGGATTGTGTGCCCGCCACTGCCTCTGGGGACACCTCCAAGTGACCACTCCTTAGATGGCCACTGCTGCCGAAAAAGCAACTCTGACTTTCAGCGTCCCCACGCTCTGCATGGAGATGCTGAATTTTCCTCCTAGAGATGCATTGATTCATCCCGATTTTAGCCAATCCAATGCTTTCTTTATGGGAAAGCATTGGATTGGTTAAAAATCTGCCGTTTTGCTGATGTCACAAAGGTGGCGGTGCCAGCGCCGGCAGACTCATGCAGCGCTGGAAATAAGGTGAGTTTTAAACTTTTATATGGGGGCAAAGGGGCAGCTGGCCACCTAAATGGTGGGTTAAACACTATAGCGTCAGAAATACATGTTTGTGTTCCTGACCCTATAGTGTTCCTTTAAGAAGCCATTTAAAACCAAAAAAGAAAATAAATATTTCTCTGTTTCAAACCGGAATCTAAATTCAATCTCAAACCAAGTAAGTTGGCTACCAGCTTGCAGAGTGTGCTTCACCATTGGCTTGGACAGTAGCACCACCTCTGTAGGTAGTTCCAGGGTTGAAGTGGTGGTTTGCACATATCTTTTAATGTCAATGTGGTTTAAAGAAATAATTCATTCCACAGCCATATGATTTTATATATACAATGGACTTTTAAACATGTTATTCTATTTTATTTACCTGAAGAATTCTTGACAATTCACAGTTTAGTGAATAACCCTGCATTTATTTTCTTAAATATTTAAACGGGTAGAAAGGCACTTGTGTGATTTAACCTTATTATAGACACTGATAAGACAAACATTAAAACCACTAACAGGAGAATGTGAATAACATTGATTACATTGTTACAATAGAACCCATCAAGGCATGAGATTAAATTAGGCCTCAAGTGCTTTGTCACTTTTTGAATTTGTGCTGGAAGCAGGACAAATGACCAAGAAAAAGATCTAGTGACTTTGACAAGGGCCAAAGAAGACCGGGTTAGAGCATCTCCAAAATGGGGTATTCCCGGTAAGCCGTGGTTAGTACCTACCAAAAGTGGTGCAAAGGAGGACAACTGGTGAAGCAGAGCCAGGGTCATCAGTGCCCAATGTTCATTGCAGCACCATGTGGAGTGAATGCTAGCCTGTCTAGTCCGATAACACAGAAGAGCTGCTGCAGCTCAAATTGCTGAAAAACGTAATGCTGGCCACGATAGAAAGGCGTCCGGACACAGAGTGCATCACAGTTTGCTGCTTAGTAGCATACTGGTCAGAGTGCCTATGATGTCAACTGCTGAAGGTGCCTTCAATGGGGACAAGAGCATAAGTACTGGACCTTGGAGCTATGGAAGAAGGCTGTCTGGTCTGATGAATCACTTTTTTTTTTTCTTTTCGATCAGGTGGATGGCCAGGCAATGAGCTGTAAGTAGCCCTTTAAAGGCTGCTCAACTACCGGTATTGGCAGTTCCAGACTCAACATTTTTGTATACCTAACAATCTAAGGTTTGTTAAACCCTATATTAAACCTCCTTTTCTTCTCTTAAAAGTGCAGCACAGTTCATGTACTTGTCTTCTTTGCTCTGTACCAATGCTCTTCAAGTGGTATGTGATTGGCAGTGTATCAGTTACCTAAATAGGCTCATAGGAAACCATGACAGACAATGTTAAAATCGGTTATGGAGGGCAGGCGGGGCTTGGACGCCACACTAGAAGGTTGCAGGCAACTTGAGCTTCTTCCTTGCTGAGATTCAACAGTGTTCCAAAGAGTGTAAATACCCTGTTGAAGGACCACTCCACACCTGTCACTGCTGGGGCAACTCTAAAGTGGGTTTCAGACTTGCCATCCTTGCTCTCCGGCAGCTGCGGCCTATACCTTGTTGCAGCCTGGTGTTTCCATGGCGGGAGAAGCAGCTGATCTCCACGTCCGGGGTCACCAAAGCTTTGCCTCGTGCCAACAGTCTGAGCCCTGCACTCCCTCTCTCTGGGCCGGTGGGGGTTATTCCAGCCTCCACCAAGCAATCGCTTACCCCTGCACTGCTCCAGGGCGACTCGTGAAGGTGCCCTCCACTTGACCTATCCAAGGTGGCTGACAGCAACATAACACACAACCATACACCCCTCAGAAACCGAGAAGCCGAATTTCTGCAACAATTTGATACCATGTGCCAGCGGTTCTGGAGAGGCTGAGAGAATCGACAGAAGACACCTACATTACCTGCACCTGCAGCTCAATCTCCAGATGGAGCGCCGGTACCCTCCCGGGCGGAGAATCAAGAGCGTTCACATACCCAACCGTAGTCCACGTTCCGGGGGACGATATCGCCGCCCGGGATCTCAAGACCTCCTCCCAGGGAAGGAGAGAGCGGCCTGTGGACATGAGGAGACGGTTCCTGGCAACACCTGGGGCTGTTGTGATGCTGCAAACTGCAGCACCACGGGAGGCTTGATTTCCCTAGTGTACCTGTCTGGACTCGGCCTGGCCCTCACAGGCATAGGCTGAGTGGACTAATATCATCTGGTCTGGGAGGGTAGCTATTACCCTGAAAATATTGCCAATGTTTATACCTTGCTACTATCTATAGCACAATGCTGGTTTGCCTATTATGTGCCCCTTCACTTGGTACTCAAGTCAAAGATCTGTACTTGCTCAGTATTTAAATAACTTGGTGGTCCCAACCTTCTGTAGTTTATATTGTGTAGTCAGTCAACCTAGCTGAACATCTTATATCACTATTGCCCTGACTCACAAATGTTGACTCTAGTCTATTATGTTTCCCTCTATATAAAATGTGCACCACTCACTGGCGTACATACCGCAGTCACAGGGGCGACCAGGCCCGGCCCACCCTGCGACCGGGTATGTACGCCAGTTTGTCAGCCTCTTCTCCTGGGGGGCCCAAGAGCTGGCCACCTCAAGGCACCCCGAGGCTGGCAGTGGCGTTACCAGGCGCGCGAGGGAGCATTCTCCTGAGTGCTCTCTGTTCACTCAGCTCCCTCACTGAACAGGAGCATCAGTGCTCCCTCGCTGCCTGCCTGACCGGCCCCCGGCAGCCCCACTGGACCCCAGGGAATCCCCTCAGCACTCCCAAAGGTATTTTCGCACCGAGGCCCCATGGATCGTGTGTACGCCACTGGCACCACTCATGACATTTTGTTCTGACAATGCAATTTCTATGCTCTATTTTTCAATATGAATATGTCTCAATAAGCTTATTTGACTAACAATGCACAAAGAAAATAAAGAATGTAAAAAAGATAAATAAATTAAATTAAAAAAAAAAAAATTCGGTTATGAAGACTTTTGCACATAGAAGGGATTTCCCAATGTGTAAATAATAGGGAGACAATTGGACAAGCCTATTTATCTTTAATGTTTAGTTGTACTGCTCAGTAAGATCACATTCTGTATTGCACCTAATCTTATTTTACACTGTGATTGTATAATGTGTTTTCCTCCACAGTGACCACAACAACTCATTTGAAACATTCTTTATTAAAATATATATTTAAAAAAAAAACTTGTCTCTTAAGTCCAACTGTTATGAGTGATTAACAAGACTGTATTTAGAAACATTCCCAGAGGAAAAGCATGAGCTCACACACTTAAATAGGGATTAAATCAGATCTTGGCTACTTCTGGTCTTTCCTGTGTGTTACATCCCTTTCTGGGGAGCTAAGCAACATAGTATACATTGTTACAACTTTGTGATTTCTATTGGATCTGACCAACATCTACTGCTTTGGAGTCCAAACCACCACTGAGTAAATTGCAATGTCGAGGTCTTCCTTTCAAAAGCAGCAAAGTGACTCAATCAAAATTTATCAGGAAAGGCTTCCATTTCCTCTTTGATCCGTTTCTCTATCCGCAACATGAGTTGACTGTCATTATTTGGGATATTGATACTGGCAAATACCTGTTTTGTAGTCTTCTTGGCTGTAAGACAAAATACAAACATTAAACCACAGCATCAACTTTGTCAACCCTTTCATAACAATCATGGCAGCTGCAGTAAAGGGTTTAACAGAACCTAATGATAAAGATTAGCATATGTTTCTCGGGGATTCATCCCAAACAACCAACATGGGAGAAGAGGAAGAAAGATAGAAAATAGGTTTTCTCATTTGTATGATCACATCTCTGAAATATTCTCCCAAGTCTGTGATTTTTAGAAATTGGCTATTTTGTGTATAATTTTGTAATTTGAATTTCAATTGACCGCATTGATCCATTTACATAGTTACATAGCTGAAAAGAGACTTGAGTCCATCAAGTTCAGCCTTCCTCACATTAGTTTTTTTGCTGTTGATCCAAAAGAAGGAAAAACAAACCAGTCTGAAGCACAATTTTGCAACAAGCTAGGAAAAAAATTCCTTCTTGACCCCAGAATGGCAGTCAGATTTATCCTTGGATCAAGCAGTTATTACCCTACATTGAAAGATATCCATTTAGTAAATAAATGCCAGAATCCAGAAAGGGGAGAATTTTATGTGAATTGCATTCAGAAAATGAATCAGAAGAGTAGTTCTGAGTATAACAGCAATTAAATGTGTATTTTGTTTAAAAATTATTGTGACACTAAGCACCAAAACTACAAATGTAGCCTATTTTCTCTAGCAATTTTGACATTTTGCCTAAAAGGTTTTTAGTGGTCTAAAAACAAAACAAAAAGTCAGAATGGGTACACTATTAGCTTAGAAAGGTCTTAAAGGACAACTGTCATCAAATTAGATTTATTTTTTCTTCATTTTTTAAAACTTTATTACATGTGATGTAGCAATGATTTAAAAAAATTATTTTACATAGGCTGAAAAAAGACTTGCATCCATCAAGTTCAGACTTCCTCACATATATTTTTGCTGTTGATCCAAAAACGACTATTTAAAAAAATAGACTCTACAGTTATCTGACAAACTGCTACTCAATTTGCCTGCTGCATGACTGCTCTCTGTTAAACTGCAGCAGGCAAATTAAGTTGAGCAGCATTTGCTCATGCAACAGTAGAGTCTGACCCAACATGGCTGCTCAGCCAGATAAGTTAAATATTCTATATAAAATTTTATAGATAGATATAGATAGATAAACACACAGACCATTTTAAGATATTACATTTTATTAAATTTAAAACACTTTAAAAAAAAAAAAAAAAAATGAGTGAAAAGTTGAGGACAGCAGATTTAAAGGGACGCTAGTGTTACCAAAACTACTTTAGCTTAATGAAGCCGTTTTGGTGTATCGATCATGCCGCTGATGTTTCACTGCTCAATTCACTGTCATTTAGGAGTTAAATCACCTTTGTTTCTGTCCATGCTGCCCTAGCCTCAACTCCCCTGGCTGTGAGTCACACAGCCTGAATGAAAAAAAAAAAAAAATGGTTTCACTTTTAATCAGTTGTAACTTACTCTAAAATTTTTCTTTTTATCTCCTGCTCATTAAATTGAACTTTAAGGACACACACATGAGGCTCCCGTAGGCTCTAGAAAGCTATTAACAGAGTAGGAGATGAGGAATTCTAAACTACACAGAATTTGCAATAAAGGAAGTATAAACATTAGGTGACTCTTTACAGGAAGTGTTTAGGAAGACTGTGTGAGTCACATGCAGGAAGGTATAAATAGGGTGCATAAACAAAGTGATTTAACTCCTAAATGGCAGAGAATTGAGCAGTGACACTGCAGGCACATGATCTATACACCAAAACTGCTTTGTTAAGCTAAAGTTGTTTTGGTGACTATAGTGACTCTTTAAGTTTTAAGAAGAGAGGATCTAAATTTAAAAAATACTCCAAACACCTAAAGCACTTTAGCTTGCTACATTTGCTGTTGCAAATGGCCAGGGACACATCACACCCCAAATTAATATGAAGAAATCCAGTAAAGACTCAGTAACTACAAATAAAAGTTGTGGAAACATTTGAACTGTTCATTCAACTATCAGTAAATGGAATAAACCGTTACCCTTATTCCACAAGACGTGCTTTTGGAGCTGCTGAGTCTATACTGGATCTGTCAGGCAAATACCTATGGGATAAACTAGAACACTGACTGCTTGACATTTATATGATCTTTGTGACTAAATGTAAGTGAACCCTGTAGACATGTTTCCATCATCTACTAGAAACATCTCAGGGTGTCAATATATGACAGACAGGTCAAACACAAGTAAAGGATAACCCATACAAACCTAATCTCTGTGCAAAGGAGCATGAAGTGGTGTCTGATTTATCGCCAAGGATCAATGTAGATAATGGGACTGTGTCCTAAAAGTGAAGAACAGAGATTTTTGATTTCTTTAGTCAGCATATAGAAAAATACACAAAATTAAAAGAAGAATTGGATTTTTACTTAAAGGAGCAGTCTAGGATCCTTAACCACTACAAGCCCTCTGCTGACATACTCCACTAAGAAATGGTGTTAAAATATGGATGACATTGATATTACAAACGTGGAAATGAGACATGCACAGGGGAAATGCACAAAACAGTCAAGCTGCAAAAATTAACTAATCTAGGTATTTTTTCCTTGAGTTTACAGTTCCCTCTTAAATGATCTGTAATTGCAGGTTAGTTGAATTAAACTTTCGCCCACATTAGTGAGAAATTCACCAGCGGTTTACTCTTCAGAGATTATGATAGGGAACTAAAATGACCAATTTGGGTATGTTCTGCAAACACATCCTAGGTTTTTATCTTACATGTAAACCTATTGAGGAGCCAATATGAAAATTTTAGGAGCCAGGACAAAACTACTATTTTATAATGTACTGTATACAGTAAACTTGGACTATATACAGCAGTGTTTCTAGACCACATCATGTTGCACTGGTTATGGTACTAACAGGCTGCTGTGGAGCTGTCCCCCTTGGTTATTTCTTTTAATGGTTTGAACAGAACCAGATTCCCTGAGGCCTGGGCCATTCTGCTAGAGGTGGTGTTGACTTCTGCATTAGCAATAACCGTTTTAGTCATATTTGGGCAGCAGTAATAGACTGAGTGCATCAGCTGGCAGGTTCAGATATTTAATGTCATCCAAATATAAATGAGATTGATACTGCTAATGCAAATTTCAACCATTCCCAGTTAAAGCAGCACTGCCCTCCTCCTAAATAAGTATAAGTAGGGACAGTCTGCGGAGGATGCCACGGTCTTTTGTGATCTTCCATAGACGTCAGTGTTGTACTCTCATGCATGATGACAGGCCATGAGCTAAAGAGGACTGGCTGGAAGAGGATGATGGCGGACAGGTGGGAAAGGTTCAGGTAATTAAAACTCACCCCTTGGCCACTGTATTAAAACTAGAGGGGATTTTGCAAATTATGCAAAGACCTTGCCCCAAACAGTGACAGAGCTACTTTAAATAACTGGAAAATGGGATTACTCAGAATCAGGGGATACACCTGCAGCCTTCCATTACCATACTGACCACAATAGGATCCAGTTGTTATGGTTTGTGTCGTGACCCAATATAACTTTCACTACAAGTTGCTTACTATAGTGCCATTGCTTTATCCAGTGCAACAGAGACTACCCCTGATACTGCTATATTTTTTAGGAGTATTAAAAAAGTGAATTCAGTATGGAAATATGTTACACGTTAAAGGACCACTATAGTGCATACTCGTTTTCCTGGCACTATAGTGCCCTGAGGGTGCACCCACCCTCAAGGCCCCACTCCCGTGGCGCTGAGGGGGGAGAAAGGGGTCAATCCCTTACCTTTTTTTTCCAGCGCCGGGCTCCCTCGGCACTGGGACTCTCCTCCCTCTTCTGATGTCCCTGGCTGAATGCGCATACGCGGCATGAGCCGCGCGCGCATTCAGCCAGTCCATAGGAAAGCATTCTCAATGGACGCTGGCATCTTCTCACTGTGAAAATCAATGAGACAGCCACTAGAGGCTGGATTAACCTATAGGTAAACATAGCGGTTTCTCTGAAACCGCTATGTTTACAGCAAAAAGGGTTAAACCTAGATGGACCTGGCACCCACACCACTTCATTAAGCTGAAGTGATCTGGGTGCCTATAGTGGTCCTTTAAGAATGGGGACATACTAAAAGGAATGACAGATTGGAATGCCCATAGACTTTAACAAAGCAGTGGAATGCCCATAGACAATAATGGAAACAAAATATTTAAATTAGAGGCAAAACTATTACATATGTGTTGTGGAAATAAGGTCTACACATATTTCCTAATTAGTAAAAATGTCTATTTACTCATTCCACGATATACTATATGAAGCTATACACACGTGTTTTAATCAAGATGGCTGCTAGAAGCTTCTAACCCCTCCTCCCCCTCCCCTCTAACACCGACTAACTACCTCGTGCAGCAAGATGGCGCCGGAAAACCGTGGGAGACCCTCATGGTCCTGGTGACATCACCCTCAGTAGGCAGAGCATTAGGGAGACCACTTAACACCTAACCAATTACTGATGTATTATTCCATGTTATCTCTGACAATGCTTATGATGTAATTTTGCTTTATAAGGGACATGCCGTCCCCTCAGAATAAACATTCCTCAAGTTATTCAACAACCTGGAACCTGTGTCTGGTGTGAATTACTTCAGGGAGCGTGCACGCATTGTTTTCATTGATTTGGCCAGGGGCAGATACACAAAGAAATAATCAATGTATTAATTGATTTTTCCATTTCAATATGAAATGAATATATTGCAGGCTCACTCTCCAGGTTCAGTGTCAATTTTTAAAATTGAGATATTAAGTGGGATTATCAATGTCTTCTATAGAATGACAATGGTAATGGCTAAAGAGAATGCCCATAGATTAAACTGGGAAGAAAAATAAACAATTTGCAAGCAAATCTGTGTTATGTAGTAAATTTATCTTTACCACAGGTGTTCCCCAAGTGCAGCAGCAGATTTTAACCCCTTAAGGACGGAGCCAAATGTACACGTTGTGAACGAAACAAAATGTAAACAAAACCTGGCATTTGCGCTACATGTCTGTCCAACCGTAATTCACCTCTTTCATAGTAAATGCACCCACCCTTATTATATATCATTTTATTCAGGGAAACAGGGCTTTCATTTAATATCAAATATTTAGCTATGAAACATAATTTAATATGAAAAAAATGGGAGAAAATAAGATTTTTTTTTGATTTTTTTAGTTCTACATGACATTTTAACGGTCAGTGTCATAATACTGTTTGCTTTTACTGCAATAAAATACACATATTTGTAAGAACAGGACTAAAGTGAAGTGGTTACTCCACTAAAGATGGAAAGAATTGGACATCCACTTCACCAAATGATATCTCTAACTGGTTAAAATAATTATTAGGTATAACCTTTATTAAGCCGTCTTAAGGCAAAACAAAAAAATAGTACAGTGTAATAATGGTGAAATACTCGTGAAAAACAACACGTGAAATAAAAACTGGGTAGATGTAGTGTGGATATCCTCAAGATATAGTAAAGTGATATCTTCGCTGAAAATTATAGTAACAAGTAGGATATAGTACAACATATATTCAGTCGAATGCCACACAATCGTTCATCAAGGAGAAAAGAGAAAAGGGAAATACTTTTTCCCTAATCTGCAGGGATCCAAAAATATCCCAGCTTTATAGAGGTAAATCCACAGACAATCCCATAGATCCTAATAAACTTTACAAAGCATATACTTTAGATCTCAATAGATAATCTCCATAAGAGTAAATCTTATAATAAAGTTTGTCTAAAGTATTGCAAAAAAGAAAGAAAGTCTAGGGAGAAAAAGGGGAGAGACCCTGTATGTGTAGTTTGCTACTTAGTATTTAGTACCTAGATAGAGTATAGATAATTAGTGCTTAGTAGAGGGAGTATCACAGTATACAGGTGAAAGCTTAGATAAATCTAAGGAGGTGGTTAAGCAAAATAATCCTGGGGGTTAGTACATAGGTGTCTCATGATGATAGTACACTGAATTAAAAGTGCAGTCTTATATATATATATATATATATATATATATATATATATATATATATATATATATATATATATATATATATATAGAGAGAGAGAGGCACCACCCAACAGATGAAAAGATCTTTCCTTGGAGCACAAACCCACCTGGATAGATTAAAAAATCAAAACCTATACTGGCTAAATATAACTCCTACACATACTAAGCACTGCTGCTTCAAGGCAGCCTCACGCTACAGATCGCTCACTGAACGCTCTAAATAAGTATAACACATAGAGCTCCTAGTGACAATGCTTGCTGTTGCCGCGGAGGTACTAAATAAACTAGATAAGTGCTCCAAAAGAGTCCCCCAATATACGTGACTAAATCACTTCATACATCCCCCAGTATTAAGAACAAAGAAAACGGCAAACGCTCGACGCGCGTTTCGGCGTGATCACACGCCTTTGTCAAGAGCTACTGGCACAGCATGCTAAGGGAGGATAGATTTATACCGCAAAGGGTGCCGCCCACCAAGTTTCGTATTCCAATCCGCTTGACTGGGGGCGTGGTTATCTAATAACCGCACCCTCCTCCATCTAATAGCTTGTCAATCAAAGGTACCCGTATGCACATACAGCGTTCTTCGTTACTATAGTAACGCAACCAGCCTGATTGTGCACTACAGGTTATCTGTCAGCTCACAGAATACCTCTTCGGGATCCGTTATCAATATTGAGCAGATGTTACTACATATAGGGAGTATATTTAGATTCAACATTTTGTTACACCGGATTAACCTTAAAGTAATAAAGGGGATATACTTAGAAACCCCTTCATTGCAAAGGGGGGGAAAAGAGAAAATATACATCCCAGAGTCAATTATAAGGCTCAAAATGCGGTTATCATTTTAGTCTATCGATCACTGTGATAGTGATAATTACTGATATGGTATTAATTGAACTTAACCTCAATTAAGTGAGGATCAATCATGTGTGTTAATTTATTGAACACTGATCCACCATAGATGATGATTGAGTATGTTGTTAAATCAATTCTATATATTTATATATCGAGCAATGTTCTACCATAAGAATAAATTAAATATGTTATTAAATATTACTCCCACAATTGCCATATCATGGCAGATTATAAAGTATATCCATAGATTGACAAAGGCAGTATTACAGTCCAGAAAAGTGCCAGGTATAGAGCATAAATACCAAAAAATTATTATCATAGACATGGATCACATATAAAGTACATTATAAACAGACACATAAGTTTTCTATTATATTCTACATGAAAATATGGTGCAGAAGGTCTTAGAGAATAAAGATACTTATATGATCTTGAAAGCTGACCCTACAAACTCATTTTTAACAAAATATAAGGAAATATTGGATGAGGGCCGCAGTGGGGGGTTGCTGTCCGGGGATGAATATGAATTCATTTTGAATCGATGCCCCAGGATAGCAACCTTCTACTGCCTACCCAAAATCCATCAGAATACACAATTTCCACCGGGTCGCCCCATTGTTTCTGGAGTTGATAATCTGACTCAAAATGGGAGCCTGTATATTGAAAAAATAATAAGACCTTTTGTTGAACAACTACCTTCATATGTTAGAGATACAAAACAGGCATTATCATTTTTCTTGAATCTTCAGCTACCCACTTCAGCAAAGCTCTGTAGTTTGGACGTTGAGGCCCTCTATTCTTCAATTCCCCATGAACGGGGTATCGAACATACTAGATTTTTTCTAGATCAGAGAGGTCCCAATCATACTCTTCATACTGGGTTTGTACTAAAACTTCTAGGTTACATTCTGTCTCATAATTATTTTCTATTCCATGACAAATTCTTTCACCAGATAAGGGGGACGGCGATGGGTACGGCGTGTACGCCCTCCTACGCCAACCTCCATTTAGGCTGGTGGGAGTCACAGATCATGAAATCAAGCACCCTCTTGAGCTATGTACCTAAAATACATACATGGCTTAGGTATATAGACGATGTCTTTATTGTCTGGCTGGGTGATGAAGAAGACTTTAATGAGTTTGTCTCTCTGCTGAATGTAAACGAAGAAAATCTTAGATTTACATCAGAATTTGGAGGACAGACTTTAAATTTTCTGGACATAACCATCTCCATCAACATGAATGGGTCTCTGAAAACAACCCTCTTCAAGAAACCTACAGCATCCAATGCATTCCTCAGATGGGATAGCTTTCATCCAAGGCCCCTTAAACAAGGCATCCCGGTAGGACAATACTTGAGGGTACGTAGGAATTGTACGGACCTATCGGATTTTAAGGTAAAAGCAGCTCTACTAAGACAACAATTTCGGGAAAAAGGTTACCCGAATAAATGCCTTAAAAAAGCATATAAAAGAGCTATAGAACTTAACAGAGATGATCTTATTTTGGATCAACCTAAACAAAAACCGTCGAACAAGACTATCCGTATGATTGGGACCTTTGATACAGGATGGAACACAGTGAAAAGGTCAATTGATAAATTTTGGCCTATTCTTCTTAAGGATGTCCATCTTAAAGACGTCCTTAGCCCTAAGGCAACTATTACAGCACGCAGGGGAAAAAACCTTCGTGATATGTTGGTACCAAGCCATTTCTCAATGAAACAAAATAAATCGACATGGTTGGGCCGAAATCCCCCCTGTGGTTCCTATGGGTGTGGTAGATGCGTTGCCTGTAAGTACATCCTTCGGGACTCAAAGAGAGTCCAAGATAGTGCTGGGCAACAGCGTTTTGAGATTACCCATTTCTTTAACTGTAATACGGCTGGACTGGTATACCTTCTCATCTGTGACTGCAACATGATGTATGTAGGAAAAACTTTTAGACCTTTCAAGGAACGAATCAAAGAACATGTAAGATCTCCAAAAAACCGCATGGAAACTCCAATTTCGAGACATCTAAAAAACTGTCATGCGGGTGATTCCAGTATAATTAGGTTTTGTGGACTGGAATGGGTCAAACGTGATCAGAGACGAGGAGATTATGACAAACTCCTACGTCAAAAAGAATGTAGGTGGATATACAAACTAAAAACCCTTAACCCAAATGGCTTGAATGAAGGGTTTTCTTTTTCCCCCTACATCTAACACATAGGGTTTGGTCACTGATTGTAGTTAGAATGGAGTGACTATCACTAACTACACACTCTGTAAATATATGTAAATATGTAGAATATAATAGAAAACTTATGTGTCTGTTTATAATGTACTTTATATGTGATCCATGTCTATGATAATAATTTTTTGGTATTTATGCTCTATACCTGGCACTTTTCTGGACTGTAATACCGCCTTTGTCAATCTATGGATATACTTTATAATCTGCCATGATATGGCAATTGTGGGAGTAATATTTAATAACATTTAATTTATTCTTATGGTAGAACATTGCTCGATATATAAATATATAGAATTGATTTAACAACATACTCAATCATCATCTATGGTGGATCAGTGTTCAATAAATTAACACACATGATTGATCCTCACTTAATTGAGGTTAAGTTCAATTAATACCATATCAGTAATTATCACTATCACAGTGATCGATAGACTAAAATGATAACCGCATTTTGAGCCTTATAATTGACTCTGGGATGTATATTTTCTCTTTTCCCCCCCTTTGCAATGAAGGGGTTTCTAAGTATATCCCCTTTATTACTTTAAGGTTAATCCGGTGTAACAAAATGTTGAATCTAAATATACTCCCTATATGTAGTTAAGTAACATCTGCTCAATATTGATAACGGATCCCGAAGAGGTATTCTGTGAGCTGACAGATAACCTGTAGTGCACAATCAGGCTGGTTGCGTTACTATAGTAACGAAGAACGCTGTATGTGCATACGGGTACCTTTGATTGACAAGCTATTAGATGGAGGAGGGTGCGGTTATTAGATAACCACGCCCCCAGTCAAGCGGATTGGAACACGAAACTTGGTGGGCGGCACCCTTTGCGGTATAAATCTATCCTCCCTTAGCATGCTGTGCCAGTAGCTCTTGACAAAGGCGTGTGATTACGCCGAAACGCGCGTTGAGCGTTTGCCGTTTTCTTTGTTCTTAATACTGGGGGATGTATGAAGTGATTTAGTCACGTATATTGGGGGACTCTTTTGGAGCACTTATCTAGTTTATTTAGTACCTCCGCGGCAACAGCAAGCATTGTCACTAGGAGCTCTATGTGTTATACTTATTTAGAGCGTTCAGTGAGCGATCTGTAGCGTGAGGCTGCCTTGAAGCAGCAGTGCTTAGTATGTGTAGGAGTTATATTTAGCCAGTATAGGTTTTGATTTTTTAATCTATCCAGGTGGGTTTGTGCTCCAAGGAAAGATCTTTTCATCTGTTGGGTGGTGCCTCTCTATATATATAAGACTGCACTTTTAATTCAGTGTACTATCATCATGAGACACCTATGTACTAACCCCCAGGATTATTTTGCTTAACCACCTCCTTAGATTTATCTAAGCTTTCACCTGTATACTGTGATACTCCCTCTACTAAGCACTAATTATCTATACTCTATCTAGGTACTAAATACTAAGTAGCAAACTACACATGCAGGGTGTCTCCCCCCCTTTTTCTCCCTAGAATTTCTTTCTTTTTTGCAATACTTTAGACAAACTTTATTATAAGATTTACTCTTATGGAGATTATCTATTGAGATCTAAAGTATATGCTTTGTAAAGTTTATTAGGATCTATGGGATTGTCTGTGGATTTACCTCTATAAAGCTGGGATATTTTTGGATCCCTGCAGATTAGGGAAAAAGTATTTCCCTTTTCTCTTTTCTCCTTGATGAACGATTGTGTGGCATTCGACTGAATATATGTTGTACTATATCCTACTTGTTACTATAATTTCCAGCGAAGATATCACTTTACTATATCTTGAGGATATCCACACTACATCTACCCAGTTTTTATTTCACGTGTTGTTTTTCACGAGTATTTCACCATTATTACACTGTACTATTTTTTTGTTTTGCTTAAGACGGCTTAATAAAGGTTATACCTAATAATTATTTTAACCAGTTAGAGATATCATTTGGTGAAGTGGATGTCCAATTCTTTCCATCTTTAGTGGAATAACCACTTCACTTTAGTCCTGTTCTCCTAAATCATTTTGTGGGGTTATGCCCCTTGATATCTCTGTAACCCTTTCTGGGAACTATTGATGTGGACTTAGTCCACCTCTAATTTTTTCCTCTCTTGTTCTACACATATTTGTATTCAGCAAAGTCTCACATGTAAAACAGTACCCCCTATGTACAGGTTTTATGGCGTTTTGGGAAGTTACAGGGTCAAATATAGCACGTTACATTTGAAATTGAAATTCGCCAGATTGGTTATGTTGCCTTTGAGACTGTATAGTAGCCCGGGAATGAAATTTACACCCATAATGGCATACCATTTGCAATAGTAGACAACCCAAGGTATTGCAAATGGGGTATGTCCAGTCTTTTTTAGTAGCCATTTGGTCACAAACACTGGCCAAAGTTAGCGTTAGTATTTGTTTGTGTGTGAAAAATGCAAAAAACGCCAATTTTGGCCAGTGTTTGTGACTAAGTGGCTACTAAAAAAGACTGGACATACCCTGTTTGCAATACCTTGGGTTGTCTACTATTGCAAATGGTATGCCATCATAGGGGTAATTTTCATTCTTGGGCTACCATAGGGTCTCAAAGGCAACGTAACCAATCTGGCGAATTTTAATGTGAAAAAAATGAAACACAAGCCTTATATTTGACGCTGTAACTTTTGAAAACACCATAAAACCTGTACATGAGGGGTACTGTTGTACTCAGGAGACTTCGCTGAACACAAATATTTGTGTTTCAAAACAGTAAAAAGTATTGCAGCAATAATATCATCCGTGTAAGTGCTGTTTGTGCGTGAAAAATGCAAAAACTTTACTGGCGATATCATTGTTGTAATACATTTTACTGTTTTGAAACACTAATATTTGTGTTCAGCGAAGTCTCCCGAGTAAAACAGTACCCCCAATTTACAGGTTTTATGGTGTCTTGGAACGTTATAGGGTTAAATATAGTGCTAGCAAATTAAATTCCCTATAATTTCGGCATGGGTTGTCAGGCAGGTCCCGCTAATTGTAATTAATTAGGATACCTAATTATGTAAAAATATTACATAAATATATGTGTAGAATTAATATATGTATATATACATATATATATATATGTGTATATATACACACATATATATATATATATATAATTTTTTAAAATATTTTTATTTATATAGGTGTATATATATAGTTATATATACGTATATATTTATGTATATAGATATATATATTTCGTTCTACGTGTATTTTGATATAAATATATATATATTAATATCACAATACAGTTAGAACGAAATAACAAACATCTATATATTTTTTAATTATTTATTTTTAATTATTTTTTAAATTTATTTTACGTATTTACATTTTTTTATATTATATATAAATATATATATATATATATAACAATAATTATATATATATATATATATTTAATTAGTATCAGTCTACGTGTAATTCAATAGTAATATATATATAAATAATTATATATATTAATATTTAAATACACTTCGTGTATGTGTAAATGTGTGTGTGTGTGTATATATATATATATACTTAGATCATATATATAATATATATGATCTAAGTATATTTTATATGTAACTGTAATTTTTTTTTTTTTTTTTACATCACTGGCTGACACACAGGATCAGTGATCACAGTGACTGCCTGTCACTGTGATCACCTCCTGCAGATTGGGTAATTGGCCACAGGGGGGAGTGCCTGGGTGGTACAAGCACTCCCCCCTTCCAATCTGCAGGGGGATCTTTGTGCCAGCCAGTTTGTGCCAATAGGCTGACACATGTAACACTGATCGCAGTGACAGGCTGTCACTGCGATTATAGCGCACTGAGATCACAGTGACAGCCTGTCACTGCGATCTCAGAAGGTGCAGATCGCGGTCACTGACCCCAGGGGGATTGCCTGGGGGGCCAGGTAAGTCCCCCGACCGCGATCTGCACGGGGTAGCCGCTGGCCACGTGTGTCAGCCGATTTGAAATCGGCTGACACACGTTAAAAACTGATCACAGTGACAGCCTGTCACTGCGATCAGTGACTGCAGATCGCGGTCACCGGCCACAGGGGGGGTTGCCTGGGGGGCCGGGCATCCCCCCCGACCGCGATCTGCAGCGGGCGACTAGCGCCGGCCACATGGGCGGCCATTAAAGTGAGGGCGTACTATTACGCCCGCCGGTGTTTAGAGCCGGCTCCTGCAGGGCGTAATAGTACGCCCTCCGTCCTTAAGGGTTTAAAATTAAAAGTAACTGAGATTGTATTAAAGACACAGAGGCGAGTATTATGCATTCTCTCTCTTTATTTACTCCCAGCAGCAAGAAAGGAAGTATGAGAGAATCATAGAAAAAACATAACAACAGCCTGGTAACAGTGGCACCAATCAGCATCCAGTACTATCCATATAGGTGTGGCTCCTTGACTCCTCCTCTTTCTTGTTGCTCCCTCAGACCAGTTAAGTACTCCATCTCTTGCTAATCCTTGAGTGTTATACATATATGTGTGCTTTTTGTGCAGATTTATGTATGGTGTATGTTTATTTCTCACTAATTACTGCTGTTTTATAAAGTCCTGTTGGTGTCTGGGAGTACTGCCTATTGACGTCTCTGGGACCCTTTTTTTTTTTTCTTGCCCCATACCTCTGGGTATTTCTTCCACTTATTCCCGTCCCTGCACTGGCAGCCCCATTGGTAGTATAGCTGGGCTACTTACCATGAGTGTCCGCGGACCGGTCAGCAATTTCGTATCGCTCGGACAGCCGGTTTTCCCATTTCTACCTGCCGCACATGCACAATTCGCCCCACAGCGGCCATCTTTGGTTTCTGTCGCCGCGCGTGTATACTTTCACTTGCGGCGCCCATTTTTATTGTGTTTTCAGCGGGAATTTCAGCAGATTGTTGTAAAAGGTGGATAACTGCTTCTCCTACCCTCCTGGTGCACTCCCAGACCCATTGTAAGTGTTGGTGTGGAAGATTACTCTATCCTGACGCCTTTTGTTCTTTAGCCTTAGCTAGGATTGTTTTCCCAATAGGTCACTTTAGGTACTGTTACTTAACCCTTGAGCTACTTGCTAGTAGCATTGATTTATTGGGCCTAGTAAATTTGACCCCGAGTGTGATTGGGAGTATCTTTCCCTGTGGGCAGATAATGATTGCAAACAAATCATTGCAAAATCATTATGCAGGATCAGACAGAGACCTGCAGGGTCGGTGTGTCCCACACCAGGGGTTCACCCCTCGGGCAGGGATTGTAGGGATGACACCAGCCTCATGGCATCCAATGAATTTCAATCCTTCCTCGATTCTACAATGGCACAATCCATTAACAAGGCTTTGGCCTCCGTGATGGGGGTAATGTCGTCTTCTATCACACATTCAATAGCCCAAGCATTGCTGCAGACTCAGGGTAGTGGCCCTCAGGGCACACACGCACACAAAATCCGGGAACCACGATTGTGGAACAACCGGGGCGCAAAGCTTTGGTTAAAAGCAGACATAATATTTCCCCTCCAAAACTGCAGATTCGGCCTGTACTGAATGACACGCCTCAAGTTGTCGAGGATGGCGCGATACCACTGCGCAATAGACCCCATGGCCGGGCTCTATTCGTGGGAAGCGGGCACGTACCCAGGAGGACTCGTCCGATTCAGGAGGAAGAATATGACTATTCCTATATGGATCAATATGGTGCGGAAAATTCAGATTCTGGGTCTGATGTGAAAGCAATCACTGCGACCCAGAAGGTTACGGCTCAGGGCGCGGAGCCTGCCGGATCGGGCGAGGGCAACGGTCTTTGGGACCCTCAGGGTAACCAGTTGTTTGACCCAGATGGTCATCATCCTCGCTCAGCGGAATGGGAGCCGCCTGAGCACATCACAGGATACCCTCCACTAAAAGTGCGGAAACCTTTGCCCAAGGAGGTGCGTAGCAAGCTACGGGGAGAATGCACGCGGCCCATCCCTCCAGACTCAGTGGGGAAAACCCCGGACTTGGATCCTCTGTCCAATTCTTTAATAAGTCAGGTTGGAAACCGAGGAAAGGTCTAGATTTTTCACTTCAGAACTGCCAGGACAAGTTCCTGGACACCCTCTGGCCCATCTCTAAGTTCTATGAATTGGTGGAATCTGCCCAATCGGGTGAAGTAGCGAAAGGTTGGTTGCAGAGGTTGGTCTGCATAGTGGGTAATGCCAATACTGCTATGTCAACCGAGCGCTGCAAGGCGATACTCCTGAAGATAGAGCCCAATGGTCAGTATGGCAACCAATGAGCTGGGGCCAGCCTTATGTTAAGTACCGATTATCTCAGTTTTTCCCATGTAAAAGTGTGTGGGGGGGGAAAATGGCACTGTTTTACCAGCTTGGAAACTCCTAACCCCAGATGTTTGGGTATTGAATACGATAAATTGGAGCTAGTCTCTCACCCTATTCAGGTGCAGTTCCCTCAAGGGCTGAACATGCCCGATGAACACCACACAATGATCTCGGTAGAGATCGCAGATTTGGCATCAAAACACACTATTCAACAAATCCTGTGGGACACAGAAGGGTTTGTGAGCAACCTGTTTCTGGTCCCCAAGAAAGGGGGCGGGTTACGCCCAGTAATCAGTCTCTGACCCCTAAATGCATTTGTCCAGTGCCACCACTTCAAAATGGAAGGTATACATTGCCTTTGGGAGATCCTGCTACCGTCAGATTGGATGGTCAAACTAGATTTACGGGATGATTATCTGACAATCCCTGTCGCGGAAGCACATCAAGACCTACAGCAGTTTCAGTGGCGAGGAACGAAGTGGAGGTTTGTATGTCTGCCATTTGGCTTGTCCTCTACTCCATGGTGCTTCACAAAAGGTACTGAAGCCAGTGATTGCCTTCCTGTGCACACGAGGGGTCAGATTAATCATTTACCTGGACGATATGCTTCTCCTTTCTCAGTCTCAATCCCAACTACATGTTCACCTGTCTTGGACGACCCACTTTCTCTAAAACTTAGGATTCTTGGTGAATTGGGAGAAATCAGTCCTTCTACCCTCCCAATACATGGAATTTCAGGTGGACTCACAAAATAATTAAGATCAAGAAAGAGATCAGACGACTGCATCGTACGACCATTTCCCTCAGACAACTTGCGAGGGTCGTAGAACTATTGGCATCGTCCATACAAACTATCTTCCCGTTACATTATCGTGCCCTACAAAGACTCAAAGCCTTGTACCTGCGCTCCGGACACTCATACGAAACCTGTGTTACGCTGGACGAAGACTCCAGAGAGGAGTTGACATGGTGGTTAGCCCACATGGAGGCGTGGAACGGACGGGCAATATTTGGGTCTACACCAGATCTCATCATAGAGTCGGACGCCAGCTTACACGGCTGGGGCACGCATTGCGGGTCAGTTTCCACCAGAGACAGCTGGTCCAACTAAGAAACGTGGCTACACATCAACTGCCTAGGACTGCTAGCAGCATTTTGCCATTTGCAGCATGACTCCCTCAGGCATCTCATGCTCTATCCTAATCAAGATGGACAACGTCTCAGCGGTGCGTTATATCAACCACCTAGGAGAAAAAATTTTTTTTTTAAAAATAAAATCTAAAGTTCTAGCAGTAATGGCTCAAGATTTTTGGCATTATTGTCTGAAACACAGCATATCAGTAGTAGCAGAATATATCCTAGGATGAGACAATGCAATGGCGGATTGGAATTCTCGATACCTTAGAGATTCAGGGGGATTGGCATCTCCACCCAATGATTTTCCAACGTCTCTCTCAACTTTGGGGGCCTTTTCACATAGATCTCTTTGCGTCTCGGCTGAATTCCCAACTTCCTCAGTTCTTCAGTTGGAGACCGGACCCAGATGCTCTGGTGACAGATGTAATCTTACAATTATGCTTTTCCACCTTTCAACCTAATCTCTCGGACACTCGCATTCCTTCAATATTCCAAAGGGACCCTAGTTCTGATAACCCAGATATGGAGGTCACAACCTTGGTTCCCACAACTATTGGAAATGTCGATAGACTTTCCACTTCTATTGCAGGACATGCCCTACCTTCTGACCAATCCAGAGGGAGTGAGTCACAGGTTGATCGACCAGGATCTACTTCATCTGATGGCAAGGCTCATTTCAGGAGATCATGGAATCTAGAGGATGTTTCGCAGACAACACTCAGTTTCTTGGCAGAGGCTTGGGCACCAGACGCTCTTACAGGTCGGCCTGGAGAAAGTGGACTGATTAGTGTGTGGGACAATCGGTGGATCCCATATCAGCTCCTGTGAAATCAATCTTGCAATTTCTCACTCTGCTCTTCGAAAAGGGAAAAGCTTTTCATACTATAAACCTGTACAGATCAGCTATATCAGCGAGACATATGGGTTTAGATGGTACTCCAATAGGTAAACATGCCCTCATCTGTCGTTTGCTCAAAGGCATCTGGTTTTCTCGACCCCCTCAGGCTCGATATTCTTCCTTTTGGGATGTTAATGTGATTTTTCATTTTGTCGAGTCTTGGCCCTTGAATCACAAATTTTCTCTTAAACAATTTTTAGCCAAGCTCTTGATGCTGTTTTGTTTACTTTCATGTAAAGATGTTGCTGATGTCAGAGCGTTGGACTGGCAAGCACGCATTTTTGTTCCAAACGGAGTATCCTTTAATGTTTCACGTAGGACAAAATCTGTGACTAAGGAGCTTTTTACCCATCATTTCCAGACAACCCAAAACTGTGCGCAGCATTATGTCTTAAGGAATACGAGCGCCGTACGATCTCGCTCCGTTCAAATCATCTCCATCCATTAGTCATCTCCTCTCGAGTGGCACATCTACCAGTATCTACTCCTACTTTAGCTTGTTGGATCAAGTGGTTATTGTCCGTGGCAGGCATAGACACATTTTTTTCTTCCCACTCCATTCGTGGGGCTATGGCTTCTAAGGCTTCCATGATAGGTTGTAGATTGGAAGACATCCTACGAGCGGTTGACTGGTCGAATGAATCTACGGTTCGTAATTTCTATTTTCGTCTGGCGCAACATGCAGGTGATACTCAAAAAATTATAATATTGTGCAAAAGTTCATTTATTTCAGTAATGCAATGTAAAAGGGAAAACTAATATATGAGATAGACGCATTACATGCAAAGCAAGATAGTTCAAGCCGTGATTTGTCATGACCCTGGACTTAATGAAGCACAGTGGACCAACACCAGCAGATGACATCCCCAAATCAACACAGACTGTGGAAACTTCACACTGGACTTCAAGCATCTTGCAGTGTGTGCCTCTCCATTCTTCCTCCAGACTCTGGGTCCCTGGTTTCCAAATGAGATGCCAAAGTTGCTCTCATCAGAAAAAAGGACTTTGGACCACTGAGCAACAGAGCAGGTCTGTTTTTCTTTAGCCTAGGTAAGACGCTTCTGGCGTGGTTTGTTGTTCAGGAGCGGCTTGGCATCTGAAGCCCATGTCCAGGATCCGTCTGTGTGGTGGCTCTTGATGCACTGACTCCAGCCTCAGTCAACTCTTTGTGAAAGTCACCAACACTTTTTAATGGCCTTTTCCTGACAATCCTCTCCAGGCTGCGGTCATCCCTGCTGCTTGTGCACCTTTTTCTTTCACACTTTTCCTTTCCACATAACTTCCTATTAATGTGCTTTGATACAGCACTTTGGGAACATCCAACGTCCTTCGCAATTACCTTTTGAGGCTTTCCTTCCTTATGGAGGGGGTCAATTATGGTTTTCTGCACAACTGTCAGGTCAGCAGTCTTCCCCATGATTGTGATTCCTACTGAACCATACTGAGAGACATTTAAAGGCTCCAAAACCCTTTGCAGGTGTTATGGCTTACTTAGCTGATTAGAGTGGGACACTGTTAGCCTAGAATATTGCACCTTTTCACAATATTCTAATTTACAGAGATTGTGGATTTGGGGTTTTCATGAGCCGTAAACCATAATCATCACACTTATGACAAATCACGGCTTGAACTATCTTGCTTTGCATGTAATGCGTCTATCTTATATATTAGTTTCCCCTTTTACGTTGCATTACTGAAATAAATGAACTTTTGCACCATATTCTAATTTTTTTAATCATCACCTGTATTTCCAATTTGACTGTTGCTCAGCTTTAAAATAGCATAATAGGAGCATCCATGTCTTTAATAAAATTACCAGATGTGTTTGTTTCGGGAGTTCGAGTTTTTTGTTGGAATACTTTGGACCCTACAATAATGGTCTTTGGGATCTACACAAAAAGAGGAAGCACCACACCCATATGGACAGTATTGGATCCTGATTGGTCCCAGTGTTACTATGCTATCGTTATGTTTTTTCTATGATTCTCTCATACTTCCATTCTTGCTGCTGGGAGTAAATAAAGAAAGAGAACGCATAATACTCACCTCTGTGTCATTAATAAAATCATAAAATCATGACTTTACGTCATATTAATAGTAAAATCTGGTAATTATAGCTCTTTTCTATGGGATGACAGGTAAATGATACAATGGCCCATAGAATATAATGAGAAGCAATATGTGACTTGGAATCTGAACTGTGAAACATCAAATGAAGCTTTTCCTGGCATACTCTCCAAGTTCAGTATCAATTTTTGAAATGGAGATTAAATGGGATTATCAATGTTTTCTATGAAATGACAAGGGTGAATAACTAAAGTGATTGCCCATATAGTATAATGGGAAGTAATATATACACTAATTTGCAGGCAAATTTGTGTAATGTAGCAAATTAATCTTTACCACGGGTGTTCTCCAAGTACAGTAGCAGACTGCAAACAATTTAAAATTGAAAATTAGTTCCTATTCAAATAAAGATCCACTTAAAGGACCACTATAGTCACCCAGACCACTTCAGCTCAATGAAGTAGTCTGGGTGCCAGGTCCCCCATGTTTAAACCCTTCAGATGTAAAAATAGCAGTTTCAGAGAAACTGCTATGTTTACATTGCAGGGTTAATCCAACCTCTAGTGGCTGTCTTCCTGACAGAAACATAGAAACATAGAATGTGACGGCAGATAAGAACCATTCGGCCCATCTAGTCTGCCCAATTTTCTAAATACTTTCATTAGTCCCTAGTCTTATCTTATAGTTAGGATAGCCTTATGCCTATCCCACGCATGCTTAAACTCCTTTACTGTGTTAACCTCTACCACTTCAGCTGGAAGGCTATTCCATGCATCCACTACCCTCTCAGTAAAGTAATACTTCCTGATATTATTTTTAAACCTTTGTCCCTCTAATTTAAGACTATGTCCTCTTGTTGTGGTAGTTTTTCTTCTTTTAAATATAGTCTCCTCCTTTACTGTGTTGATTCCTTTATATATTTAAATGTTTCTATCATATCCCCCCTGTCTAGTCTTTCCTCCAAGCTATACATGTTAAGATCCTTTAACCTTTCCTGGTAAGTTTTATCCCGCAATCCATGAACCAGTTTAGTAGCCCTTCTCTGAACCCTCTCTAAGGTATCAATATCCTTCTGAAGATACGGTCTCCAGTACTGTGTACAATACTCCAAGTGAGGTCTCACCAGTGTTCTGTACAATGGCATGAGCACTTCCCTCTTTCTACTGCTAATACCTCTCCCTATACAACCAAGCATTCTGCTAGCATTTCCTGCTGCTCTATTACATTGTCTGCCTACCTTTAAGTCATCAGAAATAATCACCCCTAAATCCCTTTCCTCATATGTTGAGGTTAGGACTCTATCAAATATTCTGTACTCTGCCCTTGGGTTTTTACGTCCAAGATGCATTATCTTGCACTTATCCACATTAAATGTCAGTTGCCACAATTCTGACCATTTTTCTAGTTTACCTAAATCATTTGTCATTTGGCTTATCCCTCCTGGAACATCAACCCTGTTACATATCTTAGTATCATCAGCAAAAAGACATACCTTACCAGCAAGACCTTCTGCAATATCACTAATAAAAATATTAAAGAGAATGGGTCCAAGTACAGATCCCTGAGGTACCCCACTGGTGACAAGTCCAAGCTTCGAATATATTCCATTAACTACAACCCTCTGTTGCCTGTTACTCAGCCACTGCCTTACCCATTCAACAATATTTGAATCCAAACTTAAAGATTGCAGTTTATTGATAAGCCTTCTATGTGCAACAGTGTCAAAAGCCTTACTGAAATCTAGGTAAGCAATGTCTACTGCACCACCCTGATCTATAATTTTAGTTACCCAATCAAAAAATCAATAAGATTAGTTTGGCATGATCTCCCTGAAGTAAACCCATGTTGTCTCTGATCTTGAAATCCATGTGTTTTAGATGTTCAACAATCCTATCCTTTAACATGGTTTCCATCACTTTCCCCACTACTGAAGTAAGGCTTACTGGCCTATAGTTGCCCGACTCCTCCCTATTACCTTTCTTGTGAATGGGCACAACATTCGCTAACTTCCAATCTTCTGGGACTACTCCTGTTAACAATGATTGGTTAAATAAATCTGTTAATGGTTTTGCTAGTACACCACTAAGCTCTTTTAATAGCTTTGGGTGTATTCCATCAGGTCCCATTGACTTATTTGTCTTTACTTTTGACAGTTGAAATAGAACCTCTTCCTCTGTAAACTCACGTGTAATAAATGACTCATTTATCCTTTTTCTCAACTGAGGTCCCTTTCCTTCATTTTCATCTGTAAATACAGAACAAAAATATTCATTGAGGCAGTCAGCCTGACCTTTATCCTCTTCTACATACCTTCCTTCTTTTGTTTTTAATCTAACTAATCCTTGTTTTACTTTTCTTTTCTCATTTATGTATCTAAAAAATGTTTTATCCCCCTTTTTTACTGACTGTGCTATTTTCTCTTCTGTGTGTGATTTGGAAGCTCTTATAACTTGCTTAGCCTCTTTCTGCCTAATCTTATAGATCATTTTGTCTCCCTCACTCTGGGTTTTTTTATAATTCCTAAATGCTAACTTTTTGTTTTTAACTATTTTGGCCACATCTGCGGAGTACCACAGTGGTTTCTTGAATTTTTTGCTTTTACTGACAAGCCTAATGCAATTTTCTGTTGCCTTCAATAGTGCAACTTTTAAATAATCCCATTTCTCTTGGACTCCATTTAAATTGCTCCAGTCTGATAATGACTCCTCTACACATATTCTAATTTTAGAAAAGTCTGTTTTTCTAAAGTCTAAAACTTTTGTTTTTGTGTGGTGTGACTCAGTCACTGTTCTTATATTAAACCACACTGACTGATGATCACTGGATCCTAAACTTTCACCTACAGTAACATCTGATACCAAATCTCCATTTGTTAACACTAAATCTAGCATGGCCTCTTTACGAGTTGGCTCCTCAACAACGACAGCCGCTAAAGGCGCTTCTGAATCGTATCCAACGTAAAGGAACTTCCATAGGAAAGCATTAAGAAATGCTTTCCTATAGACTGTTTGATGGCGCGCGGGGCAATTGCCCCATATGCGCGTTCTGCTCCACCTGGGAGCTGACATCGGCGGGGGAGGAGAGATTACCAGCGCAGAGGGAGCCGGTTAAAGGTAAGTGGCTGAAGTGGTTTTAACCCCTTCAGCGCCAAGGGAGGGGGACCATGAGGGGGGGTCCTAAGGATGATATAGTGTCAGGAAAACGAGTTTGTTTTCCTGACACTATAGTGATCCTTTAAATCCCTCTAAGCACCTGCACTACAATTTTGCATCATTCCAAATGTTATGGTGCAGAGTGTAAATATTTATAATGGAATTTAAATAAAACGAATGCGGCGGAGCCTAGCCACCAGAGAGAGAAGTCGCACGACACTGCAGCTCCGACCCAAAAGCGGACAAAATCGTAATTTTTAGGGTCACCCCCGGCCATAACGAGCCCCCAGACGTCGGACCCACACACCTAACGACTATGGGACGCAAAACCAAAAAACCCAAGCAGGATCAACCCCACCTTGGGATGAATATCGGAGAAATGTGGCGCCTAGCACATGGCGCGGCCGGGCCCAAGATGGCCGACCTGTCGGGCGGTTGCTTCGATTTTTCGGACGATCTGGCTTCCGAAGAGGAAGAGACGCCTGAACTCACGCCGGCTAAACCCCCACCGACGAAACCGGACACATCCCCGGTCACACTATCGGCGCTCAAGGGTCTCCTTGCCGACCTACAGACCACCCTGCAGGCTGACATTGCCACAATCAGGGGAGGGCTGCAAGGACTGACAGGCCGAATTGACAAGCTGGAAACCACCACTCACCAGGACTCTCAGCGTATACAGGTGCTGGAGAAAGCGGTGCAAGACCTCCAGCGGCAGAACCAGACCCACGAATGCCGCTTTGCAAATCTAGAAGACCTACGGCGGAGGAATAATTTGAAGCTCCGGGGGGTACCTGATGCTGTCCCTGAAGCGGAGCTGCCACACCTGGTGCGGAGAATGATGGGGGACCTCCTACCACAAAAACAGGCGAAAGCAACACCCCTGGACGGGCTTTTTAGAATCCCCAAACCAGCTAGAGCCCCACCGTCGACATCAAGTGACCTGATAATTCAATTCAGGCACGGAACAGACAAGGCGGCGATCCTGAAGGCAATCAGGGGTAGGCCAAACTATCGTTTTGAAAACATGGCACTGGAATTCTATAATGACCTGTCCGGCAGCACGATGGCCTGGCGGAGGTCGCTCAAGCCCCTCACATCCATGCTCCAACAGCGAAACATCGAGTACCGCTGGCGAATGCCCCGCACGCTTCAGATCATACACGGAGAGACCACATACCAAATCCAAGACCTACGAGAGGCAGACACACTCCTGAGGGATCTGGGACTGCCGCAGGACATTCTAATCAACCCTCAGCAACAACCTGAACCCAGACACAAGCATACCTGGAATCCAAGCAAAATTACCCCGTTCACACCTCGACGAAACACAGGGGAACCGTATGCTGCAGCGACCACATGAAACAACGAGAGACGCTCTGACCGAGACCGAGGGTGACTGAAACGACCCTCAAGCTACTTCACTTTGTGACTTTAAGTTAATTTGAGTTCTTATTCTTATTATATATAATTTTTTATTTTTTTATTTTTTTATTTTTTTTTCTCTCCTTAAAGTTATAGCAAGGTGATTGAAATATCTTTCTCCATTTGTGTATGACCCAACTATCTCACGCTTTACGCCGAGATGGAGCTGGCAGTGACCCCAGCCATTCATAATAAGTAGCATGAAGTATGATATGCCACGACTCACTGCAACAGATAGCGCTACAAATGCAGTCACAGAATATCCTGCACACAATCCTGTACATAGTTTAACTGTGGTTTAGCAGTATTTATATAAAGGTCACACAGGAATGTAAGACGCCCTGCCTGGTGGCACCCTGTATTAAAGGAAAATTTTAGGTATGATAAAACCTTCATGGCATTACCCGTTCCCCGGTAGTCAGCATTGCTCACCCTAACATAATCTGCAACACAATCCTTCTGTGTTACCTACTACGTGTCATGACTACTCGATCCAGCAGTTGCTACATTACAGATATGCCTCTCACTTATACACTATTCAGCATAACCAAGACGAGGCCTAGATAGTATAGCGATGACACGCTACGTAAATATTAAGCCACTGTTATCAGATAAAGTAAAGCAATAAGACAGACGTAGTTGCATAGCTACAACTTTGCTACCTTTCATCTATTATCTATCAAACTGAAAGAAAGCGGCCAAAAATTATCTAAATGCAGATATATATACTCACCCACTGCTTAATGTAACTTATTCACTATGTTGTAAGCTTTAGCCTGTTGAAATTTCAAGATGTTACTACATTGTCTAAGCCTGTTTAAACACCACCAAGTTATCGAGTCTGACTGACAAGCTTCATAATCATTTAACATATAAAATGTGCACGTATTAACATGTACCCTATTGTTACCATTATTACTTGAAAGCATGAGGAATGCCGTTGGGGTACCGCATGCTCATTGTTATACCTCTACGCACTACAAAAATAAAGAATTTAAAAAAAAATAAATAAAACGAATGCAGTTAATTTCTGCCTACTAAGTCCTTTAACTGAAACTAGTAATGTCTGACTATAAGAAACTCACAAATCTGCTGCACATAGCTACAGCCATACTGCTGAGTGTGGCTGATATTCCGACCCAGAGGAAGAAGCAGTCCTGCATGGCCATCACATGGAAATGGACAGTCTGCTCACTAATCCTCTCATTGAAATTGTGCACAGAGATGCTGCGAGGTACAGGCTCCATGATGCGTCCAAACCTGAACCTGGCCGGCGCACAGAGGTGACGTCACACGGCAAAGCTTTTTCCGCCCGGAGCTAACTACGGTGGGCTGGAGGTCCATGCTTACTTAGTGTTGGTTTTAATTAAGAAAAATAAGGTTAAAAAAACAGGAAACATCATTATTCGCCCAGCACAGACCTGGAGCTAAACATGAATATTGGAGCTGACTCGGTTTATATAGTGACAGTTATATGTTTGTTATTGGAGCCAAATACTGGCTCCACCAACATGGCTGCCCGAGAGTCTGTCTCTGAATTTACACATAGACGCGGCGGTGTGACGTCACACCCAGACTGCGCTCCTGTGTCTGCGTCAGATTACATGATGTAAGAAGAGTGCGTCAGTGTCCAGTTATCCCGTGAGTGTAAGTGTCCTCGGGCTCAGTAACCACACTTACCTCAGATCACTCCCCTCCCTCCCCCCAGCTCTCTGTGCAGGGCGGCTGGCAGTGCTACATGTATTGCTGTAATATATAATAATAATAATAACATGGAATAAATGTTAGTTTAGGAACTCTAAGTCCCTTATAACATACTATAATCATATTAAATGTTACCATTTTATGTTAAGAGAAGTTACCGCGTTAGCTGTGTGAAATGATATTTTAGATCCCGAGAATTCCATGATTAGAACATTTCTACACACTGTGAGCACATTGTAATGGGATGGGCGGGCTGCAGGCCAGGATGCATCGGTTCAATAAATAATATTGTCCTGCAATAAAGCCAAATATCACACATTTTATGAATGTAATTAGATACGGTATATTCAAACAATGCTAAGTTCAAGGTCTGATATAATCAGTGTATGTCACTGTGTGATAAGGTAGAGCCAGAGAGAGTAGGCTAGAAAGCATTAAACAACAATAGGGGGGGAAATGAATTAAGTCCAATAATATCCAGTACAACAACAGTAACCTTCTATGGAAAAGAAAGGTAAATATCTTGCAGGTGTACCATGCAGCATAATAACATGAGAATGGAGTGTAGATATATTTTGATGTGAATTGATCGGAGGTAGGCATTTACCAACAATAGGGAACAAATGACAAAAAACTGAACAAAATAATCCCAAGAGGTGGAAGTAACAGGAAGTTCTTTATTTTGTCTCTTGTTTATTGATATTGTTTTGTTGGGTTTTCCCCCAATGTTTTGGCTTGATATGATTTCGTGTATTTCAGTAACATAGTATGCATATTTGTAACCATAGCACTATAATGGGTCAAGTTCTCCACTGGCAGACTTGACATCATGTTGTGACAGCTTCTTGTTTTCTCCACCCTTTATATCCTAAAAAAAACTCGCTTTTTGGGTATTCTTGAGGAAATCAAAATATTTATTCATGGGCTGAGTGCCAAGGCAAAACAGCAACAGTGTTTTCACTTAGGTGAGAATTGAAGGTGACCTCAAAGTTAATTTATCTTTTAAGGCCAAAGTAGTTGAATTGGAAGCATAGCTGACGATTCACTCTGAAGTCTCACTTTGGTTAATAACCCTACAAGTGTGAAGAGAGATTATTTTTCTTGAAACTGGTAAAAAATTTTGCACATGGGTCAATGTAATTTGCTAATGTGAATATTGCCAGGAATTCAAAGTGAATTCAAATTAACAGGGATATTTACTACGGCAAATTCAAAGTATGTTTTAAATTTAAGGCCAGAGTACCCAGATTAAAAGCACAGCTGGCTTATAGAATTTTTAAGTTCTGCTATTTTGATTATAAACTTGAAATTCGCCTTAAAGGAACACTATAGTGCCAGGAAAACAAACTTGTTTTCTTGGCACTATAGGGTTATTAGGTTCCCCCCTCCCGCTGGGCTGTAGGGGTTAAAACCCCTTCAGCCACTTACCTTAATCCAGCGCCGTGCTCCCTCGGCGCTGGCGACCTCTCCTCCCTCTGCCAACGTCAGCTCTGAATGCGCATGCGCAGCCAGAGCTACGCTCGCATTCAAACTGCCTATAGGAAAGCATTACTCAAAGCACTCCTATGGACGTCCAGCATGAGTTCAATGCAATTTTCACATTGAGGATCGTGGAAGCGGCCTCTAGTGGCTGTCAGGCTGGATTAACCCTCAATGTAAACCTAGCATCTCTAAAACTGCTGTTTTCAGCTGCAGGGTTAAAACTAGGGGGACCTGGCACCCAGACCACTTCATTGAGCTGAAGTTGTCTGGGTGCCTATGGTGGTCCTTTAAATGATCACTTTAGTAAATAAGCCTGCTAAGGTGATAGTACCCAAACTGGAAATATAGCTGACTGGGAGAATTTTTATAGTTCATCGACTTTGGCCTTAAATTTGTATTTCCAACAATTGTCATTTTGGTAAATAACCCTGAATCTGTCTTATTCTTATCCTTCAAATCAAGGAGGTAAAATAAAAGAGAAATATACATTCATAAATATGAACTCTCTACGTAGGACTTTGTAGAGTTAAAGGGACACTATAGTCACCAGAACAACTACAGCTTATTGAATTTGTTCTGGAGAGTAGAATCAGTACCTTCAGGCTTTTTGCTGTAAACACTGTCTTTTCAGAGAAATTGCAATGTTTACATTACAGCCTAGTGAGAACTTCACTGGCCACTCCTCAGATGGCTGTTAGAGATCCTTCCTGGGTCATGGCTGCCTAAAATGCATCCAAACATTCAGTGTCTCCAACCTCATGCAGACACTGAACTTTCCTCATAGAGATTCATTGATTCAATTCAGCTCTATGAGGAGATGATGATTGGCCAGGGCTGCGTTTGAATTGTGCTGGCTCTGCCTCTTTGTCAGTCTCAGCCAATCCTATGGGGAAGCATTGTGATTGTATCAGGCTACCACTTCTGCTGATGGCAGTGGGCAGGTCTGAAGGAAACAGGGACAAAATATGCAGCTGCAGACGTGAATACAAGTAAGTTTTACTATTTTTAGGGAGGCATAAGAGGGCCAGAGGGGGCTAGATGGTTGTAACCCTATAGGGTCAGGAATACATGTTTGTGTTCCTGACCCTATAGTGCTCCTTTAAGCTGACCTGCAGAGCTTTAAACTGCTGGATCCTGTACTTTTGTTTAAATCTGTTAGTTCTAGGGCAGTGATGGCATTGAGCCCGAGTGCCCAAACCACAATACATGCCAACTTTTTTTTCCTTAAAGTGCCAACACGGCAATTAAACCTCAATACTGAGGTTTAAATTTAGAAAAAACAACTCGTACTGTTGTCCGAACTAATTAACAACCTTTGTTTTAAAAGAACACAACAACAGAGAGTTCAATGATACAAATTTTAAATAATGATATAAATAGATAAAAATTAAGCTTATATTTATTAGTATCTCCAACAAATGCAATACATACACACACAGACTGCTGAATACACAAACACAGACTGCTGAATACACACACACAAGACTGCTGAATACAGAGACTGATGAATATACATACACACAGTCTGCTGAATACACACACACACACACACACACACACAGTCCACTGAATACACGCACACACACAGACTGCTGAAAACACACACATACTGCATTGAGGGGTGCTGTGTGTGGGTTGCTGTATGTGTGTGTGTGTGAGGGGTGCTCTTTATATAGGAAAGATAAGGAAGACAAGAAAGGGGCAGGGGTGGCCTTGTATGTGAAGGATAGCATAAAATCTAGCCTAATAAAAGTTAGTGAGGCAAACATAGAGTCCGTTTGGGTTACGTTAGAATTTGGTAATCACACAGTAACTTGTGTAGGTGTGATTTATAGGCCCCCAGGACAAATAGAAGAGTTAGATGATCTACTAGTTGAGGAAATAGCTAAAATGACAATGAAGGGGGAAGTTATCATCATGGGTGACTTTAATCTTCCTGATGTAAATTGGAAAAAAAATTAGCTACTTGTGCCAGGAGCACACATATTCTAAACTCCCTACTGGGATTGTCTCTAAAACAAGTTGTTGAGGAGCCAACTCGTAAAGAGGCCATACTAGATTTAGTGTTAACAAATGGAGATTTGGTATCAGATATACAATTTAAGATCTCAAGAGAACGTGGCATATGGTGGTAATCAAGGAATTTGTTTTGTTATTTAACCCCTTAAGGACACATGACGTGTGACATGGCATGATTCCCTTTTATTCCAGAAGTTTGATCCTTAAGGGGTTAAAGTGAAATGATCACTTGTTTATATTCATCTGTTGATGTACAACCTATTCTCTATTAGGTTCCTACATTTGTATTCTAATTTTTAACTGTAGTGCTAGATTTATTTTGCTAGGAGTCACATGCTTTTAAAAAAAAAGTTTGTATATGACCATATAATTAGATTTAGGAGATTTTCAGTGTCATTTCTGAGAATAAGCAATAGTTCTGCTTCCCTGGCCAAACACATCTTAGGAACTTAGCTGCATATGGTTCTTGAATATAGATCAGACATAACTGTTTGCATCAAGTAGCTAAAGTTGGAACCATGGGCATGAAATCCCTACCAACAATTCACATGAAAACTAGAACAACAGCCTGACAGGTGACACAGAGGGGAAAAAAAGCCAATCTAAAACTAACATTAAACTACATACCACAAAGCGTGAAAAGTAATTAAGGGTGCATATCTAAGTGTTCATAGGAAAGAAGAGGAAAATAGAATAGTAGAAGCTACTAAGAAGACCGATAGAGTGATATATTACCTGCCCTTAGAGAAGGTGAAAGCTAGGAATGCCTGTGTGCAGGCTAAAGATTAAGATACAAGTATTCATTATTCTTTTGTGGTTACAGCCTATAGGTAAAAAAAAAAAAAAATGCGTCCTCAGCACTCCATCATTGGTCACCCATGGATACTTGATGCAATTGCCAAATATGACTCTAGAAATCACAAGAACAAGCCTGTTCCTGCTCAAGTGGTTGAAGTAAGTATGTTAATACCCCTAAAGTCAATTTGTTTTTAATACTCGGTGTTCTTGATTGTAAAATTGCGCTTGGTTCAAAGTATGTAGTAAAATGTATGGAATGCCGTGTTTTGTTTTTTAAACTGCATGCATTATATTCTTGATTCATTCATATGAATTTTTTTTAAAAGTTGCGGTCTATGTCCATGATTGTGTCAAATTTCATTTTGCCAACTGTAACAATATGTAACAAAGTAGCACTGTTGTTATGCATTGTGAGGTGTGGTTGTTAGGGCACTATTAATGTAAGTTACTTTATTTAAAAAGTATTTAGAATGCAAAGTAATTACTTGCTTGTCACAGTGTGCTTATGGTCTGACAAAATTATTGACTTAATCAGGCTTACACAGAAATGAAAGGCTAGGTTGGCCTTTCATTTTCAGATACTAGTGAAGTATCTCACAGCTTATTGTCCCCTAGCCATCCTTCTCTCAATGCCAACTTTAATGGAAACAAATTTTGTAAGTGTTCATTTGTGGTGGAGTATAACACGTGGGCCTGTCTATTAGCGTACTGATTTCTTTTGTATATCAGAAATGTAAAAATCAGATGTGGAATGTGATATATGCGGTACCAAAATATAAAAAATGTTTCACACGAGTGCAGGACATGTGCAAAGTTTCTGTGGTTCCCTCAGCAGTAGACATATGCATCAAATGATACAAAAAGCACGGTGCACAGCTTAGTTAACAAGGGCCACCCGTGGAAACCTTGGATCATTTATTGATGAGCACCAAAACGCAAACCTATTGGCAACCCTGTCACTTTAACAATGTACAATATATTGTACATTGAGAAAGGAAAAGGGGTCCTGAAACATTTTTGATTTGGTAATCTTTTATAAATGGTCTAAGGGTCCCACAGTTTTTGATGCTTCTTCTATATATCGGAGCTAAACACACACACAGAGTTAAGTATTAATTTGTTATACATACACTTAACTGAATTGGCTATCTTATTTGCATAAAGATTAATCATATGAAATATACGATGCATTATGTTCCTCTCTTTATCTTGGCAGTTTGTGAAGATGCCGAGCAGCTCAACAAATGATCCTGAGGATCCAGCAGCTGTTGTACATATTTCTGACAGAAAGTATTACATCCGAGCAATCATCACCAAGGAGGCACAAGAAACAATGGAAAGGTAAGTGCATGCAGAAAAATGCTGTATCTTTAATTGTAACACTGTAAATTAGTACGCTTAGGAAAACGCAGCATACTTGTTGGTAAGCCATGGCTTTACTCACTATAGTATTAAACTGTGGCCAGGCCCAATAGTGATTGTGGAATTTGCTGGTCATTAATTTTACTGCCTTGAAGTTGCTGACATATTAGCCAAATTTACAGGCAATACACTGCACATGCTTTTCTAAAAAATTCAGAGAAGGCAGTCTCATTCTTGGATATACCGATCTCTGTCTACACTAATAACTCGCACATCACCTCCGCCTCTGTATCAAATCCTTTTTTTAGAACAGGAACAGCCCCGTCAACAACGGGGTCGGTTAAGAGACAGGGATCGGTGGCATACAAGAACTAGAATCGGGTTCAGAGGATAAAGCTCCGTACAAAATTAATTAATTTATCTGACTTTGAACTATCAACCCACCATATCACTCTGCTGAAGAGGGGTTTATCATTTGTACCAACTCCCGCCTGCAATAAATTCAACTGGTCTAAGGACAGAAATCTCTATGGTAGGAAGCTGGCCCTCAACATTATGCATACCAAAAAAGATCATTAATGGCCAGTGACTTGGGTCTTTCTATACAGGACTATGAACTCTCCAAAACTCTTGACAGTTTGTTAGATGAACATGACCTCACGAGACCACTAACAGACTTCAAACCATCAAGCTATTTTACCCCGAACTTTGCAGACACACCCCATGTCGATCTTTGTCCAAATGTCACTAAACGAGTTCGAAACTACTATCAATCAGACTCCTGTTATTAATAACCTTAGCTTCTTGGAACGCAAAGCCTTAAAAGAACTACAAGAACAGGGTATATAATAATAAAACCGGCAGATAAAGGGGGCAATATAGTCCTTATGAATCGCTCTTAATATGTCAGCATGTGCATGTTACATCTTGATGACACGACATATTACAGAAACCTACCCTTGGATCCCACCAATAAGTTTGTAGGTGAACTTGATTTACTCCTTAATGAGACCCTAACTCAACAGATTATTAGCCAAGATGAATTTCGATTCTTATGTCCTAGCAAGAACCTGACCATCGCAACATTCTACTGTTTGCCTAAGATACATAAGGGCACTCGGCCTCCCCCAGGTAGACCGATTGTGTCCGGGAACAATTGCCTTACAGAATCGCATAGCAAATTTGTTGACAAAATCCAGCATCCTATGGTAATTAAATTACCGTCTTACATAAAGGACACCAAATCTACTCTCTTGACACTACAGGACATGACAGTACCACCCTACACACAACTAGCAAGTTTGGACGTGGTGGCATTGTATACAAACATTCCCCATGAAATGGGACTCAAGGCATGCAGGTCTTTCCTAGACAACACATCATACAATGAGCTGCAGAAAAACTTTCTCCTAGCCACCCTTGAATTTATTTTAACACATAATTATTTGACGTTTAACGTTCGGTATTATTTACAGATCTCTGGCACAGCCATGGGGATAGCCTGTGCACCCACCTACACCAGTTTGTTTTTGGGGTGGTGGGAGCAGCATGTCGTCATGACATCTAAATTTAGCTGCTTTCATGAGTACATCTTGAGTTGGCACAGATACATTGACGACGTGTTGCTCCTGTGGACAGGATCCGTCCCCATGTTCGAGGATTTTGTAAAAAGTCTCAATGACAATGACATCAATTTAAAATTCACACACGTAATTGACGAACACGAATTGGTGTTTCTTGACCTAAAAATCTTGATGGAACTATCCAAACGGAATTGTTTAGAAAGGCTACTTCGACAAACAGCTTGCTTCACTGGGAAAGCCATCATCCATATAAATTAAAGGCCTCCATTCCGTATAGCCAGTACCTGAGGGCAAGACGCAACTGTTCACAAGGTCAGACTTTTTATAATGAATGCAAACTATTGAATTTGCGTTTCAAGGAACTGAGGTTCCCCAACCGTGTCCTCAAACACGCCTTTCATAGGGTATGTAACATGGACAGAGACTCCAGCCTTCACTTCACTAGACCCAAATCTGAGTCTAAGGCTCCACGATGCATTGCCACCTTCGATCAAGGCTGGGGGCCAATGTCCAAAATTCTGAAGAAGAATTGGACAATTCTTCTACATAATCCAGTACTTCAGACGGTGTTACCAGAGTATCCACCTTTTTACACCACGCAGACCAACTAACTTACAAGATCTACTTGTCCATAGCCACCTGGCATCTCCTTCACCACCCTTGTTGTTTGGCTGTCAAACACCAAGGGTACATATAAGTGCGGGCATTGTAAGGCCTGCCAATATATTTTGCCCTCCAAGTCAACCACGTCCACTCAAACCCACATTACCATAGACACTAGTGCCCTGGTCAACTGCAGTTCTACACAAGTGATCTATTTGATCACCTGTAGTTGCGGGGTTCAATACATTGGTAAAACTTACCAGCAGTTTAGACGCAGGATCTTGCAACATATAATCTCCATCAACAATACTGTGACACCCACTCCGGTAGCAAGACATATTCTGAATGTTCATGATGGCAAACCTGAGAACCTTAAATTTCAGGTTATGGAAAAATTGGTGCCCAACCCAAGAACAGGTGACTTCAACAAAAGCCTGCTAGTTAAAGAATCACAATGGATTTTTGCTTTTAAAACAGTGACCCCCCTCGGTCTTAATGAAGAATTTAATTATACACCCTTAATACACCGTTGAACTTGTACCTAATATACAACTTAGGTACTTCTTCTATGACTTTACTTTAATTTGGATGATACAGGACATGATTATGAACCTTACCATGAAATTTTCCATTCAATTTGGCACTACATCGAGGTAGTTCTGTTATACTTCACTTTTGATTGTATTTTACTGTATATGATAGCAACTTGATATTCCAGACAATAGCCACATAAAATCTTTATTATTACATTATACAGGAATGGTCTTATTAGCCTGCAGTCAGAATACTGCCTTTAACTTTTTATTAACCCATCAGACTGGGACATCAGTATCTTTTGACCACCGCAGCCGAGAGCTGCAATCAAATTTTCAATATTTCATTCACTTTAAAGACATTATAATTGTCTCCCATTCAGTGGAATTGAGTCTTGTAAACTATATATGTGTTAATTTCCACCGCTTATTCCAGCAGCATCTATGAATGACATGACGTTTGTAAGAGCTTTTGAGGACTATACCATGTCAGCATGACAATGCCTTGACTTTATAGACTCGACAAACTGATTGTATATGAGTGAAAAAGCGGAATGGTGGTTAAAGGAAGATATATCAGGCCTGCTTTGGTAAACAGCAGCCAGAGAGTTTTCAGTTAAATGTCCCAGGGAGAGACGTTAAGTTTGCAATATACATTGTTGATACTATGCAAAACACGGTATGGGTCCCTGGGGCAGAGCATTTGGAGAGCAGGGTGGGCCAGTGCTCCAATAGCACTAGTTGCTATCTAACAGCCAGAGCAGATCTTGTGTATATACCTTAGGAGTTCCAGAGATGGTAACTAAGTGATCCTCACCTGTAGCTGGTCAATTGGCAGGCAGGCTTTTAAAAGAAGGGATCAGCCTGCTGCAGGGTGAGGGAGAAAGAGCCAGAGGAATGGTATGTTTTGCAGCTATATTTTGCTATTGTAAATTGGTAAGTGGGAAAGCCACCCATTTCCAGTTAGTGATTATTGTGTTTAGTAAGTGCTCCAACAAGAGCAAGGAATTTTGTTTTGTCTATTTTATTTTGATGCACCTGTATATTTTGCACCAAATAAATGAGAAAAACTGAGCTGGATGAGTCCTGGACTTTGATTACCCTAGAAGGCTGTGGTTACCATGAGATCTGTGACAAAATCCTACCGGTTAAACAGGTGGTTTGTTACAATACATATACTTATAAATGTAAATATTGATATTAATGGCACTATCACACTGTCCCCAAGGATTGAGCTTTTGCTAACTTACTTTAGTTGAGCCATTATGGCCACTGTATTCTCACATAACCCCTGTGCCGACTGCGGATCAGCTTCAGGGACGGGCTATTTAAACCTAGCTACACCGGGGAGTCGGTTCCCCCTGATGAGCCTCTAATCCAGGTGAAATGCGCGTCGGGGTTCGACACTCTACTGGCATTAAATTTGGTTTCCTATTTTCCACCATACCCCTTTATCTTTTAGTGATTTTGATTTACCGCCGGCTTGTTTTAATAGCCAGTGGGTAGAATGTGGATTTAGATGGTCGACAGCCGTCTAAGTTATGTAGGTTAACCAGTTACCGATCAGGGTAATTTTATCACAGTTAACTAATACCTCCAGCAGTACACCACTCTGAACTGTCTCACTGTTCATTCAGTTCCCATGATCTTCTATCTCCTCATTGCTTTACTCTACTAGGTGCCCACGAAGGCACTATTTCTATTACTTTTTTTTTTTTTATCTGTGACCCTGTTAGGGGCGTCTGAGCTATTCTCTACTATCCTGAGATAGCCTACCAGATAGCCCCACTCAGGTTTGTTTTAGCATTGAGCGTGTGAATTGCCTAAAGGCGAGGGATTGCTTTATTAGGATGCCTCTCCCTATAGATTGGGAAACACAACAATGATACTAAAAATTGCCGGTAATAGTTTCCCTTCATTTAATATTTATATTTGCTAGGCATCGTTACAATCTGAGATCGGATCAAGGGGAACACATCAACGATATTGCACATTGCCGACAATAGTTTCCCTATATTTAATATCTATATTCATTAGCCACTGTGATAATCTGAGATTGAGTTTTTAAAGTTATCCCTAGCATGCTATTTTGATCAGACCGCCAGGATATATTCTGGTGGATTTGATTGATTTGAGTATACGGATACTTATTGTGATTTATGAATGTGGCACAGTAAACTGCAATAGAGGCTATAGTTAGGTTCTACCAACTCTCTTCATTTTACAGAGATAGAGTCTCTGCAGATAGCGCCACCAAATAATATGCTATTTCACCGATACCACGAGGATACATTCCAGTGATCCGGAGGCACTCGAGCATACTGAGACTTATTGCCACTTATGGTTGGAGCAAAATAAACTGATATAGGGGCTACAGTTAGTTTCTATTAACTCTATCTTTCCTATTTTATTCACGTGACAACTATATTTTGGGGTTAGATTAACTGTCAACAATAAGACCACAGCTGTTAATTACCACTGAGTGACTGTTTCAGTGAACTAGACACATTTGTTGATACATTGATACAACTTGTTGCAGTTACCTTTCCCCATTTAGTGTATATTTTTTCACTGCTATGTCTATGTCTATTTTATCTTCTATATGTTTGGGCTCTTTGCTGAGACCACTATAATGGACCCCTTTTGAGCCGTTTCTGTCTATTTTTGTGCTGTTTGGTAATTTAATAAAGTATCTTCGAGATTTTTAAAGAACACTATTAGCTTCCACGTATTTGTATATCCTACACTTTCAGGGACAGATCTTTTCTCCGTTTTTCTATGATTTACAATTTTTTAGGGTTACCCCCTCATCTGTTCCCTTAGATTTCCGGACATCTATTATCTGGCCAACCCCCTTTTGCACTTGCCTTCATATATGCACATGTGCAGTGTTTGCTAAGCTAAGGACTTGGTGAAAAATCTTAGATTCATTTTTGTTTAAAAAACAAAAACAAAAAAAAAACTTGTAAGTTACCTGGTGATTTGATACTTGACATGTATTTTTTGTTTTTAATTTTTAATGCATTATCAATAAAATGCATAAAAAGGATAGTAACATCCATGTAAAGAATATTGATGGAATATGCAAATTAATAAAATGCCAGATTCTTTCTTCCAGCTATAAACTTCTTAAACCTTATACAATTGTTGCATTTTATGCAGGTTATATTTTTTGACATGTCTTATTAATGCTCTGAAAAGTAATAATTACATTAGATCTTAACTTTTTGTGTAATATCGCAAGTTACCATTCTTTAGACAGCAGATGCATTCAGTTATTGAATGCACCAAGAACATAGGAAATCTCCACACATCACTGTTCTCACTGAAGCTTAATACATGCTAACAGGAACCGGTGTGAATGTTTTTTTTTTTTTTATATCTGCAGGGAAAGTGACCACTTTACATTAGCTCGCGTAAAGAACAAAATTATCATCTTGAAAAACTACACAGTCTGCTTTACAGAGTTGGAAGATCTTGTGAGTGCTTATTGTTTTTTTTGTGTTTTCATATTACCCAAAAAAGTCCCCTTTCTACCTTTACATAACTAGACTTGGTGAGTGAAAATATTGCCCTGGCGAGTATTAGTGGAGAATTCTATAGTCTCCAAAATGCTTGTCAACGTAATATTCTTTATTCATTACGATTCTTTAACTGGTATTTTGTAGATGTTTGGTGGTAAATATAGAAATATATACACTTATATAATAAATATATACATTACCTTGTAAACAATTATGTTTAAAACATGTGGTAACATATATCAAACGAACAGAACAAAGGATACAGGTAGCGCCAAAATAAATACAATATTGTGGTAAGAAATCAAAAAAGGTACCAAGTAAAAGATAAAAATGTCCTTTTGAGGTTTTAAAAGTCTTCAAATGTTCAATAAGATGTCTCAGGAGTGGTATCACACATCAAGGGCATATGCAAAGGAGGGAATAGGAGACCAATAGTGCAGTATTGTAAGTCTATGGACTATAGACAATGTAGAACTAAAAACTGCCAACTCACGTTTTTCAGAGCTATAACCAGCTCTCGGTAAAACAGCTTACAGTGCTATTTCAACTCCCTACTTATAGGATATCCTTCAAACGGTAGTTGTAGTGTAGTTTGCATGCAATTAAAGAAAAAGAAGGCCTATAGTGCTCTCCATATTTGCAAATAAGTAGTAGTAAAATGAAATATACTTACAATTTTGTGAGCAGACAAACCACTCTATGGTAACAGCATGGGTGGAACAATCCCCACCTAGGATACTTTTGATGATAGACCTGATGTGTATGGAAAATAGGTTGCACCAGGTACAAATAAAATAAACTAAATAAAAGTATAAAAGACTGCCCCAAAGCAAATAGGTAGTCTAAAAATCTTACTTTTATTTAAACAAATAATAAAATCAACGCATTTTGCCCTATTAGGCTTCTCACTTGAAGAAGCCTAATAGGGTGAAACGCATTGTGATTTTATTATTTGTTTAAATAAAAGTAAGATTTTTAGACTACCTATTTGCTTTGGGGCAGTCTTTTATACTTTTATTTTATTTGTACGTGGCGCAACCTATTTTCCATACACATCAAGTCCATCATCAAAGGTATCCTAGGTGGGGATTGTTTCACCCATGCTGTTACCATAGAGCGGTTTGTCTGCTCTCAAAATTGTAAGTATATTTCATTTTACTACTACTTATTTGCAAATATGGAGAGCACTACGTGCCTTCTTTTTCTTTAATTGCATGTAAACTACACTACAACTACCATTTGAGGGATATCCTACAAGTGGGTAGTTGAAATACCACTGTGAGCTGGTTATAGCTCTGAAAAACGTGAGTTGTCAATTTTTAGTTCTACGTTGTCTGTAGTACATATACTTACAATACTGCACTATTGGTCTCCTATTCTCTCTTTTGCATATGCCATTGATGTGTGATACCACTCCGGAGACATCTTATTGAACATTTGAAGACTTTTAAAACCTCAAAAGGACATTTTTATCTTTTACTTGGTACCTTTTTTGATTACTTACCACAATATTGTATTTATTTTGGCGCTACCTGTATCCTTTGTCCTGTTTGTTCGATTTATTCTTGATGGTTTTGAGGGTTACTTTCCTATTCAGGTGTGCAGCCCCTTGTGATCAGTTATTGTAGCGCTGTTCCATCTTTGCTTTTTGTGTTCGGTAACATATATCAGTTGTATGAGCAGGACCATTATTACCATTGTCATTGTTAGATGTATTATATATGTCGTGATAATATGTTTATATCCATACAAATTAGTTGTATGATACGTAGGACACAAAGTGCTTCTCACAGACAGTTTTATATGTATGCATTATCTTACATTCATTTCTTTATAATTAAATAATATATCAGTTGAAAAAAAATCAAGTTACATTTTTCACACATCACTGATGCTGATTATTGTCCAAAGAAAGATGAAATAAACTCAACTTTTGTGCAACAAAATGGGAAACGTTCCTTCTTAACTCCAAAGTGAAAGTCAGGTTTATTACAGGATCAACAAAATGCAAGTGCTATTATAGCCTGAAATATCTTGCTTTGCAAAACAAAACAAAAAACACCCAGACAATTTTTTTCAATACTGAATCTGATGAAATAGTCTGAGTGTTAACCAAAGACTGCAGTTATCATCATTTGTGTGCCTTGTTTGTATGTCTCTGTGTGTATATTTCTACATACAGTATCACTCATACTAATTAACTTTTGTTAGTGTTTATTTTCCTTCGTTTCAAAAGGTAAATGTATTCTTCATTTCAGAGAGCCTGTGAATTCTACATAACTGTCCATTACTTCACTATGATACCAATGGAGACAAATAGTGTGGACTTATTGAACTGGTAAGTGATTGCTATTTGTGGGTCTATTTATGGGTCAGAAAGGACAGAGTTGTCTGTTCTAATTTTAATCCGGAATATAGGATACAAAGAAAATTCATTGATATAATTATTGCGTGTCCTACGTATGTAATAGCATTAATCAGTGCAATATATTTATATGTTTTATTCTTTTATATCAATGTAACAAAACTCACAGCTGTATTCAACTAGAGTGTGTGTTGTGAGTATAATTTAAGTTGCAAACCTGTGAAAAAATACTTGCTACTGGTTCCACAGCTCCTATATGAAAAGCATATGTTGTCTTTGTAGAAGTAATCTGTAGCTGGTTGCATGTTCTAATTGGTTTCAGTGAAGAATAGCATATTATCTATGTCATCTTGTAGGAGCCACCCTCTAAAACCCTGAAGTGATATTACACAACTGTAACATATTGGCAAAACCACAACAGACTGATATTTATATGGCCTAGAAAGGACATATTCTCACGTGTCATGCTCTTGTCTTGACCAGTTCTGCTTGCATCTGTTCGCAAAGAGACTGACCACATGCAGATTAGCAACTTGCTGGTAAAGAACAGAAACACTTGATGTGGAAGTTTCACTGTAGCACCCACACCCAAAAAAGGTTTACCCTGAGCATGCGTACTTCACCCTGCGATTGGTCTTTTTTTGGGGGGTTGGGTGGTTAGCAGCAGCTGGCCATGTGTTGCAGTTGGGCTGGAAACCAGCTGCTAAGTCGAATAGTGGGAGCTGTTAGCTACTGCTTTCTTATTTTTATTGTTGCACCACTCTACACAGTGCAAAATATACCTAATAAAGGCATGCATTTATATGTATAGTTGTCTTTTGAATAAAATAACCTTTGTTGTTGTGACAGCAACATGGACCCTGGTGTGCATAAGAAGATCAAAGAACTGTGGCAGTAAGTTTTTATATGTTTCATATCTTCATTATGGTCACTGGCCTATTTTCATAATAGTTATATTGAGGCATTCTACAGTATTTGCCAAAAGGTTTATGTCAATGTATGCAAGTATATATTTTTTCTATGTTCCAATGAATCGTTAACTTGTAGACATGTCATTTTCATGTGTGTTCCATTGAACTAAAGGAAAACAAAACAATTTTTGTTTCAGAAACTACATGGCTGAACTTGCTGTAAAGGAGTGCTCACAAGGTATTGTGAATATATACTAATGAATTTAATATTGTTTGACCCGTTTAGCAACTGAAGTAGACAGCAGCATAAGTGGCAATATCTTGACAGCAAATTGCAGAAATACCTCTTTCTTATTCAATTCTGCACAGAAACAATACCCACTGATATTTTCTCCAGGTTTTTATACAACCTCCTTTACTGTGTTTTATAAGTTCCTGAATTTTCTATGCATGTCTGATTGCAAGCAATTAAAGGGACTATAGTCATGGGCGTCCGTAGGAATTTTTCCGGGGGGGGCATAATTGTAATGACATCCATGCTTGGTACCTTTTTGACAGTGTCATGAAAAGGAAGGGGCATAGCCATTATTACAGAAAGCCAGGGTGAATCGCGTTTTCACAACTATGGTGTCAGGAATATATGTATGTATTCCTGACACTATAGTGTTCCTTTAAGCAAATTAAAGGACATTTCTGGTCACCATAACAACTTCACCTAAATGAAAATGCTATGATGCCAGGAAGCCCCTGGGTGCTCGCTTTCCTTTAAGGGGTTAAATCGCTCTCAAATGGTTTAACCCCAAAGGCTTCCTCCAGCTCCAGGTCGCTCAGTGGTATTTGGCTTCTGAAACAGAGTGTCAGGAAGTGCAGATTGACGTCAGGCATGGGTGCCGCTGATTGGCTAGAGTGGTCAGTTGACGCTCTAAGCCAATTGCTAGTTCCCGGTTCATAAAATATTTTTACTTTTTTTATGAATGGGGAGCTACTGATTGGCTTAGAGTGCCAGCTGACCGCTCTAGCCAATCAGCAACACCCCTACCCAACGGCACTCTGTGCTTTCTGACACTCAGTGTTTTCTATCCTTGGCCCCTTCTGCTCTTTTACCTTTCTGCTACTTTCTGCTTATTTTGCGCCCTTCTGCTCCTTTCTCATTCTGATCCCTTTCTGCTCCTTGCAGACCCTTTCTGCTCCCTTTTATACTTTACCTTTGTGCTCCTTGCTGTCCCTTTCTGCTCCTTTACCTTTGTGCTCCTTGCTGTCCCTTTGTGCTCCTTCCTGCTCCTTGCAGGCCCTTCCTGCTCATTCTCCTACTTTATGTTTGTGCTCCTTCTGCCCCTTCCAGCTCATTTCTGACCCTTTCTGCTCCTTCTACTTTACCTTTGTGCTGCTTTACCTTCCAGCTCCTTGCTGACCCTTCCTGTTCATTTCTATATATCTATAGGCTGCTGCCCCCCCAAATCTATGGGCTGCTGCCCCCCTCCCCAAATCTATGGGCTGCTGCCCCCCCCAAATCTATGGGCTGCTGCCCCCAAATCTAAAGGCTGCTGCCCCCCCAAATCTATGGGCTGCTGCCCCCAAATCTATAGGCTGCTGCCCCCCTCCCCAAATCTATGGGCTGCTGCCCCCCCCCCAAATCTATGGGCTGCTGCCCCCCCTAAATCTATGGGCTGCTGCCCCCAAATCTATTTGCTGCTGCCCCCTCTCAAACCCTCCCCCCACTTACCTGATCTGTAGGCTGTCTCTGGCTGCATGTGTTGTTCCCCTGCGGTTTCAATCAGCAGAGAGAAGCAGGGATAAGATGCAGCTTCCTATCCCTGTCTCTCTCCATACACAAGTGCCCCCCCTTGCAGGAGGCCCCTGCGGACGCCCATGACTATAGTCATAAAACAACTTTAGCTTAATGAATCCGTTTTGGTGTATAGATCATGCCCCTGCAGTCTCACGGCTCAATTCTCTGCCCTAGTCACACCTCCCTGCATGTGACTTATGCAGACTTTCTAAACACTTCCTGAAAAGTGTAGTCTAAAGTTTTCACTTCCTTTATTGCAAATTTTGTTTAATTTAGAATTTATTCTCTTCTGCTCTGTTTATAGCTCGTTACCTCTGCAGGAGCCTCCTGCATGTAATTAAAGTTTATTTTACAGAGCAGGAGATAAAAACTTCTAACGTAAGTTACATCAGATTGAAAATGAAACTATTTTGTTTTCATGCAGGCTGTGTCAGTCACAGCAAAGGGAGGTGTGGTTAGAGCTTCATAAACAGAAACAAAAGTGATTTAACTCCTAAATGGCAGTGAATTGAGAAGTGAAACTTCAGAGACTTGATCTATACACAAAATCTGCTTCATTAGGCTAAAGCTGTTTTGGTGACTATAGTGTCCCTTTAAATTGTTTACAGAAATGCTTACACGTCAGCATAATATATGTAAAGCAGTGTTTTACTTTTTTCTGCTAAATGAGTAGCTCTGGTTACAGGTAATGCCTGTAACTACCAGCAAGAAATACCTAAATTCCTGGCAAGAGCCTTCTTTAGATGTGTAAGGTTATACAAGTCTGTACGGCTATGCAAACCTGAATTCATTGGTAAGAAAGGTTTTACAAACAAACCAGTTACCAGCTGTTTAGTACTAAATTCCACTAAATTCCTAAGGCACTTTAGAATAAGCATAAGAATGTCACTTATCAATACTGGGAATCTCTTCTGTAAATAGTAATTTAAATATGTACTAAAAAAGAGCAGGGGATCTCTTTAGGAATTATCGTATCTTGCATTCAGAAATCATAACCAGTAAAAAGCTGCTAAAAGCATAAGATGCTTACTTTGTCCCCAGCAAGTCCTCATTTAGTAAGGAATGTTTAATTCAATATAATTGATAACAGTAAAAAAAAAAAAAAAACTGTACAAATTTTAAAAAGTACCACTACAAGAGATAAGTAGTTTCGGGGGAAGGTTAAAATGCACTAAATTGTAGTGCAACATCTGTGATGGCACAAGGATGACAGTTAACCCATTTAGTGATACTTCTATTCTTTGCACGATTCCGAGTTCCAGAAGAAAAACGCAACTTATCATTTTTGGTAGGAGATAAGATAAATAAAAGATCCAGCTTGTTGCATTGAGGTTATAGAGGGAAATAAGGTTGAGATGGGCAAAAGAATAAGGGTAGGTGGTGTAAGGTGAATGAGGCTGGAAAAGCAAACAAAAAAACTAAGCAAAACAAAGGATAAAAAGGCTTGGAGGAGATGAATCAAGGAGTGTGGCACGAAGTATAAATTGAGATCCAGGAGGTGAATCATTGATGGGATATGCCAAGTGGGTGCACTGGGGGAATTGTACAGGCAATTGATAGAAACTATATTTTATACATTACCTGTCGTGCAGCGGAATTTGGGATATCCTGTGGGAAGAAGGCAGGAGATACTGATTGAGTGACATAGAGGACTGGAGAAAAGTGGAGATCCACTCTTGTGGCTGCAGGTGTAGCAAAATATAAATGTGGATAGAAGGCATTTTACTTTTATGTTGTAATTTGTGTGGAAGATGTTTCCTGTTTGTTTGGCTTCAGGGGTGGGAGTTTTGGTGGGCAGAATCCTGTCCCTGGAGCCAGACAGCAACAGGTCTTGGGTAGCACTGTTGAAAGGATATGAATACTAGCACTATTATAGAGGTTGAGTGAAATTTGCTTAGTGTAATGTTTGTGTATTTGTTTTGTCTTATTTTTACTCTGATAGATGTGTCTCTTACTCAGCTTCTCAATATTGCTAATGAAGACAAACTTAATGCTTTGAAATCTCTTGCTGAGGAGTGTCTCGATCTGGGCAAAACCAACCAAGAAACTCAACAGGCAATAACAAAATGGGGCACAGAGAGCTTTAAGAACAAGGTAAGACATATAGAGAATGGACAGATATCCATGCACATGCATGTACAGAAACCTTATGTTTGGTCATATTTAGAAGGATCTAGCTTGATTAAAAAAAAAAAATTAAAAAAAAATAAATTGGGGAAATGATCATCTTTACCCGAACTGCTTGCCAGAATGGAACACTTTTTGCAATCCTGATGAGCAGGTGCAGCTCACAATCCTGTTAGGTCGTGTAGTACAATATGCATGTGTGCCATAATTTAATAGTGCACTCAGAGTGTTGGCTTATTTATCCTAAGCATATATTTTAAAGTCTTCGGTGTAGATGGTTGATTAATATTAGGGTAGCAATATGGCATTGATGTGTAATCTGAAATTAAGGATTTCCACACTGGATGGTGTCATTTAAACCATACATTACAGAGAACACTGAACTAATGATGTCACACTTTGTGCACTGCGAGTATTGAAAACATGATCTATAACATTGGGGTTTTTTGTCATTAAAACTCACTATTTTCTCTCTTAGAATTACATTTTTTCTTCCTGTCTCACTCTTAGGACAATAGTAATAGATTTACCGTCTCTATGAATGACCTTCTTATTCCACCAAATGAGGAAGATGCATTGAATCAAATGAAAGGTAAAGTATGTAACACAAAAATACAAAGGCCATACTATTATTATTCCATACCTACTTTTTTTTAATCTGTCGTTGTGTGTACATGAATTGACAGATCATAATAATATAAACTTGTAGCAATCGTAAACCTAGTGCAGTCAGTGAGCTTTTATAGACCTTCTTCAAGTGTAGAATACAAAATTAGGGATAGTGCATCTGTGAGCATCTTTACAAAAGAGAAAAGAAGGGGAAAAGGACTGGAGCCTATGGTTGCAAAACCTCCTAGGTGGGGGATAACCCCTGGATAAATATACAAAAAGGAAAGGAAAGTTGGAGGATGCAATATCTGGCTAATTGGAATGGAATACTAAATGGTGCTTTAACCTATAATAAAACATAACATTTAATAAGGCAAAATAAAAAGTCCAGCTAATAAGGACTAGACAAAACAAAAATTGCCAACAAAAAAGAAATAAAACAAATTTGGGCTATTACAGCCATTGCATTACACCTCTTTGTAACTTTGTAATGTGTATTTCTATATGTGTCTTAGTGTAATATAGTACTATATATATACTATATATACTTATTGTAATATAGTACAATATAGTACTATATTACAATAAGACACATATAGAAATACACATTACAAAGTTACAAAGAAGTGTAATGCTATGGCTGTAATTGCCCAAATTTGTTTTATTTATTTTTTGTTGGCAATTTTTGTTTTGTCTAGTCCTTATTAGCTGGACTTTTTATTTTGACTTATTAAATGTTATGTTTTATTATAGGTTAAAGCACCATTTAGTATTCCATTCCCATTAGCCTGATGTTGCATCCTCCAACTTTCCTTTCCTTTTTGTATATCTGTGAGCATCTGCCCAAAGGTGTCAAGTATATTTAAAGAAAATAAAAACTACCACAATAAGAGAATATATTTTAAATTAGAGGGGTAAAGGTTTAAAAATAATAACAGGAAGTATTAATTAACTGAGAGGGTAGTGGATGCATGGAATAGCCTTCCAGTTGGTGTGGTAGAGCTTAACACCGTGAGGGAGTTTAAGCATGCATGGGATAGGCATAAGGATATCATAGATATCAGATAAGGCAAGAGACTAATGAAAGTATTTCGAAGATTGGGCAGACTATATGGGGAAAATGGTTCTTATCTGCCATCACATTCTATGTTTCAATCAGTCAATCAGTTTGGCTAGAAAGTCATCACAGGCCTTGAATTAGGGCATTGTTAGGCAACCTTTTAGCTTCACTGTGCCAAAAGAAGGTTTTGAAGTCCCTTGGTGAGCTGATCCTATTTTTTTTTATGTGTGTATGGTGCTGTATTCTGACTGTGTTATCTATGGGTGCTGTGGCTACGTTAAGGGGTTGTGTTTGCGCGCATGGTGTGTGTTATTGTGCATGTGCCGTTTGTTCTATTGTGTGTGAAATGTATGTATATGGATTGTGTATGGGGGCTGCTTGTGTGTGTGTGAGCTGTATGTGTTGTATTTAGTGTGGTGTTGTGCTTACGTGTGTGGGATGCATGTGTAGTTTTGTGTGTGCATACGGACTGACAGATTTGTTTTTGGGGGTAGGCTGGTGGGGCTCCATTTAAAGCTGTGTATGTGTGTGTGGACTGTTTGTAGTATTTGCTTGTTAGTGAGGCTTCATTTTGTGCTGTGTGTGTGTATATATATGTGTATATATGTATATATATATATGAATATATAAAGCTCTACGGAATCTGTTGGCGCTATATAAATGGCATTCTAGACAAATACACACAGATACATCACTATTTCTTTACAATCCCAGTTGCAATCACATTACTTGGATTGGCCACTGGAGGCAGTCGTAGGGCTGCAATGTAAAAATTGCAGTTTCTCATAAACCGCAATATTTTGCATTGCAGGACTAAGGGGGACAAGGGCAGTGCACCTAGATGAAAAGAAGTAGTTTGGGTGCCTATAGCATCCCTTTAGGCCAAAGTTGTTTTAATGCCTATAATATCCCTTTAAACTGTCTGCAAGTCAGTTAATAACATAATTACATGTATAATTCTGCCACATATAAAATAAATATATATATATATACACACACACTTTAAAATGCTTCAAAATATGTTTGTGGTGACATTAGATTGTATTGTTTAACATGATATGTGTTGTGTATGCAGGTGCTATTTCAGTACACATATGTCTATTTTCAGAGTTCACGAATGCAATTGATGTAACAAGTGACCCTGAAGATTCCATAGATGAAGTTCACACCAGTGGTGAAAGTTGTAAGTTTTTTTACCTTATGTTTAAAACTTGTCTCAGTGGTATAGCATAGCACCATATTTAGGCAACTGGCTTTAGTAGATTTCCCTAATGTACCATCCTCGCGAGGCTAACTCATAGCGACACGGTACACATAATTACCAACACATCTTTAGTTAACACCTTAAACATTATATATCATGTTACATTTTTCTAATGCTCTTATGTCCACATAATCAGAATAGTTTGTCTTTTTGTTTGTTATTTTGAGATTTATATTTTTGGAGATTTGTAATGTTTGCGTCTTTGTCCCAAGAGCATTGTTATTCATGGACATAGGACAAATCAAACCACTTTTACTTGACTGGAAACTTGAAATGTCACTGGCCAGATATGTTCTGACCTTTTTATCAGTGAACATTGAAACCAATGACTTTATGATCTTAAGATCTATGTAATAGAGCAGCTGGAAATGCTAGCAGAATGCTTGGTTGTATAGGGAGAGGTATTAGCAGCAGAAAGAGGGAAGTGCTCATGCCATTGTTCACAACACTGGTGAGACCTCACTTGGAGTATTGTATGCAGTACAGTATCTCCAGAAGGATATTGATGCTTTAGAGAGAGTTCAGAGAAGGGATACTAGACTGGTTCATGGATTTCAGTATTAAACTTACAAGGAAAGGTTAAAGGAACTTAACATGTATAGCTTGGAGGAAAGACGAGACAGGGGGCATATGATAGAAACATTTAAATACATAAATGGAATTAACACAGTAAAGGAGGAGACTATATTTAAAAGAATGAGAACTACCACAACAAGAGGACATAGTCTTAAATAAGAGGTGCAAAGATAATTTCAGGAAGTATTACTTTGCTGAGAGGGTAGTGGATGCATGGAATGGCCTTCCAGCTGAAGTGGTAGAGGTTAACACAGTGAGGGAGTTTAAGCATGCGTGGGATAGGCATAAGGCTATCCTAGACTTAAAATAAGGCCAGGGACTAATTAAAAGTATTTTGAAATATTGGGCAGACTAGATGGTTCTTATCTGCTGTCACATTCTATGTTTCTATGTTTAATAGAACAATTAGTAATGGTCAGTGATTTTAGTAGACTTTGATTGGTAAATCTTTGTATTTAGGTAGTACAGGTTTTTGCAGCCTGTTACTAAAGCTTCAAACCATTAATCAGACCAACCAAGTATTTAATGATAATATAATCCAAAATTACAAAGTAAACATATTGTTTTGCATTCTTATTTGTTCTCAGAATGCTTTGTTGTGGATACTTGTTTTGGATTTGAACTTTTTCAAAACACATTGTTACAGGACTGCCAGCACTGGGGACCCAGTATGATCACTTGTGTATATTTACTATACTTAGATGTTTCCAAGCTACAGGTTGCTAGGCAGTTCAAAATATGCACACTGATGCTGAATATTTTAAGACTTAATGCTACCTGTACTGTTTAACCCGTTAACGCCGTTACGGCGTTGTATGCCGTCCCGCATTAAGTGGGCTTTAAAGCCGCTGCGGCGGCATAGAACGCCGTAACGGCTTTGAGCCCCTGGAGGTCCACGGTACTCACCTCCGCCGCGATCCTCTTCTGGAGGGCTGCCTGACAGCCCTCCCCCGGGGACCATGTGATCGCTCTCAAATAGCTGGCTGTGGATCTGCCAGCAGGGGAACTGTCTGAAATGTCAGACAGTCCCCCTGCTGGTGGGAAGTGTAAAAAAAAATTAAACATGTTTTAAAATAAAATAGAAATGTATGTATATATATATATATATGTGTGTGTGTGTGTGTGTATATATATGTGACGTCATGCAAAGTGTATTTTAATATTAATATAAGTACATATATTAGTATTAAAATACACTTAGAATGCTGTTACATATATATAATAGATATATACACATATACGTATAATTACAATAATAAATAAATAAAATATTGAAGCAAAATTTTATATAAATTATATTCATATGTAGTTTCATTCTAACTGTATTGTTATATATATATGTAACAAAATACACTTAGAATGACATTCTATATATATCTATATATAAAATACAAATAATTGCAAATATTATATATATATATATATATATATATATATAGATAAATACATATAATTACATAAAAGATTACATTAGTATACATGTAGAATTTAAATACCTATAAATGCATATATATTAAAATTCTACATGTATATTTAAGTAATCTTTTAACATAATTATGTGATTTGATTAATTAAAATTTGATTGACATGTCTAACAACACAGGGAGAAAGTGCAGAGAATTTAATTTGCAAGCACTTTATTTGACCCTGTAACTCTCCAAGACACCATAAAACCTGTACATAGGGGATACTGTTTTACTCAGGAGACTTCGCTGAACTCAAATATTAGTGTTTCAAACTGGTAAATTGTATTACAACGATGATATTTTAAGTAAAAGTGACGTTTTTTGCATTTTTTACAAACGAACGGCACTTTTATGGACTATATTATTGTTGTAATATTTTTTACTGTTTTAAAACACTAATATTAGTGTTTAGTGAAGTCACCCAAGAATAACAGTACCCCCCATGTACAGGTTTTATGGTGTTTTGGAAAGTTAGAGAGTCACATATAAGGCTTGCATTTCATTTTTTTGACATTGAAATTTGCCAGATTGGTTATGTTGCCTTTGAGAGCGTATGGTAGCCCAGGAATGAGAATTACCCCCATGATGGCATACCATTTGCAAAATTAGACAACCCAAGGTATTGCAAGTGGGGTATGTCCAGTCTTTCTTAGTAGCCACTTAGTCACAAACACTGGCCAAATATTAGTTTTTTTGCTTTTTTTCACACAAAAACAACTATGAATGCTAAGTTTGGCCAGTGACTAAGTGGCTACTAAAAAAGACTAAACATACCCCACTTTCAATACCTTGGGTTGTCTACTTTTTCAAATGGTATGCCATTATTTGGTAATTCTCATTCCTGGGCTACCACACCATCTCAAAGGTAACATTACTAATCTAGCAAATTTCAATTTGAAAATGGAACGTTCTATATTTGACCCTGTAACTTTCCAAAACACCATAAAACCTGTTAATGGGGGGTACTGTTGTACTCGTGAGACATCGCTGATTACAAAATATGTGCATTTTTTTGCAGTAAAACCTAACAGTATTATGACATTCAGAGCTAAAATGTCAGACGGAAATACAAATTTTAAAAAAAAATCTTATTTTCTCTTTTTTTTTTTTTAATTTTATTCATAATAAATTATGTTCCATATATGAATAGTTAATGATAAATTAAAGCCCCGTTTCTCCTGAACAAAATGATATATAATAAGTGTGAGGGCACTTAATGTGACAGCGGTGAATTATGGTTGAACAGACAAATAGCGCAAATTCCAGTTTTTGTTGACGTTTTGTTTTGATCAGAACGTGCACTATTGACTCCGTCCTGAAGGGGTTAATTTCACAATGCTGTTTATATTCTATCTTAGTTCACCACATCCAATGTTCTAGGGCAGGTACTGGAAAATACAGTTTACCTTTTGTGCAAAGTATTTTGCTACCTGTAATACCCATCTGTAAGTGATGTTTTAGCTCCTTTGATTAACTCCAATATATGTGGAATCTGTACATATTTTCTGTTAAGAGTTATTATATTGGTTCTTCAAAAGCATGACGTATATGTGCAGGTGTATTGGTGGTGCACAAATCACTTGAAGGCAGAATTACTAAACAGGGGCAGCTTGTTATTATTGCTAGGCAAAGATAAAGATTTTTTTATTTTTTATTATTCTTTATTTTCGGCTGTGCAGATGGTTACTAGATTTCAACGGACGCCACAACAGCGTATTTCAAGCTTCATAAAAGATAAACCGTGGCATGATAATGCGCACATTTTTATGTTTTGCATGCTTAACTAAACTGTTGTTACGTCAGAGTAGGTTTAAATAAGATTAAGTAAGATAAAGATGCTAGATGCTTAACATTGCTAGTTCGCCTATGCTAGAATAGATATAGTGCAAGCATGTTTTGTAGCAGAGCAGTATCTAGTTATGAAATAGTGCATAGAAACGTTATTCCATTGGTATTTAGGTCATGAGGCATCTTATTATAATTAACATTGCTAAAACTTGCCTATATTATACATTAACATCACTATTCTTTCTAGACATGATTGCCCTGTGGCTAGTGATGTCCCGAATGGTTCGCCGCCGACGGTGAACATATGCGCTGTTCGGTCCGCCCCCTATTCGTCATCATTGAGTAAACTTTGACCCTGTACCTCACAGTCAGCAGACACATTCCAGCCAATCAGCAGCAGACCCTCCCTCCCAGACCATCCCACCTCCTGGACAGCTCACTAAGAATGCAGATTCACAATGAATGTAAAATGGATGCTGTCCAGGAGGTGGAAGGGTCTGGGAGGGAGGGTCTGCTGCTGATTGGCTGGAATGTGTCTGCTGACTGTGAGGTACAGGGTCAAAGTTTACTCAATGATGACATAGGGGGCGGACCGAACAGCGCATATGTTCGCCGTTCGGGACATCACTACCTGTGGCACATTGCTATGTCCAGCCTAGCACTCAAAGTAGCATTCTTACGCAGTCCAAGCAAGGTTATTAACTTCTTTATCAATTTTCAGTGTCCATAGGACCATCAGGAACGTTTTTTCATCAGTGTTAGTGTTATTACCACCAGTCCATGAGGACGTATGAGTATGGTCCAATTGTGGCTTGAGTTATGCTTCAGGGTCCTGGTACTCAGCTGGATCGTGTGCTCTAAACAATCCAGGAATCATTCACCCGTGTGAAGCAGTGTGGTAGGCACTTCATCCTATGCCCCGCGCTGTTAGGATCCGCAGGCTGTTGCTATTCTTCTTGTCATAGCGATCACAGGGCCCGGTGTCTCCATTTCGGGGTTGAGCTCCAGGACGTCTCTTCGTGGTGTGCAGTTTCCCCTTCACTTGTATTGCAGTATTGGTTGAGGAGTGTCGCTTGGTGCTGGTAGCCGGGATTTAGGTCAGGTATTTTAGTAGTGTGTGTCATTGTTGGATTGGAGATCTCGGCTTTGCTTGTGGGTGGGTGAGAGCGTGTGTCCGAGAGGCCTGGCGCCGGGTCCCGTCTCGATGCCCTTCCATATCTATTTTGCCTGACTGCCATCTTGGATGCTTGGGGTACCTGTATGTAGTGCCTGCGTCGCGCTGTTGGTCACAACCATGAAGCCACCTTCCGGTCAGCTTGGCGGTGAGTTGCTCCCCGGTTTCGCAGCGCAGGTCCAGTCAAATATTGTCATGTTTGCTCGGCTCAGGTTGGTCGACCATTTTGGCTGTACCTCTTCGGTCTGTTGCCCTGCCATTTCTCATGGTTGGTGTGGTCTTGTTCCATGCTGGTCCGTATGTGCTTCGGAGTCCGGGATGTCCCCCACCGGTCCATGGGGGGGGGTATGCTGAGGTGTAGTAGATAGTGGGTTCTTGCACCAAGGGAAGCGGCCGCCTCCCCCCTGCTTCAGCCCCAGTAGTCCGCATGTGGAACTCCGCTTTCCCCGCGACGACAGGCACCGGGGTGAAGTCGGTATACACACAACCCATGGGGCCCCGGTGCGAAAACTGATCCGTGGCCCCCCCCCCCACACCCCCGGGCAGACCGGGGCCGCAACACATGGTGGCGGGCACCTGGTCGCAGGGATGCAACCCCCTGCGACCGCGGCATGTACCCCAGTGCATGCAGATACACATACACTTAAAGGACCACTACAGACACCCAGATCACATCAGCTCAATGAAGTGGTCTGGGTGCCAGGTCCCTCTAGTTTTAACCCTGTAGCAGAAAACATAGCCGTTTCAGAGAAACGGCTATGTTTCACTGAGGGTTAATACAGCCTCTCATTGACAGCTGCTAGAGGAGCTTCCACTATTCTAACTGTGAAAATCACAGTGAGAAGACGCTGAACGTCCATAGGAAAGCATTGAGTAATGCTTTCCTATGGGCGGTTTGAATGCGCGCGCGGCTCTTGGAGGGGAGGGATCCCTAGCGCCAAGGGAGTCCGGCGCAGGAGAAAGGTAAGTGCTGAAGACACACACTCTCACGAACAGACGTATACACTAGCTAACAGACACACACATTTACTGTCACACACACTCACTGACAGACACACACATACACACTTACTGACAGACACACACATACACACTCACTTACAAGACACGACTCACTAACACACACAGTAACACACACTGACACAAAAACTAACACTAATACACACACACACTAACACAAAAACTAACACACACTAAAACAAACTTTTTTTTTTTTTTTTTAAATGTCATCCCCCAGCCTCCCTACCTTAGGGAGTGCTGAGGGGATTCCCTGGGGTCCATTGGGGCTGCCCGGCGGTCGGTCCTGCGGGCTGGCGGAGCACTCTCCCCTGAGGGCTTCCTCTTCTGCTCCCTCGTGCGCCGCGTACTGATGCAGGAGCCGGAAGATGACGTCATGTTCCGGCCCCTGTCTCAGTACGCGGCGCGCAAGGGAGCTGAAGAGGAAGCACTCAGGGGAGAGTGCTCCCCCGCGCACCCGCCCGGTGACACCACCAAGGCCAGCCTCGGAGGTGGTCGGCTCCTGGGCCCCCCATGAGCAGAGGCTGGCCACAGTGGGTACATACCGGGTCGCAGGGCGGCCGGGCCCCCGGTATGTACCCACTGGGTATACTCAGTGGGGCACCCCCAACGTGGGTAGTGCACCTTCCGATGCTTGTGGGCTTGTTGGCCGTCTGCACGGCTCGGCGGTCAAGCTCCGCCCCCCAAAGAGAGAGGTTTTTAAAAGGACACTATAAGAAACCAATCACAGCCTCACTTTTTACCTTATTCTACTAAAATTACAAAAGAGAAGAAAATAAAACAAAGAAAGCATAAAAATAAATAATTATATATACAAGAAAAAAATAAAAAGGTTAAAAAAAAAAAATAATAATAATAATAAGCTTGCCTCTCAACCCTTTTTCAAACAGCCAGTAGAATTGTGTACACTTGTAAAGGGAATTTACAATTTTAGGCCACAAGAGGAAAACTATTTTCCAGCCTAAACATTTTTGCCTTAAATTTGCAATTCACAGGATCTTCACACTTCCCAGTTAATGGAATAAATCCCAGAATATTGCAAAATATAAACCTACACTCTAAACATTGTTAAGCAGTTTTATGAAATACTACATGTTTTAATGCCATTTGAAACTTGCTTTTGCAGCACTGCCATACAGCACAGCATTATCGTCCGAGAATGAGGAGCCGTACTGTGATGTTCTAGAAACCCAATTGGGTAATCCATGGAACAAGCTGCAGTCGCTTTGTGTTAGTCTAAGTTCAGGCTCTGGTAAGTAAGTAGATGGATACATTGTTCTATCGTATCGACAATACATCTCTTCTTCATTCAGTGATTTCTTTAAAAATTAAGAAAGAAAAAGGAGGGTTTAGGCATATACTTGTAACTGTTACGTCTCCTGGATGCAGAACATTTGAAAAGATGCTTCTCTCTCCCACATCCGCAGGCAATACCACAAAAACCCCATACAGGATGCACAGCTACGTCAAGTATAAAACAATAGGGAAGATTTCTTCTAAAATGCTATTTATGGAGTTAAATGTGGTTCATTAACAGAGAAAAGTGCTCATAGTGTAAAACTGCAAAAACAGACACACTTTATTTCATAAGCAAAAAAACAACACATTTTAAAGGCACTGATTAATTTCTGTGCAACGTCGCTTTGTAAAATAGAAAAGTATGCAATTCACCAGCCCACTAGTTGCTCCAAGGTGCTTTATTTTTGATCTGGTGTCCTCTAACGCAACCACAACTCAATTTATCACATTCTGTGACTTCCTCAGGACTGCAACAGCTTCATTTAATTACAGTGGTTATAGTGTTTGGATTCCTCTGGAATTGTTCTTCAATTTACAGTAAATCATTTTTAATGTTTTAATGCTAAATGAGAGTCGCCAGCAGCTCATCCCCTCTGTGCTGCTTTGTTTAATAGGAAAGTATTAGCCTGAGCAACAACAGGCAGATGTGACTGGCTGAGAGTGTCAGCTGACTTGTTGCAACATATCAAATTGCATATTGCTTGTGTGAATTGTATGTGTAGAACAAAGTGTGTAGTTTTTGCCTTGACCATATCTCCATTAGGATCCAGCTGTGGGTGGCCAGGGACCAATATTTAATGTTAAACTGCTCAAAATTGGTTTAACACTGAATTAAGGCACAGCGCCAGCAGACTCCAGGCACTCTACCAGTTCAATGAATTAAAGTGCTTGTAGTGCCTACAGTGTCTTCTTAAGTGCATTTTAAATGTGTGATTGCTTTTTATCCTTAAATAATTTCTGTTTATGCAATTTTACACTATGAACACTAAATAGCATTTTAAAAAGAAAGCCTAGCTATTGCTGTAGATATAACTAGGGCAGAGATTACACATTTCTTAAGTCATACCAATTCATACCAGCAATGGATGGCTGTGAAAGGATGAAAGCGGTCAGCCAGTCAGTGCCCAAGCAGTACAAAGGCGATGGGCTACTAAGGACTTTTGATTACCCTTAAACCATCAAAAATGGTTTATCACTAAATGGAAGGATGACACTTGGGGACTCCATACATTATAACAATTATAATGAAATTAAGCATGTCCAGTGTCATTTATAGGCTTTCACAATAGGCACTATAGGCCAGTGGCAGATCCAGAGTCTGATTTTGGGAGGGGCACTTGTACATTATTTAAAGAAATAATCCAGACAAAATAACCACTGCAGCTCGGTGTAGTGGTTATGGTGTCAATAGTGCCGGCATCCCCTCCCAGAGTAAGTAGTCAAACCGTTTAAGATCAGTTTGACAACTTACCTGAGGTCTGCTGGGAAATGGGGCTGTAGTTGTCACGATTCATGGAACCTAACACGCTGGGGCACACACACACACACACACACACAGAAAAGGTGCCGTACTGGACCTTAGAGTGGCCGGGCTAAGCACGCTAAGAATAGTCAGGAGACAAGCCAGGTAAAGGGAGCCAGAAAACAGGAGAACGAGAAACAAGCCGAGGTCAAAGGAGTGGAGAAGACAGAATAATCGGAATAACGAGCCAAGTAATCGGTAACCAGAGAGCAAGACGAGAACACTACGCTACAGGTATCACAAGACCACAACAGGGCACTGAGGGACAGGAAAGGTAAGTATAAATACCCTTGGTTTAATTCTGATTGGATAACTTCCAATCAGAATTAACAATCACACGTGGGGGATATCTATACCCCCCACTGTGATTGTGGTACTGTTTCTTTAACGCCGGGTCACTCACGTGACCCCGGCGTTTACATAATTCATTGACCTCCCAGCGTGCAGCGTTATACATGCTGCCGCTGGGGGGCGTGGAGGACGCGAGCGGCAGAGAGGAGACGCCGCTCGCCGAGAGGTAAGCAGAGGGGAGACCGCGGGCGGCGATGGAGTGAGGGTGAGTGCTGCAAGCGGCGTGCAGCCTCCCCTCCTAGCCCTGACAGTAGTAGGGCATAGAAGCAGTGGTGTGTGAGTGGTGCAATGTGTAAGGGGTGCAGTGTGAGTGTGAAGGTTGCAGTGTGTGTATGGGGGTATAGGGGTAATGTGTGTGTGTGATTATAAATAAAGCTCCCTGAACCTTATCACACATACACTGCCCCCATACATACTAATTAAATTTAAAAAAAACATATATTATTTAAAAAAAAGCCCCCCTACAATTCTTATAGGTTTTTTTTTTTAAATGTTTTAATTAAAACAAATATACATTATATCCCCTCTCCCTTCTTATCTTTACTTGGAGGAGGGGGGACATTTCTCGATCCCTGGTGGTCCCAGTGGTAAGAGTGAACCGGAGATCCGGAGTGTTGCCGTGGTAACTGCAGCAACGATCCGTGCTCGCGAGAAAAGGACCCAGAGGAGCTCCCGGGTCCTCTCTCCCTCCTCTGCTGGCTGGACGCACGGTGCCTGCGCACCAGGGAGGGAGATCTCTGATTTCCCCTATGGTTCGTGAAGGCACATTGCAGGGCTGGCACTGGGACAATGCCAGCCCTGCATTAGCCAGCAGGAGAGAGGGAGACTCTCGGTTTTCTCGGAGGGGGCAAATACCTCCGTTACACCATGCTTTCACAATTATGAGAAGGACCAAAGTATCCTTTGACTTTAAGCTGCAGTTTAATGGGGTGAAGCTTCATTTTCATGGACCGAAATGATTGGGTGAACTGGATAAGGAAATTAACTGAACCGTGACATTAGAATCTAGGATTGTTATTTATTGGTTTTTGCTTCTTTCACATTGTCCAGATATGCAGTTTTTTGCTTTTCAAATCTCCCTGCAGGCTGTATTTTCAGTATGCCACTATTTCTTCCATTCCACGTCCCCTTTTTTCTAAGGCCCACAGGCACAGACTTTGATAATTCCAGATCACACATTGCATTTGCCCAGTAGATGTCTTTGGCTATATTCTGACAAACATTCCCTTACAGGATATATTTTATAGATAATGCAAATCATATGTTGGTTGATGATCCTGAACACTAACATAATGCATGTTACAAATGTGGCCTTTTTTGCCACCAACCAAACCACATTCTATATCTTTTATAGTTACTGATCCCACCCTGTCTTGAATACCTTGTGTTTTTAATGTACAGGTTGGATGCACACTACCACATATTTACAGTATATATTACCACAATAGATGCATCCTTTCTATAATCAAAACTCTTGTGGATCATTGACAAACCTATTTCTACAAACACTTGTTTATTACAGTCTTTGTGCAGTGTGTTTTTTATATAAATATAATTTTTTGTACAACTGTGACATACTTGTGCTTCGATGAAAATGCATGCATAATTAAATTGATAGAAAAATTTATCTCAGTATAGTATTGGCTAAGATGTTATTCAAAATGTTATATTGGTTGCTTTAAAAACAATTTTTAAAAAAAAATTGTTTAATTTTTTTTAAATTTTTTTTTTAAAAGCTTCCCAGACCAAAGAATCATCACCATTTGTCCCACAGAGCAGTGAGGAAGACATTTTTGTAGACCCAGACAGCAGCACTCCCGACCTCTGTCTGCTACATGTAGATGATCCTGCTGCCAAGGACGTACCTAAAAATGTGGATGAGAATTCTCCACTTATATTTTCAGACAGTCTTACCGATCAAGATCCATCAGAACAACATGATAAAATACTGTGTAACAGCATGAGCCTGTTGGATGGTAACACCACTCTCATGTGTGTACAAAAAAAACATTCAAATGTGCAAAGTAGCCCCATCAGCCCAGTACGGCAACTCCGCTCTCCTCAAAGCCAGTTGTCTGAGATCAAACAAGGCAAGATGAATTCAACTATGTCACCTTGTATAGAATCTGAGGTCAGTCTTCGAAAAGTCAGATGCCTTGTCTTTCCAACTGAAGTCAGAAGTGAAGACAGTGAAAGCAGAGGGGCGTTGTTTACAACCAGATCACGAAAGGCCATTAAGAGGAAACAGATTTCAGAAGATTCAGATGTGACGTCTACTGATTTTAATAAAATGAACAATCAATTAGAATCTGCACATAAAGAAGGACCAAACAATAAAAAAGATTGTGTAACTGTTAAATCAACAGGAGAAAAGCATACATCAGTTAATGATAAAGAGATTGAGAATAATATGAATGAAAGGACTAATTTTGGAATAGAACTGAATTCTTATTTTGAAAACGAGCTAGAGAAACAAGAACAGGTTGTTAGAAAGATCAACATAAGAAAGTCTAAAGAGTGCATTAATACTCTAGTCAAAAAGAAGCAGGAACCATATCTATCCAGTTTTACAGCTAGAACCATCCATTGTTTGAACAAAGATAGAGAAAATGAAGTAGTGTCGACTGGAAGTATAGCATCAAACCAAAATAACCATGTTGGAGAAACTACTAATGAAGAACGTACCAAGGCACAGGGCTGTAAAGTCATGAAAACTACACCAGTCATAGATCCGAACACAAGCAATGTGGTGAGCATGTGTATAACTGCGTTCTATTCAAAATGTTATTTATAATTAATTCTCATGGTAGCAAAAGCAGGGGTTATGATTAGCTCTGTTGAGTAGAAATTCACCTGTGTAGAGTGTGCCATGGACCCTCGAGGCTTGCACTGGCTAGAAACATTTTAAGATCTGGATAGTAGTATAGAGCTTAATATTTTAAGCCCTGGCATAAGACATGTATTAACATTTTGTTCATGAACATCTATTTGCTCTATTAACCTCATCACGTTTAATTGATGGTCAAACAGTTTACTGCTGACATCATAAAATGCAGCATTACAGGAAATCATGCTATTATCTATGTAACAGAGGCACAGTAACAAAATAAAGGTGAAAAAAAGTGTAAAACTACAAAGTATTGCACTCTTTTCCACAATAACAGTCCATGTGACCATAGGACTTATTATTCTACACTGACTGATGTTTAGTTTTCGGCATTATGTCAATATAAGTTTGTATAAAATGTAGTAATTAACTGTAATAACATGTCATCCAACAAAAAAACTTTCTGTAAATGTAAACTATATTGAAAAACATTGGTTTTTAAATTTGTCATAATACTAATTGAGCATTTATTAGGCAGCACTACATGTGGAGCAATCACCAAATCAATCTTTAGAATGTGCTGGCCGATTGTTTGGAATTTGGAATAGCCTTCGTTTTACGTTGATATAAACAGTCTCGGTGAAATATCAACTTTTATATAGACTACTATCAGGGGACTAATTTAATCCATTTAAATAATAAAACAGAAACGTTGTTTTATGGATTAAGCAAAATGTAGTTTGGCACAATGGGGGTTATGTATAAAAAGTGTTGTGTTCTTTAAAATAGTCTAAAGTGCTAAAAGTGGAATAGTCACCATGAAAACCAGTGGAATCAACAGGCATATTTTAACATAACCCACTATAAACTCACAACTGCTGTGTTATATTGTTTTTTTTAAATCTTTATTTCAAAGATATATTTCATACATAACACAAATGAAAGAAAAATAATACATTCTAGTATGTAACCCAAATAGCTGGATTATTCTTTACACAACAGCATTTTAACCACAGCAGAAAACAGGTAAGTACAGTGTGAGTAATTCAATATATGAACTAGAAATTTGTAACCAAACTTGTAGAAGTACCACATTGGTCCCATTAAAGAAAGGGAGACTTACAATCTGAAAGGAGGGGAGCGGTAATGCGGGGTGAGGGGGTGGGGAGGATTCAGTGATAGGTTCAGTGATGTTCTCTGTGCGACCAAGCACCGATAATATGAGTTCACCCCTACCCCCATGTGAACCCTGCACTCGGAACAGTTGCCATACACTAGGAAGAAAGTTAAGAATCTCATGGCTGGCTGGAAATATAGTTCAGTCATTGGGCGTGCATAGTTCAGAGCAGTCTTTTAAAGCTTTTGTCATCTACTGCTGGAGGGTGGGTGCAGACGGCTGCCTCCACAGAGCTGGAATAAAGGACTTTGCTGCAGTTAGCAGATATCTGGTTAGAGACTTCTTCTATACAGATAATAGTAACTTAGTATGACATCGTAGCATCACGAGGTGACAGAAATGGAGGTCAGTTTTGGCTCAGTTATTTTAGCATTATTCATCTCTCACAAAGGGACAATTTTGAGGTATGAACACCAGATGTGCAAACTGGAACCAACATCCCCCAAATCTACCACAAGCTTCAGGCACCCCTGATAAATTATTTGCAATACATGTCAAGTATTGTAACTTGTAATTTAGTTCCTGAAACTTAGAACAGATCGTACCTTGGTGAGTATAAATATTTTCTTCCATTGGTCTTCAGTGTGCAGAAAGTCAAGCTAGGTTTCCCATCTTGCGACAAACTGCGGATACACATCTAGAACAGCAGTTGATATCATGGAGTAAAGAGTAGAAATACTACAGGTCATATGTCACCTTGTGGAGAACAAGCACTCTTGAAAGAGATGCCTAGTAACTTTGGTAATTGGAAATACCGGAACCTCTCTAGGCTTATGAGCAGGTGAACGGAAATTAAATCTTGGAGCAGTTTGATAAAGTCAGAGGAAGAGAATTTCTGCAGCTTTAGGAGATTCACGGGATACTTCAATATTGATGGGTGCTTAACATCATTGAGTCATACAGGGAGGACCAACTGTGTACGTTTTACCTTGCCACACCTGCCTTTCCAAACAGAATTTAGAATGAAAGAGGTAAGCAACTGGAAAGACACACAAGGTATCCAAAAGGGGATTGTCTGGAACAAGTACAAGAATCTGGGAAGCAGGCTCATCTTGACGGCATTAATCCTGCTGAACTAGAAGATGTACTATTCAGACTAACTCACCATATTGGACAAAAATGTGCTCAGAAAATTATCCAGATAAAACCAGTCCAAATCTCTAGATTTTCAGGTATTTGAGGTGGTACTTGCACCACAAGAAAGGGAACTGGGCCTGAAGGTATCCAGACATTGTAGCTGGAAGAAATATGCTTACTACTTCTGTTTTGTCCATGTTTAGCTTCAGGTTGGATAAATGTCTTGAAGGCAATCAAGAGGTGCAGAAGAGAAACCGAGGACCTCTCGACAAAAAAAAGAGCATGTCCTCTACATAAGCTGTAATGTTATACTCCACTTAACCATGTGAGAACCCTGTTATGCTCTCATTCTCTTGGATCATATCTAGAAAAGATTCTAGAGTGGTGGTAAACAGAAGGGGGAGAATGGGGAAACCTTGTCTCATACTTTTTGGATCTTTATTGGCTGGGAAAGTGTCCCATTTATCTGAATATGAACACTAGGGGTCAATATAGGGCAGCAACTAATGTGAGATTGTTCAGGTCAAAACCCGAAGAGTTGAAGTCACAAGGTGCCTAGAAGGATTTCCTGACACTAATTCCAGGCCGCATAAATAATGTTAGGTGTAGCAACCATGAGTAGTTCATCACAAAAGAGAGCACTGCTGTGCTCTTCATCCATAGCATGCCTAAAATGTTCAGTTCTGTACATTTTTTGTGATTAAAGTGTTAATGTAGCAGTATTTAAGAATCATAATGTCATTATTATTTTATTCAAGACCTACAAAACTTTGGAAAACGATAGTGATGTGAAATGAGAATGAATGGCATTATATGTACTGGCTAGAAAACTGTTATTACACAACTGAATAGGTACTTTGTAATTAATGGAGTGTCATGGAGTAGTTACTGAGCATAGTTCTAATGATTCAATCCTAATGTATCAGGTTAACTTTCATGTTTGTTAATGGGAGTAAACCTAACTTCTTAAAGAGAAAAGTTCATGTCTTGTTTAGACAGGCTTGAGTTTGTTATCTGGACCAGTGAACATGGTAATTATACTGTAGCCGACTTTGTTATACAAATACCCACCATACCCCACCCTGGTAGAAGAACATACCCAATGAAATGGTATGGATGTAAAAAGAATGCATGTGCATACAGTGCATTCAGAAAGTATTCCAAACTGTTCATTTTCTACTTCAATCTAAATTTAAAAACCCATAATGACAAAGTAAAACAGATGTTTGACACTGTTGCAAATATACTTAACAGAAACAAGCTGAAATATCACATTGTAAGTATTCAGAACCTTAAAGGATCACTATAGTGTCAGGAAAACAAACTTTGAGAGTACCCATTCTGCTAATTGGAATTTACAGGACTTTCGAGCGCTGCTCCCTACCACTAACCCCAACCCTAAGGTAACCCACTGCTTATATCAATTCTGATATTAGATCATGGATTTTACTATTTAACACGTTAGATAGTGTGACGAGACCAATCTCGCTACTGTGCATTGGAGGAGCCTGGTTGCCCCCCTGTTGCCTTTAGACTATGGCCCCATGTTGAAACGCTTGATTTTCCCCTGCAAAGACACTAAAGCCGGGTCATTTGGTACTTGCCTTATTTGAACAGTGATACCCTAGATAGCTATGCCATGGAGTCCATTCGTATAACGAAAGACTATATGAAAGACTTTGGCTCCATGGCAATTGAACTGTATGTATGTGATCTGAGAGCCATTCAGTAATAATGTGCGCTCAGATCTAAGCTATCTGGGGATATGTTGAATGTACCTGTTTTATGCAATAGCTGCACAGTTATATATTTTATGTATTTTATTGTCTTTTGCTACCATGTGTTCAATGGAGTTTTGCCTCTGTCCTTGGAGATAATTGGATTACTTCCCAATTATCTCCAGGATAGAAGACTCTGTGGAACTGGTTTTGGGTAGAAAAGCCATGCTTCATTTGGTCACAAAGGACTTCGATCTATCTTTTGAACCACTGGACCAATTTAGATGATTTTGATTTTGATATTTGGAGTTGCTGATTCTGAAAATGTAAGTTTTACGTGAATGTTATGTATACTTTTAAAATGATCAATAATGTGGAAAAACTGTATTTCTCTGCCTGTGATAATTACATTAACCCATTGTGTAAGGCAGATGGGAGGATTTTGTGTGGGAGTGTCTGAGTGTATTGTACGTGTCTATTGGTTGTTTTACAAAACCCTGTGGGTGGTACTAATGTGTAAGAATGTGTATATGTGATGAGAGCAATCTCGCCACATTGCATTGGAGAAGCTTGGTTGCTCGCCTGCTACCTTTGGACTATGGCCCCATGTTAAAAGACATCTTTTTCACTGCAGAAAAAACTTATTCGTGCTTTTTCCCCGGTGTTTGGTAGATTCGCAGATTTACTGAATGAACTCATATAACCCAGATAGGTATGCCATGGAGCCTATTCATGTAATAAAAGACTTTGGCTCCATGGCAATTGAACTGTATGCGTTTGTGGTCTGAGCGCCATTCAGTATTAATGTGCGCTCAGACCTAGGCTATCTGGGCATATGTTGCATGTCTGTATTTTATGTCATAAATGTAACCTTGTGTATTTTATTGTATTTTACTGTCTTTTGCTGCCATGTGTTCAATGGAGTTTTGCCTCTGTCTTTGGAGATAATTGGATTACTTCTAATTATCTCCAGGATAGAAGACTCTGTGGAACTGGTTTTGGGCAGAAAAGCCATGCTTCCTGTGGTCACAAAGGACTACGATCTATCTTTTGAACAACTGGACCAATTTGTATGATTTTGACGTATGTTTGTATTTGGAGTATGCTGATTCTGAAAATGTAAGTTATGTGAATGTGATGCATACCTTTCAAGTTATGAATAATGTGGAAAAAATTTATTTCTCTGCTTGTGCTAAATTATATTACCCATTGTGTAAGGTAATTGAATCACATGCAGAGGGGAGGAATTTGTGTGGGAGTGTCTGAGTGTATTGTATGTGTTTATTGGTTGTGTTCCAAAACCCTGTGGGTGGTACTAATGTGTAAGAATGTGTACATAAGCACAATAAACCCACAGCTCTGTCTGTTCACTGCTTGACCCTCAAAACGGAGCCTTGTCTCGTTCTTGGGGGGATTTATTGTATGCTGTTCCAGTTTGACTGCTAGGAGTGTAAACCTATTCGTACGGTTTTTCCTATTCGGCTGTTTACAGCATTCGTATGGTTCCGGTTCGGCTGTTTTTGGCATTCATATGGTTTCCTATTAGGCTGTTTACAGCATTCGTATGGTTCCGGTTCAGCTGTTTATGGCATTCATATGGTTTCCTGTTCGGCAGATTGGTGTCTTTGGTAGCTGCCTGTGTATCTGGAAGGGGAATATCCTCTACTAAATGGCGTTTAACCCCTTTTATGGCCGGGGTGCCATTACAGATAGTGATCTGTGACCGGCTGTTTTAAAAATTGCATTTAGTGTGTTTATGAATGGAGCCCTGTTTACCAGCTGATTACACAGAGATCAGTGCTGAGCAGCTTGCAAAGCCCAGCACCGGTCACGAGTTACGTGCATCCCAGAAAAATCGGTGGGCTGAGCATGATCATTCAGCTGTAGTTCTTTGAATTTAAGGGCTCCATGCAGCCCTGAATTCCAGCACTGCATAGAGCTCATTGGTCAGTCTGGGGCCCCCAAAAAGTTCACCAGCTGAAAAACAGGCTCTATGTAATGTGTGAGGGATTATGCAGCATGTATGTAATGTGTGAGGGACTGTTCAGCATGTATGTGATGTGTGAGGGATTGTTCAGCCTGTATGTAATGTGTGAGGGACTGTTCAGCCTGTATGTAATGTGTGAGGGACTGTTCAGCCTGTATGTAATGTGTGAGGGACTGTTCAGCCTGTATGAATTGTGTGTGTTGGTTGTATTTTGTAAGTGTTGTGATTCTGATTTTTATTCTTTACAATGTGAGTGTTTTATGCATATGCTAATAATATATACATGTAAATATTAAAATAATATAATAATATACATATGTATTTGGATATATGCATAACACCCTAAACCATTAAAGTGTAAATTGTTTTATTTAATCAAACCTTATCCTCACTACTTTACACACAGACTTTCTTTGGAATACACATCAACACACAATCCCTGACCTGCACATTGTCATTTTGACACACACTGATACACATACACACAAACACACTCTCTAGCCCATACACACACACCATACTCACACACAAACTAACACACACTCACCCGCATACTGTTACCTGCAGCCTTTATGATCCTGCAGTCTGTCTGCAACTTGTCCCCTTCACTTCTCTTTCCTCCATGCACAGTGTGGGATATGATGTCATGCTGTATTCTGGCAGCCATAAGCTCTGTGCATCGCAAGGTGTGACTGCTGCTTCTTAAACATCATCATACCTGGCAGTCCTCTGCAGCCCCTAGCTGGCTCTGTGTGAAGGCAGACAGTCCATCCTGCAACTCCCGCACGTCAGACGATATACACTTAACATACCTGGATTAGTGGTGTAAGAGGGGATTTAACCCTGCATAGACCACAATCTTTTTATAGGCGTTTAAAGCCCTATTTAAAGAACTGCTTGCAGTGCTGACTTTCAGCACTGCTAGCAGCTCATTAAAAGGTCTGGAGCCACTATGAATTGCCCAAGCAGACTAAGGGGCTTCCATCCACTGAAACCTGGGGCTCCCATCCATTGAAACCTGGGGCTCCCTAGTGTGAACAGGCATTTATGTCCATTTAACGTAGGACAGCATGGAACGCCCTAACGTCAGGTTGTCAGGTAGGGGTTAACTACATGAAATGATCCAGCCGATTCTGTTTCTTATTCCTTTGTTTTTTAAGCTCTCCTAAAATGTTTATTTGAGAGACAATTAGCTCTACTTCAGTCCTCACATCACATCTTAAGCCAGTTTCACAGATTAATAATATAGGCATGGTGAATACCTTGTGGTTTGATTGCTGAACCATAAGTCAGGAAAATAAATAACTATTTAGTGCATGAGCGCACCCATGACTGCCGTACATGTGGTAACATGCCTATTACCTGGTAGATTGAGATATTTATCTGAGATAAGAGCACGGGGGAGTGAAACTCTAATCGTGTTTTCAAACTAAGATATAACTAGCATTTAGAAATAAAGGAAAGGGGGCTAACCATAAAAATTTTTTAGGATTTACTACTACTTTAAAAAAAAAAAAGAAGTAATTATTTACATTCATTTAATTACTGCTTATAACACCCCTGTGGATTGGTAAATTGCCCCAAAGGCCCAGAAATTATGCCTTCATGGCAATCTCCACAATATCACAGCTGTGATGATTAAGGAAAATGTTCTTTCTTTTAAATTATAACTTCAACTTCTGAACAGCATTTTGGAATACAGCCTCCCCTTTCTCAGAAATCAAGTGTAATTTCACATTTTCTAAGCTTTGGGATCTATAGAATATCATTAACACACTCCAATTAGATTTTTTTTTACATTATTCCGATATTTCTGTGTGTTTTACACAATGTTTTCATGATAATTTTGCTTTGTATACAGTATCATATTCATTACTGCACTGCATCTATTTACAATCAATTTTTTAATGATTTTTATTTAAAATAATTAGCAGATAACAAGGTGTTTACCTTTAGACCCGATAGATAACTAGTTAACCCCTTAAGGACAGAGCTTCAGAAGCTTGTCTTTCACTTAATGACAACAGCATTGTTTTAATTTTTTGCTGTTTGCGTTCAACTGCAATTTGCATTTTACTAATTTATTGCACCGACACGTATCATATATTGTTTTTTAAAGGACAGAAAGGGCTTTAATTTTATGTAACACACATATATATAAATGCTTATTTATTATAAAAAAATACAGAAAAATGCAAAAAAAAATTTTTTTTATTTTTACAGTTTTTGCAATAATATGTGCATAATTAGTGCAGGTTAAGGAAAGTAATTAAAAATAAATTCATTTAGTTGTTCTGATTTACAGAATATATAATGCGTCTGGGATTTTAAGTTATTTTTGGTAGTTACAGGTCACAAAACACAAGGAGTAAAATAAACTCTTAATGTGGAGCGATTTTAGAATTTGGTATGTTTGTCTTGTAAGCTTAATAGCCATAAAAGAAAACAAAATTTCCACACAAAAGTATATATTTATATAAAGTAGACATCACAGGCTATTTACCTAGGGTTGTTTTGACACTTTCTACGTAGCCATTTCACCACCAACCTCTGCTAAATATTGGAGTAAAATTGTGGGTTTTTTTGGTTTTTGGCACACAAACTTATAACAAAGAAATTCTCATGTGTATTTTGTAAAGTTGGTGTGTGCTATTCCTGTACAAAGTTTTATTTTGTGTTCAGTTACATCTGCTGAGTAAAATGACACCCCCATTGTATGTCTTTGGCACAATTTCGTGAAGTTACAGTGCCATATAGGAGGCCTGTTCTTTTCAGTATTCACAGTAGAATTTTGAGAGACAGATTTAATGAGCCTGTGCTTCCATTTGGGGTATTATAACAGTTTGACTGTTCAAAAAATCCCACAAAGGCCTACCATTTGTAAATGTAGACACTCCAGGGTATCTCAAAAGGTGCATATTATGCCTTAACATGCCCCCATTTTTTCACCAATATATGCCAAAGTATGTGGTAAAAGATAATTTTGTGCGTTTTTTTTACACATGGATTGTATTTTTGCTGGGCATTTTGTATATTTCACACGTGCCACTAAATTCAAACCCCCCAAATTATGCTCAGCTAAGTCTTCTGAGTAAAATGACACCCCCATTGTATGTCTTTGGCACTATTTCGTGAAGCTAGAGTGCCATATAGGAGACTTGTCCTTTTCAGTATTCACAGTAGAATTTTGAGAGACGGATTTAATGAGCCTATGCTTCCATTTGGGGTATTATAGCAGTTTGACTGTTCAAAAAAAAACCCTACAAAGGCCTACCATTTGTAAAAGTAGACACTCCAGGGTATCTCATAAGGTGCATATTGTGCCTTAACATGCCCCCATTTTTTCACCAATATATGCTAAAGTATGTGATAAAAAATAATTTTGTGTGTTTTTTACATCTGGATTTCATTTTTGTTGGGCATTTTGTATATTTCACATGTGCCACTAAGTTCAAACCCCCCAAATTATGCTCGGTTAAGTCTTCTGAGTAAAAAGACACCCCCAATCAATGTCTTTGGCACTGTTTCATGAAGCTACAGTGCCATATAGGAGACCAAGCCATATCAGTTTTTACCAAACTTTGAATTTTGGCGCTAGGCCTATGTGCAATTTCCAAGCATCTTAGCAGGGTTTAAATTCAAACTACACCACAAAGGCCTACCATTTCTTAAAGTAGACACCCCAGGGTATTTCAAAAGGTATATTTTGAACCTTAGCGTGGAATCATTTTTCCGCTAGCTTGTACCAAGTGCAGTGGTAATAAGTGTTTTTTTCTGCCTTTTTGACACACAAAGTGAGTTTGCACAGTATATTTTGCAAACCTTATGTGTGCTACGACTGTATAATACTTCATATGTTGCTCAGCTATGTCGTCTGAGTACAGCAATACCACCGTATGTATCTTTGCCAAGTATATGTGGATGTTGAAGGGGCGCATTTGAGACGCAGCCATTCGGTTTTTTTCTGACTTTGAAGTTTTACGCTGTGTCCATGTTCCAATTTGGAGTAGTTTAGATGGTTGGTTATTGAAACTTCCCCACAAAGATACTACTATTTATTAAAGAATACACCCTGGGGTAATTCAAAAGGCATATTTTGAACCTTAGCGTGGGATCATTTTTTCTCTAGTTTGTTCCAGGTGTAGTGGTAATGAGCGTCTTTAAATGTATTTTTTTACTTTTTTTTACTTTTAGAAACTAGTTTTTAAACTTTTGTTTTGCTTATTAATTTTTTAAAACTTTCCTAAACTTTGTTAAAACTTTTTTTTTACAGATTTAACATTTTTCTAAGCTTTTTTTTTTTTACCGTTAACCCCTAACTAGCAGTAAGTAGCACTAACAGTAAATTCCCAATTTTCCCATAACTCCCACCCACCCCAGCTAGCAAAATATATAATTATAAAATATTTAAATTAATTAAATAAATTGAACCCCTGAGGGTTAAAAAATAATAAACGTTAATCCTCAGGGGTTAAAAAAAATTAGATCACAGTATCATACTGTGATCTGTATTTTGATCACTGTAGGCAGTGATCGACTGGCAGGGAAGGGGTTAATTTTTATTTGGATTGGGTAAAGGGGGGTGTTTTTTTTATTTTTTACTTAAACGTTATTAAAACTTTTTTTAGCTTAATTTTTAACTTTTGAAAGTTTATTTTAAAACTTTTTTTAACTTTAACCCCTAGTTAGCCTAACACCAAATTCCCCAATTCCCCACTAACTTCCACCCACCCCAGCTAGCTAAATATATAATTTTAAAATATTTTAATTAATTAATTAAATAAATTTAACCCCTGAGGGTTAAAAAAATAAATAAAATTAACCCTCAGGGGTTAAAAAAAAATTCAGATGACAGTAAAATGTAATCCCTGCCAATTGATCACTGTAGTCAGTGATCAATTGGCAGGGAAGGGGTTAATTTTTTATTAAAATGGGTAAAGGGGGGGGGGTGGGATTTTAAATTAACTTTATTTTTTTTTACACAGGGGGCAGGATCATCACTGTTCCGGCTCCCTGCACTTGACACAGAACCAGGAAGTGAGGCGGAAGGTGAGTATCTAGAGCACATGTGCTCGCTCTGACAGCCTGTTAGAGCGAGCAACGGTGCTGGGGCAGCCCGATCGGGTGCTCCCGGTTTGCCTCTAATACAGAGGCAGACCGGAGCACCAGTAACCCCGCGATAGCGGCGATCCAGGGTTAATTCTAACGGGTGACGGATAATACATTATTATTATTATAGCCAAATTTACCCACCCTAACTCCTCCCACAGTTTTTACACTACGTAGACAGTAATATACCGAAACGTGCAGATTGTTCCTGGTCGGTGTGCTATTACTTTGTGGAACGTTTTGCCGAATAGTTCACGAAATATCGTTGTTTTTGTGTCAAAATTGGTCCCATAGGAATGAATGGTGGAATGTTCAAAACTAGAGTGGGAGCTGACAAAAGCTGAAAAATCAGGACATGATTTCTAAACAACGACCGTTTGAAGATGGCAACCACCAGTGAAGTTAGCAATTTGGAGCAGTTTGTTTTTAACCGCTCATGTCTGCCCTTGCTGTAGAGTGAGTTACCATAGGAACCCAGGTGTGTGAGCAGCTAGCAGAGTGTTCCAGAACACACAGGTGGCTAGATGAAACACATTCTCTAAACTGCTGTCATTCCTACAGTTTTGATAACAAAAAAGTGAGCACTATCACATTTAATAAATATATTTCCATGTTAGTCAATTTGTTATACCTGTAACAGAAAAACAGTAACATACAATGTTACAACAATACAGCTAATCAATGTTTCATAAAGTTACTCTGCCCGGTTCAACCTTTCCACAGTTACTCCAGCCACTCCAACCACACAACAGTTACTCAAACCACTCCAACCTTTCCACAGTTACTCCAGCCACTCCAACCTTTCCACAGTTACTCCAGCCACTCCAACCACACAACAGTTACTCAAACCACTCCAACCTTTCCACAGTTACTCCAGCCACTCCAACCTTTCCACAGTTACTCCAGCCACTCCAACCACACAACAGTTACTCAAACCACTCCAACCTTTCCACAGTTACTCCAGCCACTCCAACCTTTCCACAGTTACTCCAGCCACTCCAACCACACAACAGTTACTCAAACCACTCCAACCTTTCCACAGTTACTCCAGCCACTCCAACCACACAACAGTTACTCAAGCCAGACTACTGGTGGAGGCAAGAACACCTCACACAATTTCCCCAGAAATTGTAGCTTTTCTAGTTTATTTTGTTGCTTCACAATCCACCAGCGACTTAAGAGCCAAAGTGTTTCTATATTTCCAGTGGTGTGGACATTTTAAAATAAAATCTATTTGTCCATGGAATTAGAGTGGATACTTTTACTGACCCACAAAATAATTTTCATTAGAAATATAGAGGCATCTCTCCTTCTGTCCCCCCTCATATTGTGCTGGCAGTGTGGAGTATGTCTTTTGTGTATGCGTGTTGGCTCTGCTAACTATGTATGTGTGTTGGGTTTGGTGGTTATGTGTAATGTGTGCGTGTGGTGGTCTGGCTGTGTAATGCATGGGGGTTTGTTGACTGTGTGTAGTGTGTGTGGTGTGCACTGGCTGTTTGTAATGTATGGGTGATGTGCGCTAGCTGTATATAATGTGTGGGAGCTGTAAAGCAGTATGTAGTGTGTGTTTGGGGGTTGTGGGCTGTGTGTAATCTGTGGGGGTTGTGGGCTGTGTGTGTGTAAGAGGGCTCTGTACCTTGCCCCCCTCCTGCGTACCTTTCTTGCAGGGAGGGATGGCTATACTCCATAGTGGTCCAGCAGAGGATAAAATTCTAGCATGGGCAATTTTCTTTTGTTTTTTTAAGGGGAGGAAGTGGCCCAGACACACCTGTGGTTTGCACCTCCTTTGCGTTCACACCATTGTAATCACTCCCTTGCGATATTGTGCTCATCAGTGATCGCAGTACAGTGAGGCAGGCATTACTGTGCTTTGCACCCGATTCAAGTGCAAACCACACATTCCCTGTGCACCTGTATCAGCCCTGCTGCTTGCCTGTGGCAGGACTAAGGGGAGGGGGGTGGAGGGGGACTTCTCTGATGTCCTATGTTCTAATTTATAAATACCATATATACTCAAGTATAAGTCTAGTTTTTCAGCACATTATTTGTGCTGAAAAACCCTCACTCGACTTATACTCGAGTCAGTGTCTGTATTATGGCAACTAACATCGCCATAATACAGACCAGGGCCGCCGGGCTCATTACAAGCCCGGCAGTCCTGTTGGGGGCTGGCAGTGAGCTGTAACTTACCTTTCCTGCAGCTCCTGTCAGCTCCCTTCTCCTGTGCTCCGGTCAGCTCCCTTCTCCTCCACTGTAAGTCTCGCGGTGTGACTGCCGCGCGGAGCGTTGCCACGGTGACCTGTGGCAACGCTCTGACCCCGCGGCTCTCGCGAGACTTACAGTGGAGCTGACCGGACTGGAGGAGAAGGGAGCTGACAGGAGCTGCAGGAAAGGTAAGTAACAGCTCTCTGCCAGCCCCCTCCTACACAGCCCATCCACTGGACCACCAGGGAATGAGAGCCCCCCTCCCTGGCCAGCTAACAAGCAGGGAGGGGGGACGAAAATAAAAATTAAATAATAAAAAAAAAATATTACAATAAAAAAAATGTAAATATTAAAATTAAAAAAGTAAATAATAAAATTAAAAAATAATACTAAAATAAAATTAAAATATTAAAATTAAAAAAATTAAAAATAATAAAAATGCCCTCCCCCACCCAGTTCACACACAAATACACTCATACAAACACACACTCTGCATTGTATACACACACACACCTCATTATATATACACACACTCATACAAACATCTGCATTATACACACACACTCATACAAACACACACTCTGCATTATATATACACACACACTCTGCATTCACACAAACACACACACTCTGCATTATATAATGCAGAGTGTGTGTTTGTATGAGTGTGTATATAATGCAGAGTGTGTGTTTGTATGTGTGTGTGTGTGTGTGTATAATGCAGATTGTTTGTATGAGTGTGTGTGTATAATGCAGAGTGTGTGTTTGTATGAATGTGTGTGTATATAATGCAGAGTGTGTATTTGTACAAGTGTGTGTGTATAATGCAGATTGTTTGTATGAGTGTGTGTATAATGCAGAGTGTGTGTGTATAATGCAGAGTGTGTGTATGAGTCTGTGTGTATAATGCAGAGTGTGTGTAATGCAGAGTGTGTGTGTGCGTGTATAATTCAGAGTGTGTGTATGAGTGTGTGTGTATAATGCAGTGTGTGTGTATGAGTGTGTGTGTGTATATAATTATAAAAATCACAGAATTTCATAGCCCCAAGTTTTACCCTCGACTTATCCACGAGGCATAGCATATTTCACAATTGTTGGTCACAAAACTGCACTCGACTTATACATGAGATCGACTTATACACGAGTATATACGGTAATCAAAATAAATGTTGCATTTATATTTACCATAACAGTGGTCTCTTTTTTTTTTCTCTGTACAGATACACTATGATGGAACACATTTCCAGTATAAGTACAAGCCTCCTTCAGCAGATCTCTGCACTCGGGTGAACTCCATAAGGTCAGAGCCATCATAAACATTTCATAATATATTTTTACTTTTGCCAGTAAAATCTGTGATACAAGAAAAATAGTTTTTACTTGCCTTTAAACCAGTGCCAACAGATGCTCTAAAAATGTTTCTCAATGAATTTAATGTTTTCCTAAGAGCTGCAACCTCACATAAAAGAGTTTTATTCGGTGTAGAGGAAGTGCCTCTAGTGACTGGCTCGAAGATAGTCACTATAGGTGTGTTTAACCCTGCAATATAAACATTGCAGTTTCTGAAAAATTCAATGTACCTAGACTACTTCATTGAAATGAAGTGGACTGGGTGACTTTAGTGGTCTTTTGAGCTCCGAAGAGGCACATTATAAGTGCTGAAAATAGATGTCCCTGTTAGACAGGTGCCCACTCTGCCTTATGGGAATTCTGCCCATGGACAGACCTTGGATAGTTGATAAACATGCCTATGTTAACTTCAGCCCATTATTTATTATTTTACATTTATTGAAGCAGGGATTGGCCAGAAGTAGACTCCCAGGATGCTTTGCTACAGATGTTTTATATATATATATATATATATATATATATATATATATTTCTATTTTTAATGCATATATAGATGGCACATTAAAAATGCAAAAATAAATGAATTTAAAAGAAAGTTCAGTTAATAAATAAAATAACAGTTTATGCACAGCCCTGGTAAAAGGAACCACCTGAGCTACCAGTCACACATAAGAATACCATGTGTCATGAGCTCTGTGTGAGTGGCGGAGAGAAGAGTGATGTGCACTTTGTGTGCCTGCCCACTATGCGCATGCCACACACACAGCTTGGATGGATCTTGGTTGACAAAGGAGGAAGTGTTGACAACCATATAGCTGCACCAAAATTCACAATTTGTTGCTGTTTTTAACTACTGTGTGCCATGACATCATTAGGGTCAAATTAACCAATCTTTGCCTATTTAAAGCTATATATACCCTCATTAGTGGTTATACTGTGCCCTGTCATGGGCACATTTTTTATTTTCAAGTTATCTGATCCTGGCTTGTATCTTGACCATAATCCACTCTATTGTCCTTGACAACCTTTGGCTTGTATACTCGTTAACGTTGCTCTCAGTCTATCTCGTATTATTCTATATAGCTTTAAGTTCGGCCACTCTAAGGCCCAGTAACATGCTTTAGTAATCTGATTTAGTATATTAATTAGTTGTTCACTTGAGTACTGAATGTTGGGTCTTAGTCCATCCTGACACCCCTTTAATGTTACATATTTAAAAAGGATAACAATGAGTGTTTAAAGGGGTACTGTCACATACCAGGATGTTTACTTTATTATTATTTAACAAATATATTTTTATATGGTGTAAATAATAAATTTAAATGTAGAAATCCACACACAGTTTAATCTGCAACTGGGTGCCTTCTTTATGCCTGGCTGTCTGAATAGAGAAAACACACAGAGAAGAGGAGAAATTTAACAATGTTTCTATTTCTTAATTTAATCTGCAGTGTTTGCAATGACTTTGCATTGCCTGAACTGTTTTATGATGTCATTTGCTAAATTATTAATAGTAATTTAATAGTAAATGAAGCATCTCCTAAGAGAAAATAACACAAGTTATTTGTGTTTCATCCACCAGGGGCCCTGTCATTTCGTTACTCTCAAGCATGTCTATGGGGTCACCCTACTGACGCCTGGGGGTAATAGACAAAACTTGACAGCAGAAGCTCCTCCTTTTGTCAAGTTGTTTTGTCAGCCTCAGACTTTACCATAAAACAAAGTAGTCCCTACTTTGTCTTATGAAATCTTTTGATTTAGTTTAAATATCAATGAAATTCCAACACAGTCAATGTGAGTATTGAGAGTAAGTATAAACATTCTATTTTATGAAATACTCAACATTTCTGGCGAAGTGACAGAACTTCTTTAATTAACACTTTTTGAGGTATTTTACTGTAAATCAATATATAATATTGGCTTTATTTATTTTCCCACCCAGGCTCCCAAGTGACCTATATCAGTGGGCTGTGAAGATCCTTTCAGAAACCCAGGAAGAAGTTCCCTAAATAGCTCATATTATTCTCTTGACTTATTTGAACTTTCAGAAAATGTATTTCCTACTGCAAATAGGTCTAGAGCTATAAGCTTCTATGGGAGCACAAACGAAGAGCACAAAGAGAAATGTATATCTGGAATTTCTCTAAAAGATCATTCCAAGCATATGAATCCTTCTGGAACTCGATCCAAGACAAGAAATAAACAGAAGTCTATCTGCAAAATGAAATGGGAAATTAATTGTTTTTCGATATTGCTTACTGTCACTATGTTGTTGGTCTGTGGAATTAGCATGTTACATTTCACAACCCACTTAAAGTGTTCAATTAATTATTATAGGGTTAACTCCATGCCACCATATTTGTGTTTCTAAGATGGCGGCAGCTGGAAATTCCATCTTCTGCTTTTCCTTGAACGTGCACATCAAATTATGAGCATGTCCAGGCTTCTAATGGACCTGTGCTAACCTTCGCAATCGCGCAATGGTCAACCCCGCTTCAGGAAGTGACGCAACACTGGAAGGAAGTGAATACATGTTGACCAGCCACTCAATCATTTTATACAGTCAGTCAAGTAAGCAGCAAATTGGCATTGGTGGTAAATGCCAAGTCAGTTATACAGAACAGCACTCTACCAGATGTAAGTTATATAGAACTCTGAACAATGTTAAAGTAACCACTTCAATAGCACTGCTGACAAACTGGTTGCATGGCAATGTTAGGTTAATTTGGCATGTTTCTAATAAAAATAAATGTCAAGCTACACATTTTGAAGACCAAATAAACGCATAACAGTAAGACAGGGTGTAAATGTTATTGCTACACTCAATTGATAAACATCAACTGAGTGAATATAGAGGTTTCCTAGTACTTTATTATTGCTTCTAACAGATGTCTGATAAATATTTTTTTTACAAAAAGTAACATTCTCTTTAGAATGAATTTGAGCAAAAAAAAAAAGTTGTTACAAATAACTTTACGCAAAGAATGCAATAAGACATCACTTTTCTATAAGAACTCAGGAGGTACAACAGCAATCCACAAGTGGACAAAATGAAAATCAGCTTTAAGACTTATTTTGCAAATAAAAACTGCAAATGAAATATTTGTTGAAACATTGTGATAATGTGTTTGTTTTATATATAATATATATATATGCACGCATGCACGAGGAAAGGGGGGAGGACAGAAACTGAGAGAGGGGGATCAGGAGTGGAGGGGGGGACTGGAGGTGAGGGGGGGCAGGAGCTGAGGAAGGGGGACAGGAGCTGCGAGGGCTGAGATGGACTGAGCAAGGGGGACAGGAGCTGAGAGGGTGGAGACGGGCTGAGGAGGGAGGATAGGAGCTGAGGAAGGGGGACAGGAGCTGAGCAAGAGCTGCAAGGGTGGGGACAGTGGCTGAGGAAGGGGGACGGGCTGAGCAAGGGGAACAGGAGCTGAGAGAGGGTGGGAACAGGTGCTGAGGAGGGGAATAAACAAAAAAACTATAGTCTATCCCCCCCCCCCCCTTAAGATCGGCAGGAGGCAGCAGCCAGTGAAGTCTGCCTCTTTTGATGACATCATCAGGAGTGGCCTGCTACTTCACTGGCTGCAGAGAGAGAGGTAAGTTGAAAAATTCGAGTCCCCAGCCAGAAACAGGGGATTCGTATTTTTGCTGGATGCGGATGGCCCTGGATTTAGAGCGGCCTGGGGGGCAATTGCCTCCCTGACCCCCGCCCCTGTCGCTCTCTGCCTCCTACAACCTTAGCACGATCAGGGAACTTAATGAGCATTCAAGATGCTAAACATCCTCATGCAAAGCCTAAACCCTGCAAAGAAAAATACTGCAGTTTCTCTAAAACTGCAATGTTTTACATTGCAGGGTTAAGGGGACAGGAACACTGCAATGAGCTGAGATGAAGTGGTCTAGCTGCATATAGAGTCCCTTTAAAAGAACAAGAGCAGAATGTAATCAGGCAAACAGAATCAACTGGTAAAGTAGGTTTTCTTCTGGGCTGTATAGTAAACCACATTAATCTTCCAGCACACGTTTAGTTACCCATCTCTACCTGATGTTCGTAGTGGGTGTCAGGGTGATCACTGTATCTCATGTAAAGTAAGAATTCTTTCTGATTCCCTAGGGTTCTGTTTTCCTAAAATGTCACCACTGCCTGGTACAAAATAACAGTGGGAGAAATTCTGTGAAGGGGTTTGTCAAACCAATGCCATGTTTGTTATTACAAAAATATTGGTTTAGGTGTATAATGCATTATATGATGCACATTGTTCCATTCACCCTGGGGTACTATGTTCAGGTGCTAAATGAGTCAAACCAAACCCCCCTTTCTCCATACTTAATTTTATTTTTTATGTGAGATTCACAATATTGAGCTTAGTAATGGGTATGAGCAGGTGGAAGGTTCCAAGTCTGTCATTGAGTTGTGTAGTGAGCAGTGTCTTGCACAGTTGGGACTTTGGCCAACATCAGCATGTTTATCATATAGGTAAACAATCCTATTATGGAGGTTCTAGTGTTAGTTCTGTTTTTCCTAGATACTGTCTTTTACTTAGGCAAGCCCACAGCCTTCCTAAATCTATATCCCATTATGCCTCACCACAATTTGTTGTATAACATTATGTCCTTTTGTGCTGCTGACTAACTGTATTAATCTGAGTCTACATAGATCCCATCTGCTGCACATCTGTTCCTCTTCCCAGGGGATACTAGATCACTTTCCACCATGTCTAATAGCAAATATCCTCCAGCACTGGATGAGCTAAAGCAAGAATAATCATTGCTGTGTCATTGTTTTATTAAATAGTATAAAAGTGATGTTCTCCTCTAAAAACATTTTTTTATCCAGTTTCTTACAGAGGCTGTACATACTGGATATCATGTAAATGTTACCTCGACTTGGATGGACAAATAGAGGGTTGCAGGTGTGGACGGTGAACCCTCCTGCTGCTCTCTCATTATCTTTCTTCTGACTCGTCTATCATACGCCAGTAAGTAGAGATGTCAGTCAAATAAATCATCAAGCCCCAGGATACTCTTGATTTGTCATGCAGACACCCTGCTTTTAATTTAGGAGCAAACACTAAACACTTTTTAGTTCTTCCTAATATATAGGGTTCTGATCTAAAAAAAAACAGCTGTCAAACCATAAATTAGTGATTCAAAGTTGGTGTTAAGTGGCACAAGCTACAAGACTGGTACACCTGGCATGGTTTTCGATTCTTTCGAATTTTGATTTTCAAGATTGTTTGGTTTTGAAGACCTGTCAAAGTTCGATTTGAAATTCTGTGATTCAATATTACATACATTTTGTAAACATTCTGCCATATTTCAATTCTGACCAATCCATATCTCTATATAACACTCTCCAATTTATAGTAATGGATACATGTAGACATTCAAGCAACAGTTCACTTTCTCCACTTGCTCAGAGCATTTCATCTATTTTTGTTTAGCAGGTTAAGTTTTTCTTTCATCTTTCACTTCTATTTCTCACTGGAACAGATGGTACAGGATATCTGTTAGTGTGGTAGTGCACACAAATCTCTATGATAGTAGTTAAAGGTAATAACACAGTATGCAAAATATTGACAGAGGCAGTGTACCAAATGTTTTGTAGACTGGAAATAGATTCCATACTGTTACATTAATCTACGTAAGATTAAAAAAAATCCTATTGATGAAACAGTTTCTAATGTTTCTAACTGAAATGTATAAAGTGTTAGATGAACTTTTACTGTTGGGTTCACAGTGAATTCTAGAATTATATTTTGTAATATATACATATTATGAAAAGGGCAAAGATTGCATTATGGAAGTTGCAAGAAGCCACCATTATACAGTATGGTGTTCTTTTTTTTTTTTTTTTTTTGCACTTTTATATACCCTCAACGTAGAATGGAGGCTACCCAACGGATACATATGTAACAAGAAACCACATGATTACTGGGGGGAAGGAAAGGATTCAAAGAAAAGTCACAAAGAGAAAGTAAATCTGCATGCATACTTGCTTAACCATGAGAGCTGCATAGAAGATAATACAAACTCAAATTCGAAAATAATTAGTGCACAGATGCCGTAATGCTCTGTTTAATAAGACACAGTGATTTATTTATTCAAACCTTGTCATTGTGTATTAAACTCTACACCCTTAAAATTTTTGTTTAGTCGGAATACATTTGGCCAGAAAAAAAAAAATAATATAATTTTGTCTTTGGTTTTGAACGAAAATCGTTCGAAATTTTCATTTTGAAAATTCAGTTTAGATGAATGGAATTTTGCAAACACAGACAAATCTTCTCCACTACTATAGTAATATATAGGTCTTAGATGCCTAACATTATGTGTTTTAAATGTTTTATTTTTATTTTGTGTTGCAAGTACAAACATGTAGTCATTCTCGTTTCATGGAAAGCATATGATTGCCTGTGCAGAGACGTTTCAGATAAAACATGCAGTTACATTAGGTTCAAGGGTTTTTAACAGGTATGTGCTTAACAAATCAAGTTGACTTCATTCATGTTGTGGCTTTGGGCTAATTTTCAGTAGACTTGTTGTTTGTCATCCAGCGGTGTAGCGCTAGAGATAAGCAGGTAGGTGGAGTTGCTACCGGAGAGACATGGCGGTGTCGACGCTAAGGCACAAGGCCAGTCTTTGAGTGTAGTTTCTCGTTTCGTGTGGGAGTATTGGTGGGTACTCTTCTTGTGTGTCAGTAAGTGTTGTGTTGCCTGTGCCTAGCCTCTTTGTGTAGGTGTGGGGCATAGACTGTGCGCTCAGGTGGTGGTTTCATCCATTGTTTTAGGTTGCCCGGGTGGTCGTTATTGTGCCCGAAGCCTGTTGTGGCTGTATATGTTATGCTCTGCGTGGGTGACCTAGGGAGGCAGCTGTTGTCTAACCTATGTCTCTGGTGGCTGTGCGAGCGGTGTATGTGTGTGACTTTGCTCCTTGTGGGGTGTGTCTCCCTCATTACTGCCCTCCGGCGCTTGGTAGCGCCAGCGGTTGCGTTTGGGGGGCATGTAGGGGTAGGCGTCTTGAGTGGGCTGGTCGCAGTATGTTGTGTTGCCCCCTTCTCTGAGGTAGTGTGTGGTCATCATGTAGAGGTGGAGCGTGGGTCCAAGTCTCGTGTTGGGTAGGTCTGTGTGGGTCCGCATTCTGCATTGGGGCTGTTGCCTTACGGGGTCTAGTCCTCAGTGTGGTTCTTGTTTCCTCCCGGCAGTGATTGAATGGTATGAGGTTGGGACACGCTGGGGGGGAGAATGAGGGGGGGATGTGGTTGAGGGTGACCTGCCTGCAGGTCGCCCCAGGTGCAGGCGCCCGATTGTCTTGTAGTTGCGCATCCTAGGTTTAGGTGCCTAATATTATGGAGCTATCTACTAAACAGCTTCCTCTGGAATCCTAAATGCCAATCCCACATAATGTTGTCAAACTAGGGAATATTCTGGCAGAAAGATTTTCCTAGTTGACTTATGTGAATGATGGGGAAAATATTTAATGAACACGTACACTAGTCCATGTACCTTAGACACAACAGCATGCTGCGCTATAGCTTATATGGTGATAGGAGCAGTGCAGTGCATTGCATTCCCTGAATTTAAGTAGTTTTGTTGGAGTAGTCTTAGTTAAGCCATTCACTAAGGATTGCCTAGGTTTGTCAATTTCAAGCAAGTTACCAATGGTCTCCTCCACTTGGCACTGGCAACCGATCATGATCATCTCCTCTATGAGAGCTGGGTGCTCTCTCTCCGTTCATTGAGCAGCCTAGCAATGCAGGGTTAGCTCACTAGCTGAGAGATCACCTATGATCCTAGTCCTCTATAGCAGCGCTTGGCCCTGACGAGCAAATGGAAGCTCCATGCAGGAGTTCTTCTCAGCTTAATACTACTTACCTACCACCAGAGCTCCTGAAGGATTCTGGTCACATCTTCTAGTGCCTTTCTGTACCTCATCAACATATTAGCAAACTGCTTGAATTACTTACATTGTTTGGTGCAAAGGCACTCCTACCTCTGTAACCACAACATTGTGCTGTAGTGGTTGTGGTGCCAAAAAAAATATCCAGAAATACAAAAACTTTATTGTACAGCAGAAGGAACAGTTTGTTGTAGTCCAAACGTCTGTTCTAGTGTCTTCCGCTAGGTCAGCTTGTAGTCCTCTTCTATCTCCATTAACAGTCTTTTTCATATTCCTGCAAGTAAGTGTGTGATGTTGTGGACTTGGGACAATGTGTGTCTGTGTGCAGAAAGTGCATAGTCCACAACATCTCTCACTCAATGACCAATGTGATAATCTAGAGATGTATGTATGTGTGTGAATATCGTGATGTGTTATTGGTTAGGATGGAATGGATGTGATGTTGTTTGTTGTGGTTGTACTGGTTGGTCTTTTAATAGTAATAGGTGTGGCATAGATGACTACTACACTAACTTCTATTTTTATGAGAGAAAGACTGAATGTTTTGTTGGTTATTGTTTGTGTGTGTGTGAGAGGCTGTTTGTGTGAAATTGTAATTGTATCAGAGCATATGGAAAAAAAAAAAATATATATATATATATATATATATATATATATATATATATATATATATATATATATATATATATAAATATATGGCAGGTAAGATAAAGTAAAGTAGAAAAAAGGATTTCACCAAGCGTAAAAGAGCAAGGCTGGGTATAACTTGTGCGGGCGCTGTATGGCAGTCTGAGGGAGGCCTCACATGTCTCAGCTGCGGTGCAGTCCTCAGGTCGCCGTGACTCCGCCCGTTTTTCCACATCGGCCCCCGCCCACCGGCCGGGTCTTCCACGGCACTGTGGGCACTGCACCTCCCCAGCATCACTTTTTTCCCCATGGAGCGGGCACTCCCGTGTCTCTCCCAGTGTCGGCCTCACACTTAATGCTGGTATACTAACCCCCCGGCCACCGGTCCACTGGCAGGTCAGCGCACTCCTGCCTCACAGGGCTCACAACAGTGGGGACAGGATTCTCCAGGGACCACCCATACCCGGAGATCGGGGTACTCACTGCTCCGGTCGGCGTGTGAGCCACGCGGGTGTTCCGCCCGGTGTTCAGCGTTGTCTGTGCCTGCACGAGCCGCCCATGTCAGTCCCCCATGTTAAGTTGCGCTGCGGCCCTCTGGGTGAGTGAAGCTGTAATGAAGCGCCTCCATACCAGTGCTGGTGAACTTCCCCGTGTCAGTTCCCGATCATCTCATCCAGGCCCTTGGTGGGGCAATGAGCAGTTTGGGGTCTGTAAGTCACTCTACCAGAGCTTTCTTTTCCCCTCCATGTCTGTGTCTTCTTCTGCTGGCTTGCTGGTTCTTCCACAGCCTTTGCCAGTGTAGGCGGCAAGTGCGCACTCCACGCGGGAGCCCCCGTCGTGTCGCGGGTTGCCGCCAAATGGCCGGGATAACCCCCGCCGGCCAAGGGGGGGGGCAGCGCCTGGGGTGAGCCAACACCTAGGAGTTTCATCTGTGCGGTATCTCCCGCTCGGGTGTCTCGGGGGTTGTGCCTCTTTGCGGCTTCTTGCTGCGTTTTGCGGCCGCAGGCGGTCTTGTGCTCTGCCATGTGTAGGCCGCGCACGTCTCCTGTTGCTGGCCCGGCTTGCGATAAGTTTAATGTCGGCGGCTGCGATGTGCCGTGGTCGCTCTCTGTGCATTGTCCGACTTTTAAGCAGCCAGGATTGGTTTCGTACGCCTTTTGGCTTCAGTTAGTGCTGGAGCCCATGTACATGGCGTCCAGTCGGCCCGACGGCCCGGCCCGGCCCTGCCCCTGTAATACTACTTTGAATCATGTTAAGCCAATGTATAGGGATCGAAAGAGGGAGCATCCGAAACATGATATTTCATGAACCCTCCAATCTTCCAATAATGCGTTAGTCTCCTTTAATAATTTTGAGAAATTAGATTCCATAGCTCGCCTAGGATCTGCCGTGATTACTAGGTCCAAATAAACTAACTCCTTAGCAGTCCACTTAAAGTCATAATCTTTTTTCATAGAAGATAATTTATCTCTTTGGATGTTAATCGCGAGAGCTATTGTTTTATTCGTATTCAATCTATAATTAGAAACTAAACTATATTTCTCAAATTCCTGCATTAAAAATGGAAGGGAAATATGTGGATCCGTTATAGATATTAATATATCGTCCGCGTATAAACATATTTTCCAATCATCATTCAGGGCACCAATGGTGTAGGTCTTTTGTATTGACAAAAAAATATATCCACTGTCTGAACATTTTGGAAACTTTTATAAAAATTTCATATAGATGGTATTTGGTCCCATTACAATTAGCTAAAATCTCACATACTAATCCACCTAACTGCTGGTGTTGTTTTCATCCAGATGGTTCTATGTTACACATTTGGTGGACTTGTCCCAGAATTAAATCCCTATGGCATACTACCTTCAATCTTATCTACTTGGTAGGGGACATACGCCTTGAACAAAAAGCAGAGTTAGCCCTACTACATATATTAGGAAGGGATTCGAACCAAAAACTAGATATAGCACTTATTCACTATTTTATGGCAACTAAGACCTTAATAGCGGGATATTGGAAAAGTATAGAGATCCCTACTAAGAATCATCTTGAAAAGCAATTGCTATTTCAAATAGAGATGGAAAAAGGTCTGAACTTTATGAATTTAATTCCCAATCAAAGATTATCAGAGATATATGTTAATTTTATTGAGAAGATTAATGGGTTTTAAAGCGTGGGATCTATTGGTTCAAATATATAAAGGCGGTCTAAATAGGTGGTAGCTCTGACCCGTTTGGGTTCTCTGATCACTTATAATTGTTTATTCCTGTTTTTTGGGTTTTTTTTGGCCCTAAAGAAAATTATGAGGTAGAAGGAGTAAGGCTATCTGACCTAGGGATATACTGTGGTTAGGTTTAACCAATAATGTGTGTCTTGTTTTGTCTTTTGAGATATGATATATATAATTCAAGTATTTAGCTAAATTGTATTTTAAGACAATGATAGGTATAATTAATTGTTGTTGGAATAATACATCTCATACCTGTGTATGGAAGTTGTATGCTTTTGGGAGGGTTGATCTACTCCCATGTTTGTATATTAAATATATTTTAAATTTAATCAAAATATGATAAAGAAGTAATAGTGGACCTTCTGTCACTGGTAGTGGGCAACAATTTGAATAATGCTGTCATAATACTGCTGTTATGAAGGAAACATTACAGCTTTGCTACCTTACATCGTAAACAAGCCATTTTACTGTAATATAGTTATAATATATAATGAATATATAATGTATAAATATATATCTGCTTAAATTAGGTAATAAATGTGTGTCAACATGCAGAATATCATCTGTTTCTTTAGAGATATGTATGTAGCAGTGGACTGAGTGAACCATTCTGGCATGTAAAGGGTTACCAGGAATAACGGTATCTGTCACCCTAGCGTTGTGTTATTCGGTATTGAAATTATGCTTTGGAGAAGCTGCCTTCCACAGCTGCTGCTTCTTGAAAATATCTGGAATACCTGAGGTCCTCAAAACCTCTTCAGCCACATGGAAACTCTGCTCTGTGCACGATTTACTGGGCTTATTGGAAATGCAGAAGCCAACACCCTTCCTGGCACTAGACTCAATAGTTGTTATATTTATAAGATAAACTGGCTATAAAGGAAAATGATCAAGTACTTATTATGGGATAATTTATATATTTTTTTTGCATATTCTCTACCAATGCTAAGTATTGAAATGTAGTAATATACAGGGCGGGCGCGTCCTATAGGCAACTTAGGCAGTTGCCTAGAGTGCACAGGCCCGGGGCACATGGTATAAGTGACCCGGCAGGAGGAAAATGCGCACAGCGCTCCCTCCTGCCAGTCACTCAGTGTAGCGTGGCGTGGGCAGGGGACCTCGGTACAGGAGCATCTGTTTCCTGTACCAAGCTGAAAAGACAGGAAGTGCTCACTTGGCCGCCCAGCCACGTTACAAAGATAGGTAGGAGGCACAAGGAGTGGGGGGGGAGGGAAAGGAGAGAATCACTGAGGGGGAGGGAGGAAGAACTACTAAAGGGGGGTAGGGGTGGACCACTAAGGGGGGGAGAGGTAGGACCACTAAGAGGGGGGGAGGAGGAGTAGAGAGAGGATCACTAAGAGAGAGGAGGGGAGGAAAGATCACTAAGGGATAGGAGGGGAGAGCACTAAGGGTCAGGAGGGGAGATCACGAAGGGACAAGTGGGGAGGGGAGAGCACTAAGGGACAGAAGGGGGAGCACTAGTGGACTGGAAGGGAGGGGATATCACTAAGGGACAGGGGGGCATGGGAGAGCACTAAGAGACCATTGGGGAGGGGAGAGCACTGAGGGACAGGAGGGGAGGAAAGATCACTAAGGAATAGGAGAGGAGAGCACTAAAGGACACAATGGGAGAGGAGAGCACTAAGGGTCAGGAGGGGAGATTACTAAGGGACAGGTGGGGAGGGGAGAGCACTAAGGCACAGAAAGGGGATCTCTATGGGACGTGTGGAGAGAGCACTAATGGACTAGAGGGGAGGGGATATCACTAAGGGACAGGGGGGCAAGGGAGAGCACTAAGGGACCATTGGGAAGGGGAGAGCACCGAGGAACAGGAGGGGAGGAAAGATCACTAAGGGATAGGAGGGGAGAGCACTAAGGGACAGGAGGGGAGAACACTTTGGGACAGGAGGGGAGACATCTAAGGGACCGGAGGAGAAGAGGAGACCACTAAGGAACAGGGTGAGGAGAGGAAATTAAACCACTAAGGCACAGGGGGAGTGAAAGAGATCATTAAGGGACGGGGGGGAGTGTAAGACAAACTGAGGAAGGCTGAGGAAGGGGTGAAAGAGAAGCACAGAGGGGTTGGTAGGGGAGACAGAGACACACAGACTCACTTGTGAGGGAGACACACAGAGGGGCCTGGGGGGAAAAAGACACACAAAGGGGATTGGGGGAGTAAGACACGCAAAGGGGTTGGGAGGATGTAGGATACATCCAAATATGGGGGAAGGGGGTAAGAGACACACAAGGGGCTTGTACGAGATAAACTAAAGGGGGGTGTAAGACACAAAACTTAAAGAAAAAAATATACAAAAAAAGGATATTAACATAATAAATATAATAAGAAAAATAAAGAGCTGCACCACCGCTTGTAAGTAGGCAATCTAGTATATTATTAGTGACACTAATCTATAATTTACCTCACATTAAAGGGACACTATAGCTTAATGAAGTGGTTCTGGTGTCTATAGCTGGTCCCTGCAGGCTTTTTAATGTAAACACACACTGTGTGCAGCACTGGAGTTAGTTCATATGGCAGATCATATGGGTGGGGCATTGTGATGTGACATGTGGGGGCAGCAAATTTTTATTTTGTCTAGGGCGGCAAAAATCCTTGCACCGGCTCTGATCCTGGGCAGGTGCACCAGTCTACTTGACTGGTTTTGCCCCCCATGCCTAAGGCTGCCAGCCCTCCCCTGGCCGCTGGGGAGGTCTTTTGGCGGCCACTGGCGGACTTGTCCTGGCGGCCGCTGAGGGAGCTGCGCGAGCTGCGCTGGCTCTGCTCCCCAGCACGCAGCTGAATGAGACCGGCGCCGGAATATGACGTCATATTCCGGCGCCAGTCTCATTCAGCAGCGCGCGAGGGCGGGAGGGCACTAACACAGGAAGCACCTCTAGTGACCGTCTGAGTGACTGTCACTAGCAGTGTCACTTTGAAGCAATGTAAACACTGCCTTTTGTCTGAAAAGTCAGTGTTTACGTTGAAAAGCCTGTAGGGACATGCTATAGACACCAGTACCACCACATTAAGCTGTGTGTGTGCGTCTGCTAGTGAGTGAGCTTGCTTGCATGCGTGTGCCTGCTAGTGAGTGAGCTTGTGTTTTTATGTCAATGAGCTGATGTGTATCAGTAAGATTGTTTGTCTACGAGGCTGTGTATCAATGAGCTTGTGTGTGTCACTGAAATGTCAGTGAAATTGCCTGTGCCTGTGTCTGCATGTGCGTATGCTTACTGTATAATTAAACGTTTTACCCTGAAAGGACCAATATTTTATATTAGAAAAAGCAATATATATATTTCATTCCTGAAGAAAGTCCCACTAGAAGACTGAAACGTCGAAATAGCTTTTTTAATGGATCAATAAACGTTATTTTTTAACACTATTTTCTGGAAATCCGTGAGTGCTAATCACTACAGATCGGTATATATATATATATATATATATATATATATATATATATATATATCTCAATCATCTGTCCTGGCAAGACATAGCCTTACATATTACACGCGACAATATATGGCGCAGTGACTTATGGGGCTGGAACAAATTTTTTTTCCAGGGCTGCTTTGTATCCCCAGTCCGGCCCTGCCTACCCCACAAACTCTCTCTTTTACACTACACATATACATGATGCATCCTTACACATACACAGAAACACACAATGCATCCCTACACACACACGAACAGAAACATACAGTGCATCCCTACTCACATAGAAACACACAATGCTTCGCTTACAAACACAGAAACACACAATGCATCCATTACACACAATGCATACCTCACATACACACAATGCATCCTTTACATACATACTGCATCCCTTACATTCAAAAACACACATTGCATCCCCTACGCACACACAGACATAAACAAAATGCATCTCTTACACACACTCAAAGCATGCCTTACAGTCACATACACTGTATTACATTACATACATACACAGAAACATACCCCTTGCATCTCTTACACATACAAACACAGATTCACACATTGCATCCCTTACACACACACACCCAGAAACACACAATGCATTCCTTACACACAAACACACATTGCATCTCCTATACACACACACAATTCCTTACACAAATTGGTATCCCTGTACACTATGTTCCATAAGAACACACACATATTGTAGCCTCTACAATAATACACAACACATCCCCTACACGCATACACTTCATTCCCTGTGAGCGAACTCATGGGTGGGCAATGTAGGTGGACTTATGTGTGGGCCTTGTAGGCATACTCCCGATCAGGCCCTGGGGGCCCAGACATTAAGCTGTGTAAGGGGCCCCAAAAAATGGAGCTGCTCCCTGTTCGTTGATTTTTGTGAGCACTATTACAAACAGCCTCCAGAGAGCCTGTTCTACACAAGACCAGTGGAGCCAGACTACAGCCTGAGCCCATCATCATCGTCTTGTCCTCATCTGGTGGTAAGAAGGCAATCCAGTATATTATTCGTGACACTAATCTCTAATTTACCTCACATTAATGGGACACTATAGTCACCAGAATCACTGCAGCTTAATGTAGTGGTTCTGGTGTCTACAGCCTGTGCCTGCAGGCTTTTTAATGTAAACACACTGCCTTTTCTGATAAAAAGACACTTGTGCAGAACTGGCATTGGCAGATCATATGGGTGGGGCATTGTGATGTCACATGGTGGACAGAACATATGGTGGGCGGCAAATTTTGGTTTGCCTAGGGCAGCAAAAATCCTTGCACCGGCCCTGCCCCAGCCCCATTTTTACCGGAAGAGAAACCCAGTATGCAGAACTGTCTTAGCAAAAATGGGACTGTTGCACCCATGATTTCCTCATTATAGGACCATAGTGGGATTCCCAATTACCCAAGCACGAGAATGTCAAATCTCCTAGCAACTCAGAAAAGAGTGAAGTATTTTTGATATTTATAGTTAAAGTATTACTATTTCCTGTTCATTTTAAAAAAACACACCATTCACTGGAAGCATAACATAATAATAAATAATAGGAATTAGGAGCTTTAACCCCTTCCCGACCGAGGACAGTTCAGGACCGTCATCGGCATTTTTGCCTTGCCGACCGATGACGGTCCTGAACCGTCCTAATGGTCTTAGTTACTTACCTGATCGCCGTCGTTCCCCCGGCGGCGATCAGCGTGGCTCCTGGTGTGGGGAGACTGCCTGCAGCCCAGACAGTCTCCCCACACTGAATTGGGACCCCTGTGGCCATGTGATCGCTCAATACAGCGATCACATGGTCACAATAGGTGTCCATGTGTCTGCCTGCAGGGGGACTGCCTGTGCTGACAGGCAGTCTCCCTGCTAGTGTAAAATCAAAAAAAAAATAAAGTTAATATTAATAAAAAAAAAAATAATAATTATATATGTGTATATATGATATATATAGACATATATTATATCTATATAATATATGTCTATATATCATATATATAATGCCATACTAAGTGTATTTTTATATTAATATGTACTTATATTAATATAAAAATACACTTATAATTAAATTACACACGTATATATATAATATATATAATAACTATATATATTGTATATATATATTATTATAAAATATAAATAATAAGTAATTTAAATTAAATAATTTTTTTTTAAATAATAATAAAAATTAAAAAAAAATTATATATCTATATGAAATTTTATTCTAACTGTATTTTAAAATTAATATATATATATTTATATCAAAATACACTTAGAATGAATTTGTATATATATCTATGTATATAAAAATAAATAAAAATAATACGAAATATACATATGTTCATATACAAAATTACATAAATAATTATATAAATATACACGTAGACTTCAAATATATAAATATGCATATATATTTAAATTCTACGTGCGTATTTATGTAATATTTTTACATAATTCAGTAATTTTATTGATTGCAATTTGAGGGACCTGCCTGCCAACCCAGGCCGAAATTCCAGAGAATTTAATTTGTTAGCACTGTATTTTACCCTGTAACGTTCTACGACACCCTAAAACCTGTACATGGGGGGTACTGTTTTACTCGGGAGACTTCGCTGAACACAAATATTAGTGATTCAAAACAGTAAAACATATCACAGCGATGATATTGTCAGTGAAAATGACTTTTTTTGCATTTTCACACACAAACAGCACTTTTACTGATGATATAATTGTTGTGATACGTTTTCCAGTTTTAAACACTAATATTTGTGTTCAGCGATGTCTCCCGAGTAAAACAGTACCCCCCATGTACAGGTTTTATAGCATTTTTGAAAGTTACAAGTCAAATATATGGGTCAAATATTTTTACATTGAAAATGGCCAGGTTGGTTACGTTGCCTTTGAGAGCGTATGGTAGCCCAGGAATGAGAATTACCCCCATGATGGCATACCATTTGCAAAAGAAGACAACCCAAGGTATTGCAAATGGGGTATGTCCAGTCTTTTTTAGTAACCACTTGGTCACAAACACTGGCCAAAACTAGCGTTCAATTTAGTTTTTTTACTTTTTTCACACACAAACAAATATGAATGCTTACTTTGGCCAGTGTTTTCGACTAAGTGGCTACTAAAAAAGACTGACATACCCCATATTGAATACCCTGGGTTGTCTACTTTAAAAAAAATATGTACATGTGGGGTGTTATTCAGAGATTTATGACAGATAATAGTGTTACAATGTCACTATTGATAAATTAAAAAAATGTATGTTTTGAAACCGCAATATCCTACTTGTACCTATAGCCCTATAACATGCAAAAAAAAGCAAAAAAGCACGTAAACACTAGGTATTTTTAAACTCAGGACAAAATTTTGAATCTATTTAGTAGTTTTTTTCATTCGCTTTTGTAGATGAGTAAAAGATTTTTCAAGTAAAAGTCAAAAAACATGTATTTTTTTCAATTTTTCATCAGATTTTTGTATTTTTTTTAAATTAAAATACATGAGATTATATAAATAATGGTATGTAAAGAAAGCCCCTTTTGTCCTGAAAAAAACAATATATAATTTGTATGGGAACAGTAAATGAGAAAGCGGAAAATTACAGCCAAACACAAACACCACAAAAGTGTAAAAATATGCCTGGTCGCAAATGTACAACATCGCAAAAACAGTCCAGTCCTTAAGGGGTTAATGCTGAGGAATTATCAACCCACGCATAGTATCCTTAATATGATATTATTATTTTTCCATTCATAAACAATCTTTTACATTTTCATGTGAAATTGTTATAAATTATGGGGAAATGGGTAGAGTGTTAAACTGCTTACTATAAAAGTAAAAAAAAAAAAAGTTTAATTACTGTATGAAGTCTGTTTATTGTTATTTGATAATGTCCTGACCCTTTTGGCAGATTGAGACTACATCCTCACATTTCTTCTGCTTTTGTTTAATTGCTGGAATATGGTTACTTAGTGACTTTACAAGGGTTGATAAATTATTAATGGCAGTACGGCAGCAAGAAAGTTTCACTCTAAGTGCCTCTAAAGAGAAAGTAATGGGTTTGCTTTTTTCAGCAATAAGGTTACACATAAGAGCCTTCTAATGTATTTATATTGGTGTGTAATTAGAGGGACACTCTAGGTCAGGGGTGTCAAACTCAAATTCATCGGGGGCCGCATCAGCAGTTTGGTCACCCTCAATGGGCCGGTTGTATCTGTAGGACTATGTGTCCACTCTTTATTATCATAAATTATTGTCACTGCAGAATAAGCAGAATAATAAGTATTCGAGCAGTACGTGTGTATGGGGGGCAGTGTGTGTGTATGGGGGGCAGTATGTGTGTATGGAGGGCAGTGTGCGTGTATGGGGGGCAGTGTGTGTGTGTATGGGGCAGTATGTGTATATGGGGGGCAGTGTGTGTATGGGGGGCAGTATGGGGGGCAGTGTGTGTGTATGGGGGGCAGTATGGGTGTATGGGGGCAGTATGGGTGTATGGGGGGCAGTATGGGTGTATGGGGGCAGTATGGTGTGTATGGGGGCAGTGTGGTGTATATGGGTGTATGGGGGCAGTGTGGGTGTATGGGGGCAGTGTGTGTGTATGGGGGGCAGTGTGTGTGTGTGTAGAGTGTGTGTGTGTGATATAAGGGTACGGGGGCTTTTATATATATATATATATATATAATTTTAATTAAAATATATATTTATGTCCCCCCTCCCTTCTTACCTTTACTGGGGGGAGGGGGTACATTTCCCTGGTGGTCCGGTGGGGGATTCATTGGTGGTCCCAGTGGGGAGAGTGAACGCTCCAGGGCTAGAGTTCACTCTCGCGAGATTTGGAGCGTTGCCGTGGTAACCGCGGCAACGCTCCAACGCCCGCGAGAGGAGGACCCGGAGGAGCTGCAGCCTGAGCTCCGGGTCCTCTATCCCTCCCTCCCCCGCCGGCTGTCAGCACTGTGCCTGCGGACCGGGGAGGGAGATCTGTGATCTCCCCTCCGGTCCGCAGGCACATTGCTGGGATGGCAGGAGAAGGAGACCGTCGGTATTCTAGGGGGGGCAATTGCCCTGTTGCCCCCCCTGGATTCGCCACTGGGTTGGCGGCCGGCGGCGGCTACACGGGCCACATGACGAGGTCTGGCGGGCCAGATTGACACCCGTGCTCTAGGTCATGGTTCGTCAACCTGGTCCCTACTGCCCACTAGTGGGCGTTTCGAGATTCCAGGTGAGCGGTAGGGACTTCGGAGGTTAAAACCTCCTTTTGAGCGAGCGGGCGGGTCCGAGCGGGCGCACACATCAATAAACCGTGCGCGAGAATGTGTGCGGTAGGGATTTCGGAGGTTAAAACCTCCTTTTGTGCGAGTGGGCGCGGGGCGCGGGCGGGCACGAGCGCCCACATCAATCAACCAACGTGGACGAAAATGCGTGCGGTAGGGATTTCGGAGGTTAAAACCTCCTTTTGTGCGAGTGGGTTGGTGGGCGCGAGCGCACACATCAATGAACTAACACGCGCATGCACGCAAACACGTGGGAAGAGGAAGGGGAGGAGTGGAAACTGATAGCAGGGACAGGCAGAAGCAGGCAGAAACGGAGCAGCAAAATAGGAGAAAGAAAAGTTATAGGCAGGGGAAAGAGAGAATTGTTGTTGGGTGATAATAAGTGAGCTAACTAGCTCAGCTTTACTTTTGTACCTATGGAAGGTAAAAGAAAGGAGATAAAAAGGAAAAGTTTCAAAAAAATTTACAAAAAAAGGGAAGAAAAATAGAGAAAAGGGGAAAAAATAAAAAAAGGAGAGTAAGCAGTGTTTAGTCTGGCTCATAAATTAAGTTTTCTTATCTTATAAAATAAAAGAAAAAAATAATTAAAGGAAGGAGAAGGAGAAAATAAAAAAGGGAAAAAGAGATCCTTGATATAGTGATATACTATAAGGAAGGTAAAGAAAAAGAAGGCAGGAAAAGGGATTTATTTTGATGGTGACACTTAATAAAAATTGGCACCTAATACAGCGTTGTTTTTGGTGTTTGTAATAAAAGAGAAAAGAGGAGGGAAAAAAGCACTGTGTGGAGTGCAGATCAAAACGTAAGAGTAAAAGTAGTTGTTAAATTGTGAAACAAATTTAGAACCCATGTCTGAAAAAAAGAAATATGCTTGTGGCTATTTACCAGAGTATCTGAAGATGGGTTTCATTGAATCTGTTACAAATAAACAGCTTCCAATGTGTTTACTGTGCCACAAGACATTATCTAATAAAGCAATGAAGCCAAGTCGATTGCGAGAACATCTTGCTACAAAGCATTCACAAGATAAAGATAAGCCCATTGAATATTTTCAAGAAATCTATAAAAGATTTCAAAATCGGGCGCGTGGCCTGACACCACATGGATGCAGTAGCATAACCTGAGAGCTCCGCCATTCTGTGGACTGAAACAGCGAGTATCTCAGCAAAATATACCCTGCAACTCTCCCACAAGCTACCGAGGACACAGGGGAAGATATGTCCCACAAATCAGTCAAAAAACTAAAACAGAAAACGTTACATTCCCACCTAACAATGGGGAAAAGCGGAAACCAAGATGGCGCCGATGGACCGAGCTATATAGCTTCAGACCAGGAAGATGGCGAGAGCCAAGATCTACCTGACACCCCTAACACCCAACCGGCCACTGATGCATCTGTGAGCAACATGCTGCAGTCGCTACAGACAAACCTCAGGTCAGATTTTTCCAAAATGGCGGCAGACATCAGGGCAGATATCCAGGCCCTGGGGGATAGAACAGCACACTTAGAAGAGGCAACAGAGGGGCTACGAGAGGCCCACAATGAGCTTGCCGAGGCACACACAGCACTGCAACAAAAAGTGCACTTCCTTGAAGGAAAAATCGCAGATAATGAAGACAGGGAGAGAAGGAACAATATAAGACTGCGCGGTGTACCTGAAATGGTAGGCCCCCAAGACCTCACTAATTTTGTCCAAGATATGTTCAGGGCACTAATTCCGGCACTGGAAATCTCCGACCTGCGACTAGATCGCACGCACCGATTGCCGAAACCAAGACACCTGCCACCCTCAACACCGAGGGATGTAATCACAAGAGTGCATTATTTTACAGTGAAAGACCGCCTCATGCAGGCCTCTAGAAAAAACCCACCCCTGCTGAACCCGTTTGCTGACATCAAACTGTTCATCGACCTATCTGCGGCGACCATGTTCAAAAGGAGAGCGTTTGCACCTATTACTGGGGCCCTACGGAATGCCGCGATACCATATAAATGGGGATTCCCTACAAAACTGTTGCTGAAAAGAAACGGAGTTGACAAGACAATCTTCACACCAAGCGAATGTGAAAAAATGCTCAGAGAATGGAACATTCCTGTGACACAACCTGGCAATACACGGCCACCGTCAACTTCACCACCCAGGAAACAAACAAAGGACTTCCGAACCATCCCCTGGCACACTGCAGACCCAGCGGATACGCAACCCAGAACACTGGCATAATAGACTGCAACGCCACCAACCAACGTTGAATGAACACAGATATGTATATTATACGTGAGACTGTACACATGAACCCCCCCTGTGCACCCTTGTAGCTGTCTTCACTCGCAATGTGATTCGCAGCCGAGAGTCCACATCAGGCGGCTAAACTGATAATTGTCCAAGTTACTAGATCTATACTGTTATCCTTTTTTCCTTCCTTTTATATATTTAACTGAAACGTTACGAAATTTTACCTGTAAAGAGTAACAACTAAGCAGGTGACACATACGGCTACTAGCTAGCCATTACCAGACGAACTAGTATAGCTTCACCCAAGACAGTACTTAACAGGTACCTAATTGGAAGCACCCACGATACCCCACAAGGCTTATCTACTAAGCTATTAAACTACCCGTCGGCAGATCTCTGCGCTAGGCCACCCGGCTAACGGGTTTGTATATAGTTTATGTTCTATAGTTGAAATCTACCACCCAAACTTACCCCACCCCCGACCCTCACCAAAAACCAGAGTAGGACGGTAAAAGGCAGGGATAAGCGTAAAGACGCAATATCATTCACTACATCCAGTTAGAGTATTATTAGGGAAATGCCAATCAAAGTACTTTCTCTCAATACGAAAGGGCTAAACACACCCCATAAAAGGCGACTAGCACTATTGGAAGCTAAAAAACAGAAGGCGCAGGTAGCCTTCTTCCAAGAAACACATTTTAAATGGGGTGCAAGGCCCAGGTTCAATTCCCCCTGGTTCCCCATAGACCACCATTCCTGCTACTCCACAAAAAGAGAGGAGTCTCTATCCTGGTTAGCAGGAATGTAGCCTTTGAATTGAGCCACAAAATCAGTGACAGACAGGGCAGATATCTCATCATACAATGCCACCTAAACAACCCTTTTACCTTAATGAATGTATATGGGCCCAATGCTGATCAGGAAGAGTTCATGAACCGGGTATTTGCCTTGTTAAATCTGTATAGCTTTGGGGAGGTAATACTTGGAGGCGACACCAATTTTCTTCTAGATAGTACCAAAGACTCATCTGCCTCGAACAAAGTGGCAACCACCACCTCTAAGAGGAGGCTCAAACAATCCCACAACATCTGTGACATCTTAGCAACACATGATTATGTAGACCCTTGGAGAATAACACACCCTAATGACACAGACTACACCTGCCACACGGCAGTACATAACAGCTACTCAAGAATAGACAGGTTCCTGATTAGGACTACCACCGTCATGAAAGTACTAGAGGCAGACATCGGAGACATTACGTGGTCTGACCACGCTTCCCATCACGCTAACACTCAAAAATGGACTTCACACCAATGGCCAAACATCTTGGAGGTTGAATGAAACCCTGCTAACAAACCCACACATAGTACAACAGGTCACAACAGATCTGCAGAACTACTTTGCAGACAATGACAAGCAGGACACTGTCTGGCTGGCCCACAAAGCAGTTTTATAAAACACGCCAGCCATGCCAGAAGAACACACCTGGCACAATACCTAGCCCTCATAAACGAGATCAAAACTATTACACATAGGAACAAACACTCGCCCACTCCAGAAACACAACAAAACCTTTTAACCTTACAAACACAGCTACGGGATATGGAATTAGACAAAACCACCTACCTCTTGCAAAAATCTAAACACAAATTATTTATGGAGAGGGACAACACCGAAGGCCTTCTGCTGGCACTGGATGCGGAGAAGGCCTTCGATAGCCTTAACTGGTCATACATGACAAAGGTCTTAGAGAAATATAGATTCCCACCTGAACTGATCAGAGGAATACAAGCACTATATAGCATGCCGGCAGCCAAAGTCTCAACTGGAGGTTTCACCTCCGATAAATTCCATTTCACTAATGGAACACGCCAAGGTTGTCCCTTGTCCCCCTCCTATATATTCTATCACTAGAGCCACACGCTTAAAATTTGCACAAACTCTGATATCAAGGGGATACAAATTAATAACCAGGAACACAAACTAGCGCTGTTTGCTGACGATGTTTTGATATCAATAGCAGACCCAGAGAGTTCACTACCACACCTTATGCATACCCTTAAGGAATTTGGCCTAGTGTCTCACTATAAACTCAACCAGGATAAAACCCAGGCACTGACAGTTAACCTGCCACTAGAACGGAAAAAGACACTAACACACCAATACCAATTCGACTGGAGAACATCCTCCCTTACATATTTAGGAGTCAAAATCGCAACGTCAGTCGCCAAAATCATCAAATTAAACTACCTACCCCTACCGCACATGTGCAGGACAGAAACCCTAAAATGGAAACACACACACCTGTCCTGGCTAGGACGGATCAATGCCTTTAAAATGTCCATACTACCCAAAATTCTGTACGTTTTCCGCATGCTTCCCCTTAGAGTGATACAACCCCTCCTCAAACAACTACAGAATATGTGTAATGCCTTTATATGGGACAATAAAAGGCCCAGACTCCCTAGTAAACTCCTATACACCCAGGTCAAACAAGGCGGGGCGGGATTACCAAACATCCATCAGTACTATAAAGCAGCAGCGCTAACAGCTGGACTACTATTACACTCCCCTAAAGGGGACTTAAACTGGGTAGATATGGAAAACGCACAACTACCCGGACTGAACATAGTTGACACTCTGTGGACACCCAAACATCTAAGGACCTCTAAATTGAACTTATTTCCCACTACAAATCTCACGCTCAACATATGGGACACATTCATGGCCACACTGGGGTGCAAAACCTCTTTCCACACCCGGGCACCCCTGACAGTCCTAGGTGGCACAACTCCAGATTTACCCATAGCAAAATGGGTTAAAGCAGGTATCACCAACATCCATCAATTGATGGACAGCAGAGATTTAATGCAGTTTACAGACAAACAGGCCAAATGGCACATACCGACAGGGGAACTATTCACATACCGCAGGCTCAAGGGCACCATACAGACCCACGTGCATAAACACAAACCAGCACAAGGGCAATCACTGCCAACTGACGGGATTATTGATAGATGCTGGACCACACCGGGTAAACTGAAAGCCGTCTCCCTATGCTACAAGATGTGGGAAAACACGACAAATCAACAGACCCCTCCCTGTAAGGCAAAATGGGAGGAAGATTGCTCCCTTCCAATTACCAACGAAGACTGGGTACAAGCCCTAAACGGCCTCTCTAAACTCACTAGATGCTACACACACATAGAAGCACATAGGAAACTACTATATAGGTGGTACATGACGCCATTAAGATTACACAAGATATACCCCACTGTCCCACTGACGTATTGGAGATGTGCCAGGGCAGTCGGCTCATTTATACACATATGGTGGACATGCCTGGTGATTCAGCCCCTCTGGACAGAGGTCCGGAGATCACTGGGGTTGCTGGGCATAGTAAACCTGCCACCGAGCCCTCAAACGTATCTCATGCTGATGTTCCCCACTGATCTCGACAGAGAACATAGACAAGTATGCGCTCTCACATTGTTAGCTGCTAGAAACCTCCTAGTGACAAATTGGAAATCGCACAAATGCCCATCAAAGTCACAGCTATGGGACAAGATCCAACAATACCAGATTTATGAAAGCATGACAATGAACAATAGTGTAGAAACACAGCAATTTCAATCCACATGGAAAAAATGGAAAAACCTATATACTAAGGCTACAAATACATGAGAGACCTCTGAAGGAGTCTAGACAATGAGTAAAAGGCAATACAGATAAGTCCCACCCATGACCAGACCGGCCCCCACACCCCAACCGAACAAGCGCAAAGCCCCAGACCATCAGTAATTATGGTGAAAGCGAAGTAAACTACCACATAACTTAAGTTGTACATGAAATGGATGTGATGATAATGTATCTACGGTCTACCTCCGATTAATCTGTCACCACCCTCTTTATGCTGTACTACTGTCTGGAATTTGTTTTACGAATGTAATCCCTGCACCTCCCCTTCTTTCTTCTGTACCCCGTATACATGAAAACCAATAAAAAAGATATATTAATAAAAAAAGATTTCAAAATCGTTCAACAATAGCTGCATCATTTCAAAAACAACATGCAAAGAATGAGGATGGATTAACTGCAGCTTATCGTATATCACACTTAATTGCAAAAAGTGGTAAAAGCCATAATATTGGAGAAACTTTGATAATACCCTCTATCAAAGAATTTATCTCAACAGTAATGCATCAGGATATACCTGAAGTTTTAAAAACATTGCCCCTTAGTGATAACACAGTAAAGAGACGCATTGACGAAATGGCGGCTAATGTTGAAAATAAACTTATAGGTATTCTCCAAAATTCTTCATTTTCCATACAATTAGATGAGTCTGTCATTGCAGATAATAATGCTCTATTGATGACATAGGTACGGTACCTTGATGAAAACAATACATTGCAAGAAGAAATGCTGTTCACTGTCAATCTGATAACAGATACAAAAGTATTATCAATATTTAATGCTGTGAAATCATAATTTGCAAAAAATAATATATATCCTTGAACAATATTGTTGCATGTGCTACTGATGGAGCACCATCAATGGTAGGCTGCTATCGTGGGTTTGTTGCTTACTTGAAGGAAGAAGTGCCAAACATTTTGTGTATTCATTGCGTTGTGCACAGACAACATATTGTAGGAAAACATTTAAGTACAAGTCTCCATTCATCATTAAGTATAATAATTAAAGCTGTAAATAATATAAAATCTAATGCCAAGTGTGATAGAATGTTTCGACAGCTGTGCCAGGACAATAACGAGCAGTTTATTAGGTTACTTTTACATACAGAAGTTCGATGGCTTTCAAAGGGTACATGCTTGTCTCGTTTTGTTGCATTATTTGATAGTGTCGTACAGTTTTTTGAAAGTGATAATGAGGCTGGTCTCTATGAACAGTTAAAAAACGTAAAGAATGATGCCTTTTATTTGGCAGACCTTTTTTAACCCCTTAAGGACTGGACTGTTTTTGCGATGTTGTACATTTGCGACCAGGAATATTTTTACACTTTTGTGGTGTTTGTGTTTGGCTGTAATTTTCCGCTTTCTCATTTACTGTTCCCATACAAATTATATATTGTTTTTTTCAGGACAAAAGGGGCTTTCTTTACATACCATTATTTATATAATCTCATGTATTTTAATTTAAAAAAAATACAAAAATCTGATGAAAAATTGAAAAAATACATGTTTTTTGACTTTTACTTGAAAAATCTTTTACTCATCTACAAAAGCGAATGAAAAAAACTGCTAAATAGATTCAAAATTTTGTCCTGAGTTTAAAAATACCTAGTGTTTACGTGCTTTTTTGCTTTTTTTTGCATGTTATAGGGCTATAGGTACAAGTAGGATATTGCGGTTTCAAAACATACATTTTTAAAATTTATCAATAGTGACATTGTAACACTATTATCTGTCATAAATCTCTGAATAACACCCCACATGTACATATTTTTTTTAAAGTAGACAACCCAGGGTATTCAATATGGGGTATGTCCAGTCTTTTTTAGTAGCCACTTAGTCGAAAACACTGGCCAAAGTAAGCATTCATATTTGCTTGTGTGTGAAAAAAGTAAAAAAACTAAATTGAACGCTAATTTTGGCCAGTGTTTGTGACCAAGTGGTTACTAAAAAAGACTGGACATACCCCATTTGCAATACCTTGGGTTGTCTTCTTTTGCAAATGGTATGCCATCATGGGGGTAATTCTCATTCCTGGGCTACCATACGCTCTCAAAGGCAAATGTAAACAACCTGGCCATTTTCAATGTAAAAATATTTGACCCATATATTTGACCTTGTAACTTCAAAAATGCTATAAAACCTGTACATGGGGGCTGTTTTACTCGGGAGACATCACTGAACACAAATATTAGTGTTTAAAAACTGGAAAACGTATCACAACAATTATATCATCAGTAAAAGTGCTGTTTGTGTGTGAAAAATGCAAAAAAGTAACTTTCACTGACAATATCATCGCTGTGATATGTTTTACTGTTGTGAATCACTAATATTTGTGTTCAGCGAAGTCTCCCGAGTAAAACAGTACCCCCCATGTACAGGTTTTAGGGTGTCGTAGAACGTTACAGGGTAAAATACAGTGCTAGCAAATTAAATTCTCTGGAATTTCGGCCTGGGTTGGCAGGCAGGTCCCTCAAATTGCAATCAATAAAATTACTGAATTATGTAAAAATATTACATAAATACGCACGTAGAATTTAAATATATATGCATATTTATATATTTGAAGTCTACGTGTATATTTATATAATTATTTATGTAATTTTGTATATGGACATGTATATTTCTTATTATTTTTATTTATTTTTATATAGATATATATATACAAATTCACTTAAGCTGCATTTTGATATATAAATATATATATATTAATTTTAAAATACAGCTAGAATAAAATTTCATATAGCTATATAATTTTTTTTAAAATTTTTATTATTATTTAAAAATCTCTATTTAATTTAAATTACTTATTATTTATATTTTATAATAATATATATACAATATATATAGTTATTATATATATTATATATATACGTGTGTAATTTAATTATAAGTGTATTTTTATATTAATATAAGTACATATTAATATAAAAATACACTTAGTATGATATATATATATATGACATACATTACATATAGATATAATATATGTCTATATATCATATATACACATATATATTATTATTTTTTTTTATTACCATTAACTTTATTTTATTTTATGATTTTACACTAGCAGGGAGACTGCCTGTCAGCACAGACAGTCCCCCTGCAGGCAGACACTAGGACACCTATTGTGACCATGTGATCGCTGTGTTAAGCGATCACATGGCCACAGGGGTCCTAATCTGACGTGGGGAGACTGTCTGGGCTGCAGGCAGTCTCCCCACAACCGGAGGAACACTGATCGCCGCCGGGGGAACGACGGCGATCAGGTAAGTACCCCCAGACCGTTAGGACGGTTCAGGACCGTCATCGGTCGGCAAGGCAAAAATGCCGATGACGGTCCTGAACCGTCCTCGGTCCTTAAGGGGTTAAGAGATTTAATGAAATTAATTTGAAGCTTCAAGGAGCCAATATAACTCTTATAAGTTGCAAAAATATTGTGTCATTATTTATCGAAAAGCTTGATCTTCTCCGTCATAATATTTTCAAGAGAGAATTTCATCAGTTTCCTGAATTGTCCTCTATAAACAATGATGTAACTCCAGGGGATATTGAAAGTTTCAGTAGCCACCTCAAGGAACTCAAATTGGATATGGAAAAACGATTTCAAGCTATTTTGAACTTAAAGGTGCATGACTGGATGATAAATCCTTTTACAGCAAATGTTGCTGAGGTTGACAAAGAGAGTAAATGTAATTTTGGCAGTGGTGGATACCAAAAACTCAAATAAAAAAATGCCTGCGTTATATCCGTTATATGTGGAAAATGATGTTCAACTTATTGATACCTTTCCCTACCACATATCTTGTAGAATCAGGCTTTAGTGCTGTTAATCATATTCTGAGCAAACAGAGAAACCGTCTGAATATCACCGAAAGAGGAGATCTTCGTTTGTTCCTTACGAAAATCGAACCAGATATCAAATATTTAGTCTCGCAGCATCAGCCTCAAGGATCTCACTAGTAAAGCTAATTTCAATTTACTTTATTGTTTTCTAATTAAACTTTATAAAGTTAAAAACATTATAAACATGCATAAAGTAGAAATAAAAAGATAAATGTATGTACATTTCTTTTTTTTTCTTTTTTTTTAAAACACCCTCCTTTCTTAACCAATATTCCGCACTTGCACAAAAACTGGTGGGCGCTAAGGACATTTTTTCATCAAGAAAGATGCATTAGTCGGCGGTAGGTAGAAAAAGGTTGACTACCACTGCTCTAGGTACTATACCCACTCAGAGCAGGATTAACCATAAGGAGATCATAGGTGGCTGCCCAGCACCACAGGGTTAGACAGGGTCTCCAGAACCATGATTTTGTTTAGCCTCATATATGATCCCTAAGTGAAGAATGAAGGTAAATTGCCTAGGTTAATACTTCTATGTAACCACTTCATCTCATTGAAGCGGTTATGATGTCAGGATTCCCGTGGTGCATTCCCACTGTTGTTGAATGTAGGTCCTCAGGCTACAGCAACTTGGCCCCTCTCTGCTGCTCAGGCTGATGTTTCTGCATTATCCCAAGCAATAACAGACATCAGTGATATACTGCGATCATTGTCAGTTTCTCTAAGCAGCCCATCGCTGGTGTGAGCTGGTATGGCCATGGCAGACAGTTAATCCACTTTTATCATACATCCATCATTCAGTGCTAAACTTTTCAAAAGCAGTTTAACACTGAATGATGAGCGAGCAACAGAGGAGTCCAGGCACCAAAACAATAAGATAAAATAGACAGCTTGTTGAGCATGTCCACAAGACCCAGATGTATTTCAGGTTTCTATAGGTGTACTATATAAACATTTTCTCACTGTGGCAAAACTAACCTCGCCACTGGGTTATGGAGAAGCCTGATTGCCAGCCTCCTGCCTCATGACTATGGACCCTCTCATCAGCCCATGCTAGACTTAAACCCCATGGCGATTTGACTGTGTTTGTGGGATCTGAGCGCTGTTTGGATATATTTCGCGCTCAGATCCAAGCCATCTGGGGATAGGTTGAATGTGGGGGTTCTGTTCAGTATGATAGGAATTATGTATTTTTGTGTATGTTTGCTGTTGTTGTGAATAGAGACATTTTCTGTACCTGGAGATAGTTGGCTTACCACACCTAGTTAAGCCAATTATCTCCAGGATAGAGGACTCTGTGGAACTGGTTTTGGCTGGAAAGCCATGCTTCAGTGGTCACAAAGGACTTCGACCTAACTTTTAAACCAATGATTTTTGAGTATGTTTGTATTTGGAGTATGCTGATGTAAGTTTTATGTGAATGTGATGTATACTTTTAAAGTTACACTACATGTGTAAAAACTGTATTTCTCTGCCTGTGATAATTACATTAACCCATTGTGTTCAGTAATTATATCACAGGCAGAGGGGAGGATATTGTTTGGGAGTGTCTGAGTGTATTGTACGTATTGATTGGTTGTTCTGCAAAAACCCTGTGGGCAGTACTATGTTTGTAAAATGTGCATAAAAGCAGAGTGTTTGATTGAAAGCTTCAGTTCTACTTCACCCTCAATTTGGAGTTCCGTTTCTTATTGGGGGAATCTTCTAGAAGGGATTGCTATGCTCTGCATATTCCCTTGCTATAATCACTCCTAAGCTATTTTAAGAGCTTGTTCCTGCTTCACTCTCTGAAGGAGTCTACGGTGGTTATGGTGTCTGCTGGAGTGCTTGGAGCCCTCAGGAAGCACTAGGAGCATCCTTCAACTGAGGTACCCAGTCGGGGTACCAGTCGATCTGTTACACTTACTAACGTGGAAAATTGCAAATCTGTTCACTGAAAACTTTACACAGCTGGTCGAGCAGTGCTGCATTCCAGGGTACATGATTTTAAAGGAACATATCTGGTAGTAATTGATTCATATTTCAATACATTATATTAATAGTCAATTAAGAAAAGCTTAGGAGGATACTTCAGCAAAGAGAAATCTTAAATTCTGGTCTTTGGTGTTCAATGCTTTCCTATAGAGAAAAATCTGACTCTGGAGGTCCTCATGCAGAGTGTGAGGACGTCCAGCAGGGCCGTCTTTAACAAGGGGCAAACGGGGCAGCTGCCCCGGGCCCAGTTGCTCCTGGGGGGCCCAAAGCAGCTGCCCTGTGGGCCCCCTGCCAGCAGCCAGGTCTGAATAGCCCACCGGGATACTGAGAAATATCCCGGTGGGCTGCAGCAGGTGATGTAATCAGGGGCCCCGGCCCTTTTAAGAGAGCTCCTGACCGAGCCCCTGTCTTCCTGCCTGCTGGGAGGAAGTGTTGTGAGGTCACTTCCTCCCAATTAACAGAGTGCCGCTGGGGAGGAGGAGGCATACATGGAGAGCAGGAGGAGGTACAGACCAAGAAGAAGACCATCAATCTCAGCCATCCAGCTCCCACTGGACCACAGGGAAGCCACACTTCTGTAAAGGTAAGGAGGGTGGCTAAACTATGTGAATTCATATGTGTCAGTGTGTGTGTTTGTGTGTGTGTGTATCTGGCTGTATGTGTATGTATCTGACTGTGTGTGTATCTGACTGTGTGTGTGTGTGTATATCTCACTGTGTGTATATCTCACTGTGTGTGTGTATCTGGCTGGCTGTGATTGTATCTGGCTGTGTTTGTGTCTGACTGTGTGTAAGTGTGTATCAGGCTGTGTCAGTGTGTATCTGGCTGTTTGTGTCAGTGTGTGTTTATATGGCTGTGTTTGTGTCAGTGTACATGTACCTTTGTGTCAGTGTTTATGTGTATCTGTGTGTATGTATACCTCTGTGTCAGTTTGTATGTATACCTGCTTGTCTGTGTATATGTACCTGTGTGTGTATGAGTGTCAGTATGTGTAAGTGTGTATCTGTGCATGTGGCAATGCATACATCCCATCTAACATTGCACACAAATACAACCCTGCATTCCAACATTAACAATGCACACAAATACACCACTGCATGTGTATCTGTGTTCCTGTGTGTATCACTGTTTGTGTGTGAGTGCATCTGTGTGACAATGCATACATCCCAGCATTCCTACGCCAACACTGCACACAAATACATATGTATTTGTGTATATATCTGTGTCTGTGTGTGGATGTGCCAGTGTTTTTATCTCTGTGTGTGTACGTGTATTTATGTATGTGGCTGTGTGTGTATACGCCAGTCTTTGTCAGTGTGTGCATGTGTCCAGATGTGTGTATGTATCAGTGTGCTAATGTGTATGTATATCTGTGAATGTATATCATACATCACGGCAATCAAACACAACATGCAACCACACCCCTGCAAACATTACATACAAACACACCCCTGAATTCAAACTCAAAAAGTATATAGAAACAGATCCCTACACTTAAACACCAATACTACACCCTACATGCACACACATACGGTATACAACAACATGCTCACATTCAAATGCACAAACACTGCTCACAAATACAGCCCTGCAAAAATGGACAAATGGTAGATCCCCAGCTGGCATAGCATCGTTGGAATTGTACAACAGATGAGGATCTATCTTTTCTCTGCTCTTGCGCTAGAGGGGAGGCTCAAAACAATGTCTTGCACCAGGGCCCTGTCTACATTAGTTCTGCCACTGTGTTGGGGTGGAGGGCGTGATTGCATGCCAGAGAGTGAAAGTGTGGGAGGAGGGCGAGGGATGGCAGGATCCAGGGGGCCCAAACAAATGCCTGCCCAGTGTCCAAGCAATGTTAAAGACGGCCCTGACGTCCAGTGTCAGATACCGGACCAAAGGTCTGTTTCAAACCAGGCAGCCCTCTAGTGGCTGTCTGGTAGACAGCCACTAGAGTCTGACTTAGTGCTGCACTGTAAACATTGCAGTTTATCTGGAACTGCAATGTTTAATATTGCAGCACTGTACTCAGACCACTTAAATTAGCTGAAGTGGTCTGGGTGCCTACTGTGTCCCTTTAACTTCATATCCCAGGGTTTATAATCTAAAGTCAGGCTCTATTCAGTAGAATTAGAGTGTGCTGAATAGCTGCAGACATGGATTAAGATCTCACAGTATCTAGGCCTAGACAGTTTGCCAGTCCCTTTCCCCATTCTTATATTTAAGGATAGCCAATTACCTTCATGACTATGATTGGCTAGGCGTATTCCTGATCTGGTCAGAGTTCACTGCAAAGTATATACATCCCCATAAATTACACCATGGTAACAGATTATATATGATTACAGGAGGTGCTTAGAGCTACCAACCCCAGCTCCAATAACCTGCTGCCTAATTTTGACTTTACTTTATGAATTCCACTCACTAGACATATGCAATGTCCATAGAAGGTGAATGTTCTGGCAGAGCTCCATTTCCCCCTTCGTTTGTCGGACATCTCTTCTGGAGGAATACTTTGTCTTTTTCCAAGCAACAAACTTCACTTGAACACCAATACTTAAAGGACCACTATAGGCACCAAGACCACTTCAGCTTAATCAAGTGGTCTGGGTGCCAGGTCCATCTATGATTAACCCTGCCTGCTGTAAACATAGCAGATTCAGAGAAACTGCTATGATTACCTATGGGTTAATCCAGCCTCTAGTGGCTGTCTCATAGACAGCCGCTAGAGGCGCTTCCGCTCTTCTCACTGTGATATTCACAGTGAGAAGACGCCAGCGTCTATAGGAAAGCATTGAGAATGCTTTCCTGTGGACTGGCTGAATGCGCGCGCGGCTTGTGCCGCCCATGCGCATTCAGCCGATGATGGGGAAAGGAGGCAGAGAGTCCCCACCGCCGAGGGAGCCCGGCGGTGGAGAAAAGGTATGTGTTTAACCCCTTCCTCACCTTAGAGCCCGGCGGGAGGGAGACCCTAAGTGTGGGGGGGACCCAAGGACCCTATAGAGCCAGGAAAACGAGTATGTTTTCCTGGCACTATAGTGGTTCTTTAACTTCTCCAGTATGCCAGAGTGTACCTTGTACTTATACCTCTGTCATCACCCATAATACCATCTTATCACTAACGTATATGTTGGCTTGGGAAAGGGACAAAGGTCCCCTTACTGGTCGTACATTTAGGAAGCTGTCTCAATATTAACCATTTGTGTGAAACATAAAGAACAAGCTTACAAAACCATTTTTAGATGGTATATTAACCAGGTCTGACTATTTAAAATGTAAAACCTCACCAAAGATACCTGCTGGAAGAATTGCAGGAACAGTGGTACCTTTATCTACTTATGGTGGCATTGTCCATGAATAATATTATACTACTGAATCCTTTTAGATTCTTTTTTTCACAATTGTTCTTTTTTAACTAACCATCGCAATATTTATTTTCTGTAACACAATGTTCAAAGAATAATAAGTAAATAAAGAATGTTAAAAACAAAATCCACACACTGTCACCCTTTTTTCTCAGCATGAAAGCAGCTACAGAGAGAAAGAGATGACATTGTAATTCGTTGCAAAATAATCTGACGCAAAAGTGTGCAGTCAACATTTCTCCAGTAGAAATTTTGTTTGTTAGATTTCAAAGGTTTATGGGGTCCATTTGTGATGATTACAGATTACATTTGTGATGAAACACATAAAATGCACTTATAAATATATTAAACGTATTTATTTATTTTTCATTAAAATAAAGAAGAATTTAAAAAAGGCAAACAATTAAAAATCAGTCAATTAAATACGTGGAATTTCCCATTCTTCCTTTATCCTGTAACTAAATAAATATTGTTGAATATGGTGGAAAGCAGAGGAAACAGAAAATGTCTAGAAAGCATTGCAAGCTGGCAGCCATGTGTCCGACATTGACAACAGCAGAGTGAGGGCCAGCGTGCCCCACCAAAGACCAGAGATGTGAAGCTGTAATAGATACTTTGTGAATGAATATTCAGAGAGGCTTCCTAGTTAGATCATCATTTTATGCTTTAACCCTACAGCTGAAAGCGTATATTTTACAATGCCAGACATAGAATGACATTGCAGGGCTGCCCCTCCCTGTACCACAGATACAGCAAAAATAATTGAATGGAACCTCAGGATGAAATGCTCCTCATTTCTTAAGGCTGTTTGTTTAAAAAATATATACATTTTAAATTTAATTAAATATTTTGGAGGTACTCAAAAAATTTTTGCGTTAATCTGGAGAGATAGGCCGGATTTCTGACATTTCCCACTGGCGTGTGTCCATGGTGAAGCAAATCCTGCTATTGATCTGCAAATGTTCTTTTTGCTGTCACCATCCACCTCAATTCATTATTGGTTGCTTTCATTCCTGAGGGACTGTCATTATCCACTTTCTAACCATTTTACATGGCTTCTGTTCCTTCCTGTGCTAGATTCATTACCATGTGGGTGAGGACGAGTGACACTCCTCTTTTTTTTTTTCCTAAGAAAAGCTTCTCACCACACAATGTGTGAGACTACGGCATCTCATTATCGCCTGCTAAGGCTTTGTGTGAGTGCACAGCCCCTCCTCTACTGCAGCACAAAAAAAGAAATAAAAGACGAAATCTGTCTGGATGTCAACAGTAATCTGAATAACTAGAAAGAAATCTCTTGTGTTTAGATAAGAGCGTTGTTAATTCCAACAATTGAAATGTATGTGTTATGCATCCAAACACAGACCCACCCACCAATTCATCCATCCATCCATCCTCCATCCATCATCCATCCATCCTCCCTCCATCCATCCATCCTCCCCTCGATCCATCCTTCTTCAATCCATCCTCCTTCAATCCATCCATCCTCCATCCACCAATCCATCCACCAATCCATCCATCCATGAATCCATCCTCCATCCATCCTCCATCCATCCATCCTCCATCCATCATCCATCCATCCTCCATCCATCCATCCTCCATCCATCCATCCATCCTCCATCCATCCATCATCCATCCATCCATCCATCATCCATCATCCATTCATTCATCCTCCATCCATCCATCATCCATCCATCCATCCATCCTCCATTCATCCATCCATCATCCATCCATCCATCCTCCATTCATTCATCCTCCATCCATCCTCCCGTCCATGCATCCATCCTCCATTCACCCACAAATCCATCCATCCATCCATCCTCCATCCATCCATCTTCAACTATCTACCTAGGGATTGGCAAAATAGCAGAAACACCTAACGATGTATTAATATTAAGAACATTCTAATGCTTTGTGATACCCTTTGCCTTAGAACAGCTTAAATCTTGAACTGAATTATTCCGTACAAGATTTGAGCTGTGTTTTGTTTAGTGGGGCACTACAACATTTTTCAAGAAGATAAAGGAAATGGAAATCTATTCTTGTTTGCTAAAGAAATTCCCCTAACTGTTCAATAATGGGCAGGTTATGGATTGTATTTGACCTAATTAAACTACTTTTGAATGTATTTAGCGATAGTGAGGTCATTATCATCATGAGACATGGCATAATAATGAGAAAACAATATTTGAACCAGTGGGTGAATTTGGTCTGTAAAATGGCCTCATATTTCTGGGTCACTATATGATCATGTGGAGCAATCATCTGAACTAATAATTCTAAGAAGATTGTTGCTTTTGCTATGCTAATATATAATTTGGCCTAAACTAAAGAGTTGGCAGCAAACATTACAGAGTAAGGACTGCCTTTGTCTGTCTCCATATGTAAATCTGCCTAGATGTAAAAAAGACAGTAAAAGATGACTCATTACATGTCTTTGTCTGTTGATCTTGGGTACAAGTGGTTTCCAAAATGGCAGCCCTGACATAAATTCCTGCTATGTGAGTGTGAGTCACCGACATACTAATTCAATTCTCCCTTAATATTTGAGGTTATAGCCAGAGGTTAATGCTTATCCTGGCACGCAGAGACTGATTATACATCTGAGGCAGGATAGTGGGATTGGCAGGCAGAGTTGGTTATTTTTAGTTAAGCAGGCCAATGCATTGTGAATCAGTCACCTAATGCAGAGAGGAAAATAAATAAATAAAAAAAGTTGGGATTCCTGAAATGTACATGTGAAATATATAATATAATATAAAACAAACTGAGAAGTACGCCTGTACTATACTTTTGTTCCCCAGAAAAACCATCAGGAACCTTTATCCCTGTGGCAGGTGTTATAATTGTGTGCATAGTGGCATGGACAATAACAGACAGAGAGAGATGTCCCATGTGTATATGGTAACTAGTAATGCACTGCTGCCGCTGGAACCAATACTACCCTGCCTTCTAACTACAAACACATAAATAAGGGCTGCACTTTGAGGGCCTTGTGAGATCCATATTTAAGTGGAAATTACCATACATCCTGGGTGTTTGGCAAGTGGCAGAACAATGGCCACTGGTAGGAGGTAATGTCTGGTACCCAGCTCTCCTGTATCTCTAACTCTAGAAAGCATTCACATAATGGAGCCTTCCCCTCACCCACCCAAGAAATGTAAGGAGAGGGAGGAGGAATAAAATTCTAACATATTTGTATATGCATGCTAGTGTGTGTCTATGCATGTAGTGGGTCTGTATGCTGTCATGTCTATGGGTGTCTGCTAGTGTGCCTCTGTGCATCATAGTGCTAGGGTGTGTATATATATATATTTATATATATCTGTTAGTGTGCATTTGTATTTTAATGTATGTCAATATAAGTGTAAATATGTGTACATCACAGTGCTAACATGTGTCTATGTATGTGTGTTGCTATGAAAGTTAGTATGCATGGCTTATCATCTGTGCCAATGGATATTTCTCTATTGTATTTATGTATGTTTGTAAATGGCTAGAAATTAAAGAAAATTAGCTGGTACCAGGCTGACTGAGAGCTTCCAGTAATAATGATCATTACCCTAATAAAATTGCAATTGTTAGGAGCACATTTTAATGTCTACATTTGTTTGCTTACAATTTGTTGCCGCTGATATTTCAGATACAATACCCTGTGAATTACACAAGGAAAAGGGCCTAAGCCATGTATCCGAATCCATTATCTATATAAAATCTTCTCACGTTTCACGTTTGTAAGATATGCCTACTTTTATAAAAAAAATACTACACTCACACATGGAGCATTATGCTCTCAGATTGATCAAATCTTGGTTTTATTTTCACCCAAATTATAAACAGCATATTTTAATGCCTTTAATAGTGCCAGATAAAATCTGATTATACAAGGAACTGCAATTTGATAGATTTACCCCCACCCCCAATTAATCAGAAACTATTGTAATGGGTAAAATGCCATTTGCGTTTCCATGGCAATTACTAGAAAGAGAAAAATGTTTATTTGTATTTATATGTCTGCTTCTTGTTGTAAAAGATCAGTAGTGCAGGGATACATACTATATTTACCTTGCATTACCTGTATGAGTACCACACATGTTCTGGGCTGAGATCTTACATGCGCAATTAGAATATCCCCAGAATCAGTTATTTCATTTAGTGTTAATAGAACATTCTTCGTTCTGTTAAGCTTGCAAGCAATGCACTCTCTATCCCTCTCCTTTTCTTCAGAGCTGCAGAGCTGACACCTTAAACTATTCCCACTACCCAGACCGTAATTACAAAACGATGGGAAGGGTGGGATGGGCTCTCTTAGCCAGCATTTTTAACACTCACACACACCCTGTATCAATGTTTCGGTATCAATCAGCTTCAAAGAGATAGATTATTGTATGTGGTGGTAACTGTTACAAATAATTATAAAAAATATATACATATATATAATTACTGGTTTGCTATGTTCCATTACGCACCATCACCTTTTCCAATCTTTTTTTCAACCTCCTGTGATGGGGAGACAATGCAGCACCCCTACCCCCGAATCTCCTCTCTGTGATTGGCTGCCCTGTCCTACATGATACCTCCCTGTGCTCCTTCCAGCATTACATCACCCAGCCTGGAAACAGTGGAAGTGAATGAGAGAGGAGAGGGGAGCAGCACTGGGTGGGGCCTGGACCCTCCCTGCCCGGCTCATATAAAAGGCACACTAAAGGGGCCGTGCCAGCCCAGAGTACACCGGAGTGCACAGGACCAACACAAGCCAGGCACCATCCCCACTGCATTACAAGGAACTGCTCGCTGTCAGTAAGGAATATAACAATGCGTGAAATTGTGCACCTCCAGGCTGGCCAGTGCGGTAACCAGATCGGTGCCAAGGTAAGGAGTGGGTGCCCTGTGCCAGGGAGCAGCTGCAGTGTATTGTAAGAGGATTGGGCGTGCTTGCAGAGCCGGCTGTATGCCCCCATCCTCTCCTTCACCCTATTATTCAACGTGTCTGGTGATTTCTCCATCTTCAGACCACTTGTATCCACATTGATATTCAGAGTTCATGCTGGAAAAACTGCCCCATGAATAATTCATTCCCAGGCACTTACACATTAACCCTTATGGGAAGGGGACAATCTGCTGTGTCGTAGCAACAAGAAAACCCTTTAAACATGTTTTATTTGGGCATTTTCTATCCAGCCCCTGTTGGGTAATGAGGCAGATCTTTATTTGCCTGTCAATTAAACTTTGTAATTTGCATTAGAAAGCGCCATCATTTTTGGTGACTGCGCATTGCGGTTACTGAACAATGTGCCAACACCCTCCTCTCTGCCAGGCAGATAGCGGTATACACCCCATTGTAAGGTGGCTCTTTGTTAATTTGTGAGGGCACTTGATGGGCATGCCAGCCTACACGGGTGGGGCTTTTTACACTGGCATTTTTTTACCAGAACTGGGGGAGGCGAGTCTGCCCTTTGTGCAAAATAGTCTGATTAAACTACTTTAATCCAGTTTTCCGATTATTAAAATTAAATAAAACATTACATTGTGGCAAATCCGTACGTGGTTTATGGGAGATAATGGCATAGGCTGCTATGTGTTTTGGGTAAGTAAGTGGAATGTGTCAGTTGTCATTAATAAAATGAATAATGAGAAATTTTCAGCCAATTCTGGAAATGTGATATCCTAATACATTGTCATTTTCGCAGACAATCATAAAGCATTACATCCAGCAGTGGGTGTGTTGATTTGGCAATCTTGATAAAGAAAATCTATATTGATCTGCCAAAGCTAATATTAACCGTAGCTATTTTATAGGTTAAATATAGTAACCAACATCAATATAACAAAATATTTTATTCCTCTATCTCTCTCTCACACACACACACACACACACACATATGACTTTTAGACATCTTAATGAGCTCTGAATAGATTTTTTTTTAAATTATTTATATAGCGCCAGTAAATTCCGTAGCGCTGTACACTGGGTATCTGCAAGGCTGGGTGTGGTAGTCAATTTCTATTCGGAAATTAGCAAAAAAAATCTGCCAAGATTAATATTATATTTGTACATAGTTACTGAAATAAAAAATATAAGAATGAAACATTTGTTTTCCTGATCACCTGGTTAGTAAGCTATTGTGAACTATTTTGCTATGACTGTTAATTATCTTTGGTAAATCCCTATTCTTGCAAAAGCTAATCAATTTTTTTTTTTATTGAATTTTTTTTTTTTTTGTGCCAGTTTTGGGAAGTAATCAGTGATGAGCATGGAATTGACCCTACAGGCAGTTACCATGGAGACAGCGACTTGCAACTAGAAAGGATTAACGTATATTATAATGAAGCCACTGGTAATTATATGTTATTCTACGTTAAAGCTGTGTCTTTGCAAGAAATGAAAATTAAGCAAATGTGTGTGTTTGTCATGTATAAATAGGGGCATAAATTCTGGGGATGAAAATATAATTTTGCCTCTTTATAAATCGCTGGTAAGACCACACCTTGAATATGCTGTGCAATTTTGGGAACCTGTTCTAAAGAAGGATATCATGGAACTAGAAAAAGTGCAGAGACGAGCTACAAAATTGATAAAAGGAATGGAGCATTTTAGTTATGAAGAAAGGTTAAAAAATTAAATGTTTAGTTTGGGAAAAACGGCACCTGAGAGGGGATATGATAACATTATACAAATATATTCGGAGCCAGTACAAACCATTATCTGGAAATCTATTCATAAACAGGGCTATAGGACACAAGGTCACACATTTAGGCTGGTAGAAAGGAGATTTAATCTAAAGCAAAGAAAAGTTTTTTTTACAATAAGAGCAATAGGGATATGGAATTCTCTGCCTGAAGAGGTGGTTTTATCAGAGTCCATACAGATGTTTAAACAGCAATTGGATAAATACTTCCAAAAACATAACATACAGGGATATAATTTCTAATTAGTGGGGTTATTGCTGCTTGATCCAGGGAGACATCTGACTGCTATTTTGAGGTCAAGAAGGAATTCTTCCCTATTTTGTTGCAAAATTGGAAGCGCTTAAAACAGGTTTTTTTTGCCTTCTTTTCGATCAACAGCAAAAACATATGTGAGGAAGGCTGAACTTGATGGACGCAAGTCTCTTTTCAGCTATTTAACTATGTTTTATATATATATATATATATATATATATATATATATATATATATATATATTTGGTTTTACTAGAAGAAGAAAAAATGTGCTTTCTTGCATTGCCTGAGGTTACTAGATATTTGAGGAAGCGGCCGTTTGGAGGGGAAAAATAATTTTTTTTAAAGGCATTAGTTATTATAATACTAACATTGCAAGATTTATCTCTAGATCTTCTATTCTATTACAGGAAATAAGTATGTACCTCGAGCGATCCTTGTGGATTTGGAACCTGGCACTATGGATTCTGTCAGATCAGGACCATTTGGACAAATATTTAGACCTGACAACTTTGTGTTTGGTACGTATGTCATCCCTCCTACATCCACATACAAAAGAAATTCATATTAAGTTTGCCCTGTCCCCCATTCAATAGTTCCTCATAAAAAGTGATGGTCCCAAGGATCCTATATAAGCCAAGAAGACATTGTGTGTTTTCCTCTCTCTTTCAATATGTGTATTAGAATGATAGATAAATCTTTAGTGGGCAGTGTACACAAAATACAATATCCCCTTTCTCATATCCCATGCCGAGGCCCTAACCTATAGTAAGAATGCCCTTAGTACCAAACTCATTGGCCATAATATTAAAAGAAAAAAACCCGGAGAAAAAACAAACTGAATTTCTAACAGATTACCAGGTGAAGTCCAGTCCATTTTTCCAAATGATCTGAGTCTGGGAGAAATGTGCCAAGAAGTAGACAAGGTTCTGGCCACCTAATCCCCAAGTAACCTCCCATATAATCCCCCAAAATAAATGTTAAAATGTATTTCTCCCTACCTTATTGTATGCTTAACAGGAAAGGAGGAATAACAAATTGCAAAAATAATTAAAAACTTCAAAATCTGGTGAATGAATGAAGGTCTGTGCTTTTTCATCTTCTCTATGGGAGGGGAGTGGGGGGGAGGGGACGAAAAAAATAAATAAAAACTTTAAAACTGTTTGGAGAACAAGAAACGAGAACATTTAAAACAAACCCTGAAAAAAATAAAAGAAAAAATTACTACAACAACTATTTTACGTTTACTGTGTAATATACACTATTGGTAATATGGATAAAGTCTCCACCCTCTATTTTCAGTAAAACCTGTAAAAAACAAACAAACAAACAGATACACTCACCTGAAATCCATGCCGGGCAGAGAAGCCTGTGATTGGTCTGTTGGGCCAGCTCATAGCACATGCGCACGCTTCAGACAAGCAAGGAGAGAGTTTAAAAAAAAACTGTGTAACGGAGGGAGGCTGCTCGCAGTGGGAGGGAGGGAGAAGCAAAGGTAAGATAATTATGTCTGTCACCAGTGTGCTGTGCGTGCTGAGGACAGGCATTTTTTTTTAATGCAAAGTATTGACATTAGGAAGCCCAGAACAGTTACCATCCCATGTTGACCTTATTTACCCATTTAACACATGAGATGAAGACATGATCTTTTGAGTGAGGTTCAGTAAAAATAAGAAATACATTCTGTAATATTAGAACCTGATTGTGATGATCTACTAATAAAGTGTTAACACGGCTGTTACATTTCTGTGTATTCCAGGTCAGAGTGGCGCTGGAAATAATTGGGCCAAAGGTCATTACACAGAAGGAGCAGAATTGGTGGACTCTGTCCTGGACGTAGTGAGGAAGGAATCTGAAAGCTGTGACTGCTTGCAGGGATTTCAGCTCACACACTCCTTGGGTGGTGGCACTGGCTCTGGAATGGGTACACTCCTGATTAGCAAGATCAGGGAAGAATACCCTGACCGAATCATGAATACATTTAGCGTGATGCCATCTCCTAAAGTATCGGACACTGTGGTTGAACCATACAATGCTACACTCTCAGTCCACCAGTTGGTGGAAAACACAGATGAAACCTATTGCATAGACAATGAGGCCCTCTATGATATCTGCTTCCGCACATTAAAGCTAACCACTCCAACCTATGGAGACCTCAATCATTTGGTTTCTGCTACAATGAGTGGTGTAACAACCTGCCTTCGCTTTCCTGGGCAGCTCAATGCAGATTTGCGAAAACTGGCTGTGAACATGGTGCCTTTCCCACGATTGCACTTTTTTATGCCTGGCTTTGCTCCTTTAACCAGCCGTGGAAGCCAGCAATACCGTGCACTAACAGTGCCAGAGCTAACACAACAAATGTTTGACTCTAAGAACATGATGGCAGCATGTGATCCTCGTCATGGTCGCTATCTTACAGTGGCAGCCATCTTCCGAGGAAGAATGTCTATGAAAGAAGTAGATGAGCAAATGCTCAATGTCCAGAATAAGAACAGCAGCTATTTTGTTGAATGGATCCCCAACAATGTGAAAACTGCTGTATGTGACATTCCACCACGAGGCCTCAAAATGTCTGCCACATTTATTGGCAACAGCACTGCTATCCAAGAACTGTTCAAGAGAATTTCAGAGCAGTTCACTGCCATGTTCCGCCGCAAAGCTTTCTTGCACTGGTACACTGGTGAAGGCATGGACGAGATGGAATTCACAGAAGCTGAAAGCAACATGAATGACTTAGTATCAGAATATCAGCAATACCAAGATGCCACAGCTGATGAACAAGGGGAATTTGAAGAGGAAGAAGGAGAAGATGAAGCTTAATGACAAGGAAGATTTAGAACTTTTTAGAATGGTAAAAGGCACAGTTTACACATTGCCAGTACATTTGCCCACAGATGTGTTCAAGCATGCTTATTCTCTTCCCATGCCCCATTTAATTTTCCCATCAACAAAGCCAGAAACAAATTTTCTTAACTATAACAATGTCAAAGTAACCGTTGTCGTTTTAGATCCTTTTCTAATTTATAAACAATGCCCAATACAATGTTTAAGATGATGGTGGTAGAAGTGATTTTGACGGCTTAGATGTCTTTCACTGGATAAGATCATAAAACAAAATGTGTGCTCACTGTTGTCTACTTTATTCAATAGAGATCTTTGAAAACAAATTCTATACGACACATGTATAATACATATTAAAGGGACACTATAGTCAACAAAACAACTACAGCTTACTGTAGTCATTCTGGTGAGTAAAGTATGTCCCTGCAGGTATTTGCATATAGACATTGCCTATTTGAGTCACTGCATCTCTATGAGGACTTGCTGATTGGCACAGTGCAGCATTTTGCCGCACATGCGTCATAGCCTCCCAATGCTTTCCTTTGGGAATGCATTGGATTGGTTGAGATAATTAAGTTTGATCGCAGAGAAGAGGGCAAAGCTTAAGCGGTACCAGCCGCGACCTGACCTGCATGGTGCTGTAAAAAGTTGCGTAAATAACATTTTTAGCAGGAGGTAAGGGGGGGAGAGGGGAAGGGAGGGTTGGGGGGAGGCGGGGTCCTAAACAGCTATTTGGATCTATGTCAGGAATACACATTTGTATTCCTGAAACAGTAGTGTTTCTTTAAAAAAATACACATTACTAACCACATACACAGAAAAACAAGTTATAAACAATTGAATGAACATTCATTGAGGAGTTTTAGAGGAACTCTGCAGCCCACATATTTTACATGACAATATTTAGCAATTTATTGGAATAGATCTAGTAAGCCTGATTAGTTAAATTAAGTAGTAGCAATTAGGGGCCAAAATGAATAGTTTGTGCAATACAATGTATATTTTTCAACTTCACCTCACCTTCTTCAGCAGACTTGGCACAATATATTAAAAGACTTTAAGTACTTGTTATTACCATTAACACACACTAGATTTCTTAAACATATAACAATCTACTTAATTTTGTCCAGGATCTCCACGCCATTTATTTTGTATTATATCATGAAAGCGAGGAGTATTTAAATATTTTTTGGGGAAAAAAAATCTAAAAATCTTGCTCTTCTGGTTTAAGTCTTTAAACAAAACATGAAATTGCATACTGTACATGGAAAACCAAAGGTAGGTTCAATTTGGAAACATACAACTAATTGAATCTCAATTAAATCTTACGTCTGCTTTCTTCCAGTCTAATAGCAGACTACCAACAGAAATGTGGAACAAAAGCTCACACAGATCTTAGAAAAGTAACTTGCTCAGATGTAGTATGTTTGAGTGCTCTGTGGAACAAACAACAATGGTACAGAGAGGAAAAAAAAGCATATTTTAATAGTAGGTCTTGCACAATCATATAGGAGAGCTGAATTAAAATGAACAATCCAGGCATCTATAGCAGGGAGTATGCATCTAACATATAAATCATTTTATTGCAAGACAAAAGGGACAAGGGGGAAGGGAGAGTCAGGGTAATTCCATCACCTGGTTCACAGTTTATTACATGTAATGGTTTTTTTTGTTCTTTATAATTTCTTTGCCTTTAGAACAATGCAAAGATTTGTTTCAACAGAACATTTTTTAGAAGCAAATTAACATTTGCTATGCCAATTTTTTTTCCCCACAGTTCAAATCAGTTTATTTTTCCCCAATTAAAAATGTGCATTAAAAAATATAATTACATCACTAAGAAATACCAATAGAGAATAGGAGCAAGATACTTTATTTGCTCACAGTGATTTTTTTGGGAGGGTACATTTTTTTTTTATTTTTTTTTAGTAACACATGGTCCAAAATGTTGGGTTCAACACAGAAAATCTTCCACTAGGTTCTTGAATTCATCTGGATATCGTAGATGAAGATTGTGCTTGCCATTTGGCATCAGATGCAACCTGGAAAATCAATGTACTTATTACAAAAACACTGACAGCAAACGCTAGGCTGATTCCTGAATATGACACGCTATTAATGTCACATTTCTCTTATTATTGACTGTGTTTAAATTATCACCTTCTATGGTTAAAATAGATTCTGCATACAAAAATAAACACCACTATGTAATAGATATATCCCCAATGAAAACATGCATGCATTTTTTTTGTGCATTGAGGGTATATCTGAAAATAACTTGGGAGTGCAACAAGGGTATTTATAAAATTGCCAATTTCTACTGAAATGTTCACTTTTTGTAAAATGCAAAAAAGGAGGACACATTTGGCATAAAGAGCACCTGCAAGTCCACATCCACATTGCATTTCATGGAGCCACATCTGTGATTCAGGTGACGACACAGGAAAACTAGAGAGAGTTTGGGACTATAGAGAGAAAACCAAAGGAAAAACAACAGCCAAAATAGCTACTAATTAATACATAGCAGACATGAAGCAGAACCAAAGATTATGCTTTATAGGCTGAGAGGCAGCCACAGGATATGTTCCTGCATTCTCCATCATATCATTATGGGTGTGAAAGAGAGACCTGGTTTCTATCAATCAGCTTTAAATCAGTTTGACAGAAATCCAGCAGGTGACACCCATACTCTTATAGCACCATAACTACTACAATCAGCAGTAGTGGTTATGGTGCTTAGAATATCCCTTTATTCTTTTTCTTCCAATATTCCTTTTCTCATTTAAACCAGTTTCTCAGGAACACAGAAGCAGACAAGGATTCAAGTAGGATGAACAAAGAGCTCTAGGCGAATCAGACACACTTGTATCATTAAAGAAATTCAGACACCTAAGTGCAAACTGATCAAATTACATAAGTTACTTCTAAAATGAAAAAATAAAACTTATACTTACTAGAGATAACAGAACATTAAAAATTACTTGCATTTAAGAGTCTCAGTCATCACCTTTAAGGGGTTGTAAAAGATTTGCAATTTGGTTTGAAACACTTTCTTCCCACAAAAAGCATTCAGTCATGTTCTGACTAATGTGTGTTTTTACACATATAGGTTTTAGGAGTTTGTCTAAATGTATAATCTAATGTACCAGCTTAGGTCAGGTGTCTATTCAATTTCTAGACAGAATCTCAAAATGTACTTGTTTCTTTTTTGGAAAAATGGCTAACAGGCAAGAACTGGTGCTGTATTCCTGGCACTATAGCTCCTTCTGCCCCCCAGCCCCCACGCTAAAGGGATTAAAACGCTTTTCTTTTTTTTTTACTTACCTGATCCCAGCACAGATGTCCCTCAGCCCTGGGTCGTGGCTCTGCGTCGTTCGACGTCTTGCGAGAGTGGGCGCTAATGTGCATGTGCGACAAATGCCTTAAGTATATTAGACCTGATGCTAGATGTCCTCATGCAGAGTGTGAGGACGTCCAGGGTCAGTTACCGAATCATAGGTCCATTTGGATCCAGAAAGCGCCCCCCAGTGGCTGTGTTGTAGACAGCCACTGAGAGCAGACTTAGTGCTGCAATGTAAATATTGCAGTTTCTCTGGAACTGCACTGTTTTACATTGCAGGTCTAACTGCAATAGGGACACAGCAACCAGAACACTTCAATGAGCTGAAGTGGTCTGGGTGTCTATAGTGTCCCATCAATAATGATACATTTTATAATAGTTATCTGCCTGTAGTTTTAGTTTTTAAATAAATAAAAAGAAGAATTAAAAAAAAAAGCTCTGCTTAGAATGACAATATTCATGACTATTTCACCTCAATGGTCCTCGTCTTTTTAACCCTAAAATGTAAATACAGGAGCATGGCCACCTAAATCCAGAGCTCCTCTCCACCGCGCTACTAATAGCCACTAACCGCACAAAGCAAGCGGAGCACCCGCAGACCGGCAGGGCTGCACCCCGGTCACCCTCCTCGGGCCCGATGGACGGATTCATTTAAACCCCGCTGAGGCCTAACCGCGAGGCACATGGATCCGAAATGGCGCCCGTTTCCCCGGCCTCCTCCAGCTCAGACCAGGAGCAGCCCACGCTGGCAGATATTGGAGCAGAGATCAGATGCCTGGCAAGTACCATGGTCACAAAAGCTGACCTGCAGTCTCTTACCTCTACCCTCACAGCATCCCTCACCTCAGCAGAGACTGCACTGAGGACCGACATAAATACGCAGGGCAGCTGGATACAGGCTCTGGAAGCACAGGCCCAGATCACGCAGCGCCAAACATCAGGTGCTGACACAGCCCTAACAAGACAGGGCAGCATGCTACTGGCCCTGCGCCGTCAAGTGGAGGACCTGGACAACAGCAGCCTCCGCTCCAACATCAGGGTAAGAGGGGTACCTGAGCAGGAGGGAAAAGAGAATGCGGAAGTCCTGCTGACCGGGCTGTTCCGACAGATACTAGGGGGAGAAGTGCCAGCGGAGATACGCTTTGAACGGGCGCACAGGGCCCTGAGACCCAGACTCTGGGAAGGGGACCCCCGAGACCTCATTTGCTGCCTTCACTCCTTCCCCCTAAAGGAACGCATAATGCGCTCCGCCAGAACACGGATCACATGACTATACCAGGGCACTGAGGTCTCTCTATACCAGGACCTCTCCCCTGCCACGTTAGAAGCACGATGAGCCCTCAGACCCATAACAGCTGCCCTCAGGGAATGCAATATTCCATATAAATGGGACTTCCCCTTCAGCATACAGGTGCGCCACCGCAATGAGTGGGTAGCCGCACACTGGCCGGATGAAATCCCACGGTTCCGGTAGCGTCTGGATTTAACACCTATAGCTGTACCGGACTGGATCCTGGAACCACTGGATAGAGAACCCAGAGACCACCCCGGCAAACACGGAGGGACTCCAGGGAGAACCACCTGGGCCTCATGCCCCCCCCTTGACTTACCCAGAAGAATAGCTGGCTACAGCCAGGAACAAGCCCACCTGTGCCCCAATGGTCCAGCAGGTCTGCACAGGAAGGAATTATAGTGAAAGGCGACCCATAAGCTACACCTTAGCCACGGCAGGCTGGCCGACTGGCTCGGGTGGGCACCTGGACTGCCACTTGTAATTTTTTTTCCTTTTTTCTCTTTGGGAGGGGGACGGGGATAGATCTGCCCATATTGCTACCATAGACCGGGTGGGAGGCTTCCATGTCTCACTACAGGGGTCAAGATAATGGTCTATCACCCCCTCATGTCTTTCCTACGGTGACTTGGACCCCACATGCCCCCACATTTTTTCCCTTTTTCTTCCTCCTGGAGCTGGCTGGGCTCTTTTGGGAGGGCATTACTAGCTTGGAGGGGCTCTGTCACCTGAGGACGATGGCTGTAACTAGCACGAGACATGGGACATCTGCCTTCTAAGCTACTGCCCCCTACACCTGAACCCTTCCAGCTTTTGGCTACGCCCGGACTGACCATGATTGGCGGAATGCAGGACACACTACTACAGGTTTATGCGGGGATGGGGGGGGACAGAGGGCGGATTGGGAAGCTCAATATACAGGGGGACGGTGAGAGAGTCTACATGAATCATTATCCTATAATAAAAAAAATAAAAAAAATTAAAAATAAATGTTAAAAAAGGGATAAAAGTATAAAAAGAAAGGGGAGATGGGGGGAAAGGGGAAAGGGGAGAAAAAAACAAAGGGGGAAGAGGAGGGAGGGGGAAAGAGAAGAGGAAATAAAAAATAAAAATAAGAAAGGTGAAAGAAGGGGGGGGAGAGAGAAAAAAGGAAAACAAAAGGAAAATAGAAAAAATGAACAACAAACAGATAGCCATGCTCCACATGGGCGTAGGTGCGAGTGGAGTGGGGGCAACCCTAGGAATTGTGGAATGTATACAGGCCATTATGTAACCAATTGTATCAAATCCAGGCCTACACGCAAAGGGAGAAATGTAATGTATAATATGCACTTTACCATGTACATGTATACAGGCTTTTATATACCCGACTATCTCAAGTTTAGGCCTCAATATGATGGGTGAAATGTCATGTATGTTATGCATTTTCCCATGTGACGTGTATGCACCTTCCCCACCTCAGGTAGGCAGATAACATTGGCCTAGCTCACCTCCTAGACAACTGACAACCCGTGTCATACAAAAAACACAGCATGAGCTGCTGCAGGTTACTGACTTGGCCCCCCTCCCGACACCCCCGTGTCACGTTGGACCTTACGATGAGCAATGGACACGCACAACTTGATCGGATCGTTGACCCTCACGGGCAGACACCCCTATTTACAGGCTTAAACCCCCCAGCCTGAAGTTACGATGTGCTCTCTCCCCGCCTCACCATACAGCAATGCATGACGATCTGTACGGACTCATACTGCCCCCTCAGGGGACTGTGATATAGGCAAGGTTAGCTCCCACCAAGGCCACACCGTGTCTCCTAAAAAGACGACATATGCAGACGATACAACTCACTGTATACACTAATCCACGTAAGTGACATATGACTCATGACAAGGTGGCAGAGCACCTGTAGGTTGCCCACGATTCTAATCTAACTCTTCACATAGAAGAGGAATCACCCAGAGTGGTGATGCTTGCCGGACACACCCACTAACCCCGAACATATTCGTGTGAACAAACCCTTCCCACGGGGAAGCGGTAGTTGGACGCTGCTGGACTTGTTCTAGCAGACCCGACTGTTGCTTGCTGCAGTGGTCACATGAAAACTCCCTCCTAGGAGGGTTACTTGACACCTACATATAGGTGTAATCTCCGTCTCTCATCAGAGGCGAGCACTCTACTTCTCACTTACTAACTTCAATTCTAACTGAGGTAACGTTGCTTGGAAGGGGAAGGAGAGTGAAGAGCTTCAATTTTTCAAGCTCTCTCAACACCTCCACCCGTCCCCCCCCTTTTTTCCCCACCCTCTCTTCTTTTTTCTTCTTTCATCCCCCTCTCTCGCTCTCTCTCCACTCCCCCCGCCCATGTGGGACACGATGCCGGGGGGAATCGCCGTAGACCCTCGCCCTCTCACGACATACAAGCCCGACCCATACCGAATCTTATCCTTGAACTGCCATGGTCTCAACATCCCGGAGCGCAGGACACAACTCCTACGGGACCTCTACATCAGACGTATATCTATTTCCTTCCTGCAAGAGACGCACTTCAAAGAGGGCGCAGCCCCAATGCTGAAAAGTAAGCACTATCCCAATGCCGCCTGTAGTAACCATCCAACAGCCCGCAGGGCCGGGGTAGCTATCCTCCTAGAGGCGAAGCTACAATTCCGCGAAGCAGACCGACTGTCGGATGCAAATGGCAGGTACCTCTTCCTTAAAGGAGATATTCAAGATAGACGATACACTTTCGCAAAAATCGACGTCCCAAACAATAACCAAGCACAATACATACGCAAAACCCTCCTCAGGCTCTACTCCTTTACAGAAGGAACCTTGATCCTAGGCGGAGATTTCAACGTACCACTACACCCTCCCACCTACTTGTCTACAGGACACCACTGCATAACTTAAGGTGCTCTCCGAAATATACTGAAATCCTTACAGAACCTTCGGCTGGTGGATTGCTGGCGCGCAATGCATCCCAACGACAGGGAAAGCACCCACTACTCCACGAGCCACAAACGCGACTCGAGAATAGATGATATATTCACACAACAAGAACAATTAACGACAATTCAAACAGTGGAGATAGGAGCTGCACAATGGTCCGACCATGGACCAGTCATTCTGAAGATAGATTCCCCAAGGATGCACCCAACCTTGTGGGCATGGAGGCTCCAAGACTCGCTACTGCTTGACCTAACAGTAAGAGGACAGGTCTCTTAAGAACTCAATTCATATTTTACGCTCAACGCACCAGAAGACCACATTGCAACCACGATCTGGGAGGCACACTGATGCACCTGGCTTCCAAAAAGAGAAAAGAATCTCGACGACAAATAACCGACCTTGTGGAACACATATCTACACGTGAAACACAGCATAAAAGATCACACCTCGAGTCGACATACGCGGAGCTACTGGAAGCCCGGAGACAGCTTCAAACACATGAGACGACCCGTCACTACCGTTCATTGCAACGCTCGAAGGCCTTCTTTTATCAACATGCTAACAAAGGTGGGAGGCTACTGGCCAGGATGCTTAAAGGCCCTCAGGGACTAGCCCAGGTCAACAGACTATGGCAAGCTGATGGCACAATCACACAATTTCCTGATAAGATTGCCTCGGAATTTCTCACTACTCCTCACTATATAATGTCCCACAACCGACACAACCAAATGAGACAGCGTATAGGAACTACAGTGAAACCTATGTGGGGACGAGACTGCAATGAGGGGAATCAGAGGACTTGGAGGTCCCGATAACAGAGGGGGAGGTGGCGGGAGTGATCAAAGCAGCTAAAACAGGTCGTGCGCCGGGCCCAGACGGCTTCACCCTAGAAAATTATAAGAAATTCCAACACATCTTAATCCCAAAACTTACCAATGCATTCAATGCTCTCATCGAGGACGCTCAATTCCACCAGGAGTCACTGGCAGCTATAATCACTGTTCTCCCGAAGTCAGGGAAAGACCCCGAAATATGCAGCAACTATAGACCGATCTCCCTACTCAATGTGGATGTAAAACTACTGACCAAGATATTATCCACCAGGATCGGAGGCCTACTGCCGAAACTGGTCCACCCAGATCAGGCGGGATTCATACCCGGACGCGAGGCCAGGGGTAGCTCTCTTAGGGTCCAATCCATCCAACACCTGGCTCACTCTCCACAGATGCTGAGAAAGCATTCGACCGGGTAAATTGGTCGTTCCTTATGGCTACGCTGCAGGAGATGGGCTTCGGGGAGAACATAATGAAGTGGATAGGAGCACTATATCATTGCCCAAGTACCAAAGTAAGAGGGAACGGTGCCCTCACCGAACCCTTTCTGATCCGGAACGGAACACGGCAGTGATGTCCGCTCTCCCCTATGCTCTTCGCCCTCACCCTTGAACCATTCCTGGAGGTGGTGCGCAGAACAGATGAGATTCTAGGATTCTCCGACAAGGGCACTACCCACAAAGTAGCGGCGTATGCAGACGATCTTTTATTTATTATCAACAAACCCAATACCACCCTACCATACTTGATGTCAACATTTGAGACCTATGGGGAGATATCGGAATTTAAACTGAACATACCCAAATGTGAGGTACATTTAGATGGTGCCCGACCCACATGCAATACCTGGGCATAGCCCTTAACAGGGATCTGGGAGACATGTATCGGACGAACTTCCTACCCTTGCTACAAAAAAAATACAGCGAGATTTACAGACGTGGTCATAACCATATATTTTGTGGTTCGGCCGTATAGCGATCCTGAAAATGAACATACTGCCCCAGATCCTATACCTCTACCAAACAATACCTCTAGGCCTACCGACAGCATACTTTCAATCGCTTCAGGACCGCTATGATACGATTCGTGTGGAGTGGGGGACAGGCGAGACTCAGACAAGAAATCCTATGCCTGCCACGAGCTTGGGGTGGAACAGCACTCCCGGATCTCCGCAAATACCATCATGCTACAGTGCTACAACGGGTCTTGGAATGGCATACTCACCCAGCACACAAACAATGGATTGAACTAGATAAGAACCACATGGGGTCGTCACTTCTCATCACACTCACTAACTCGAAGAGACCCCCGCTGATGCCACTAGACTGCACCTCCACTGTGGCACAGACGGTAAAAAAGTGGGACAGCATCAGAAGAATTCCACAGCTGTCTCAAACACCGAGTGTGATGATACAGCTACCATATAACCGCCAGATAGGAGATGGGCTACCGCCGACATTTTGGAGTATCCTAGGTGGGGAAGAATCCCTCCCCATCTATAAGATGCTAAATAACACAGGCATACTACCACTACGGGAATTGATAGACAACGACCAACCATCCACAATGCAAATCTTCCGCTACACACAAATGACATATTTCTACCAAACCATATCGCACAGAGAAGCCCTACATAGAGACCTGACGTGGTTTGAGGCACTCTGTGACCTAAGGACCAACCTAGCCAAGTCAACATCCCTCATTTACCAATACCTCCTTGTAGGTCACCTGGAGAACGAAGACACCTTTCGCAGACGCTGGGAACGCATTCTAGGTACCACATTCACCGCAACGCAATGGGAAAAGATCCTGGTCCTACATCACAAATGCTCCTCTAGCTCCAACTATCAGGAAACCAATTATAAGCTCCTATCGTTCTGGTACAGAACACCCGAAAGCCTGCACAGAATCTTCCCGGCAGTACCCGACACATGCTGGAGATGCGGAGAGGGACAAGGAACGATCTTACATATCAAACGACGAACGGAGGAAATACTGGGGACGGACGGCAGATTCAACAGAAAGGCAGCTCTCCTACACTCTACAACAGACACCATCGGGGTATATAGAAAATCCATACTCCGACACCTGCTGAACACCGCCAAGGCTTTGATTCCGCTGCACTGGAAGCAAGATGTAACCCCGACGACTGGACTATGGATGGAAGGGGTGGAGGAGATATACAGGGCGGAATCGATACATGCCTCTTGATAGGTATGGATGCGAAACATGTTGAGAGGGGGCGGCCGTGGCTGGCCTACATGGCGGGACGGGGCACGGGGACTGGGACCCTCCAACCGCGCCCCAGAGCTGGTGACACCGAACTGCACGGAACACCATGGATCCAAGAATACCACGGGCACAACGCCGGTGCTCCTCGGAATCCCCCCTCCCTTTTTTTTTTTAATCTTTCCTCTCTCTTCCTCATCCTCCTCTGTCTTCGTGTTCTCCTTTCTACACCACTTGCTCTCTTTCCCTGCCCTCGCGCAAGAGTCTGACCTCACTGACCGTGCGCACTAGTCTCAACCGCAGCCAAACAGGAGGGTATGGCAGGCTTGGGTGTCAGGTGTTATACGGATGCTCCGCTAACTCGCTACCACCCACTACTCTAGACTGACCCAACTGATCATACCACCTGTACGACAAAACAGGAACTGCGCAAGGTGTACGCGGTCAAAGGTAATAAGACCCAATGGAAACCCACTATCTAGCAATATTATATGGGATGATGAGTCCCCCCTACGAATTAAACTTTCAGGTTAGCTATACCACAGACGCTATAGTGGCCCCTACCCGCCTAGAAGATACTCCTAGGCTATATGCAATCATTATGATAACAGACGAATCTTGACCACATACTACACAGTCAATACCTGGCTCACCCAGAGGTGACACACTCACCCCTTAATGTATGACCATAAGATGCAGACGTCTGCATATTGAATGCATGTAACATGTTGTGTTTACTGATACTGATACTGTAATACCTTCTAACAGTTAATATTGTTTAGGTTTACATTCATTTATAATCATATTGCTGTTCCCGATTTTGCAAGACCTGCGTGTCTCCTATTTTGCAATCCCATCGCACTGTTGTACATTTTCGATGACACAAATAAAAGCCATTTGAACTTAAAAAAAAAAAAAAAAAAAGTATATACAGGATTTTTCAGTGCCATGTTTACATGTTTAAATCTAACTCACTGGTTGTCACGTAAAGCAATAGCCTATATGAATGCACTGAATAAAATGCTTTCCTATAGTGAAACTTGGATGCTCGCGTGGCAGTCACATGCATAGAATCATTCCTCTTTGATGATGCACAAGGCAGAGAAGTAGGCAGTACTGAGTGAGCCTCGATGCTTCAAAAAATGTAATTCCTTTTGTATCTATCTGTATTCCAAATGCTTTAGTGTTCCTTTATATATTCCTAAATAGTAGATTCAAAGTTCAATTCATAGCTTAAAAAAGTACGACATGATTGTATCTAGTGTCACCCCTTTAGACAGGAATCTGCCCATTCTCTTACACTGTTTTCAGTACAATAATTTTAAACTATTCTTTCTTAAAGGGACTCTCCAGTTCCAGGAAAACAAACCGTTTTCCTGGCACTGCAGGTCCCCTCTCCCTCCCACCCAGCCATCCCAAGTTGCTGAAGGGGTTAAAATCCCTTCAGTGACTTACCTATATCCAGCGCCGATGTCCCTCGGCGCTGGTTCAGGGTCCGTCCATGCTCCTCCTCCGCCGACGCCAGCCGGCAGGGGAGACCTAAAGTGCATGCGCGGCAATGCCGCACACAAGCTTTAGATTTCCCCATAGGAAAGCATTGAAAAATGCTTTCAATGCTTTCCTATGGGTATTTCAGTGACATAGCGTGAGGATGTCCAGTGACACTATAGCACACAGAATGTGTGCTATACAAACGGAAGTGCCCTCTAGTGACTGTCTAGTAGACAGCCACTAGAGGAGGAGTTAACCCTGCAAGGTAAATATTGCAGTTTATGAAAACTGCAATAATTACACTTGCAGGATTAAGGGTGGTGGGAGTTGGCACCCAGACCACTCCAATTGGGCAGAAGTGGTCTGGGTGCCTGGAGTGTCCCTTTAAAGCAGCTGTCACATTCAATGGTCATTGGATATATTTTCAAAGATTCCAAAGGCGACAGTTGGAAGCAGCTCTCTGCAGAAGCTCTCGCAGCCACGGGGCATTCAGAGGCCAACGGACAATCAGGGAATCAAGAGCCCACCTCACTGTAGAAAAGTTAAGCAGGAGGGGACTCCACTAAATAATCATAAAATATAATTAAAAAATGGCAATCACCCTCATACACACAGTCACTATCCCCATGGACAGTAACCCTCATACTCACACAGTCACTTATCACACAAACACAATGCACACATGGTGGTCCTGTGGGCACACATGCCCCTTCCCTAGGCTTCAGGAGCTGCCATGTTGCTGTCTGCGTGTCGATGCGTGCATGCACAGTTGTGTTTCTCTTACGAGCATTATATCATCATCTATGACATGCTTTTAAGATCCAAAATAGTTTTTTCCTTCAAGGTGTTATATTGAGCTTTTTTTCTTTAAAGCATTTTGGTGAGGGTTTTGTTCTATTTTAAAGCCCTTTTTGGCTTTTATTATTTTATTGCTATTGGACAATTTTAAAGGTGTAGTGCATATAAAGACATATTGCCCTTTTTTCTTTTTTGATTTTGAACCATTTTAAGTCAGCAGGATATATTCTTAAGCTTTTTATTATCAGGAGTCCAGATATGAATTCCAGATGAATGGTCTACTACTTCAAGTCTTTTTCATTTAAAACTTTTGATGTTTCTTCTTGGACTCTACCCCTAATTGGACACTGCAGTGGTAAGGTTAACCAAAATACCACTTTTCTTGTTAATATTGCAGGTTCTATGTGAGGCTCTGTGGACTAAAGTATGGATTTTAACCTTTTTAAAGCTTATGTGGCAGCTGGCACAAGCTTTTCATCCAGCAGTGGCAATATGGTGGTCTTTACCTCAGAGGCTTCAACTGATATAATTTATGCCCGAGCCAGAAAGATGGCCTTTCTGTCGCTACTTGAAAGGCTCTTTCGATTAGATCTTGATACGCAGAGGCCTCTTCAAAGATCCGTCCTTGAAGTTTCAGGTGATATGCTGTTTGGCAAACATGGATGTATGCATCAAAGAACAGCAGAAGGTAACAAGGCTTTTTCTGCCCCAACATCATAGTCCAGAAGAGCATTTCAAACCAAAGATCTTCTCACTAAACTTCCTTTTGGCTTTGTATTAGTTACTTATTCTTAATACCTGAAAGATTAATGCCACCTAACTTATTTGACTCTCCCCCAAGTCTATTTCAAATCTGGGAGGCCTTTTCACCACTGAACTTGTACAGTTTGACTTTCTCAGGACCAACAGATCTTTTGCAAGGACAGAGAATGTTGGTTGTCTATGTTTCCTTGACAGACAAAGTGACGAACCTCCTGGAGGCCATGTCTTCTCTTAAGTTGACAAGTGTGCACAGTGGAGTATGAGGATATTTCAAGGCATTTCTTCTCCAGTTCAGGCATTCTTCTACAGCCAATCAGGATTCCAGCTAGTGTTTGCCAGTCCCCAATATAGTGGTTACTAATAAATTGGGTTTGTTTTTTCCTCCACTGGGAGAGATTCCTTGGTGTGTTTTCTCTACAGACATCAGCCATTGGGGTAAGGGATCATATTTTTTATTTATCTTTTTAATCAAATTTTTATTGTGATGGCGACAAATAGTACAATATAATTATTACCAGCATAGGACAATTCAGTTAAGCGAGTTAGAGACAGTGTACGGTAAAACCCTAGCTCTTAAGAGTAGTCATCACATTTTATAATTAAGAAAGTAAGGACAGTAAACATATGCATAAGTATACTGCAAACCGGAATATAGTAAATTGTAGTAAATTATGCAAGGCTAAAGGCATGAGTGTGGTGCCACCCCAGATGGTTCCAGAGGTAAATGTCCACGATACAATGGGACATAGTGTGTGTTATCAACTAAACAATAAAACATTTATTAGGTGGGGGGAAGGTGGAGTGGGACATGCCATTACAGAGAATTAAGCTAAGGAGCTAGAGCATCTTAACCCCACCATGATGCCTCCTGGCTGAGTGTGGTGGTAAGATGTGTAGAATGTTCATCTCTGGGTATTCAGCCTATGCCTGCTAAGGGCAGGATGCAGGCCCAGAGAATGGTGATTTGGATGGCTTATTTGCAGAGCTGTGGTCAATGCAGTTCTCAGATAGTAGGTTACCTCCCCCGGCTCCTTTTGCTTTCCTCTCCATGCTGCTTCGTGCTTGAGGCTCTCGCTGGCTCTGAATGCGCCTAGCTCCGATGCAGGCTTGTACCCCACGCCACTCGTGAGCTGCAGGCACTGTTTCTTCCGCCTTCTGCGCACTCTTCCAGTGCCACAGATCGGATCCAAAGCGGTCGGGGAAGACTCCCAGGTGAGTGGTTGTGTGGAGCTTGGGGAGGAGGCACAAGTAGCTGGGAGGACAGCTTCCTCCAGAAGTGTAGGTGGACTTGTGGTTCCCTTTGACAGATAGCAAATGATGGCCTCCGATCAAAGCAAGCCATAGGGTGCTGAGCTTCGGAGGGTGATACTTGAGGAATGCTGTCTCACCTTCCCTCCTCCAAAATCTGAACCTGTCTGAGCTTCAATTTCAGCCATAATTCACGAAAGAGGTTGTCTAGTCGCTTTAGGATCGTCTCCTGCAGGCAGCGTGTAGTGGCAGCAGGTAAGGTGTCTGCGATCTTCAGATGGCAAGACCGAGCGTGTGCAAGAGGAGCACACAAGATGCACGATTATGCTGGAGTTAGGCAAGTAAAGCCTGTGAGGGTTTGCCGGGATGATCCACACTGACAAGGGGGGAGGAGTGCAGGGGGATTCAGGGATCCTGACTGCTGTCACTTGAATATCTTTGCGGCACGGCAAGCCACGAGTTTGACATGCTTACTAAGGCGGAGTAGGCACCTGCTCTCCCCCCATTGCAGGTAACTACTCTGCTAAAATGTACCTGTATGGGAAGGAGAAGTTGCTGGTGGCAGTGAGGGAGCTCAGTCTTCTTGCTCCTCACTGCTCGCGTGCGCCCTCTGTAGTGATGCTGGGTGCCAAAATATGCTGCGCGCATGAGGGAGCAGGTAGGAGACCTCCCGAGAGAAGATCCCCACTTACCTACAGGGAGAGGCCTCACACCGACTCCCAAAGGTACGGAACAATAAACAAAATGATGTGGGTGCAAGAATGTGTCTGACTGCCAGTGTGTGTGTGGTGTGTGTCTGTCAGAGAGTGAGTGTGTGTGCGCACAGAGGCGTAACTAGAAACCATGGGGCCAAGGTGAAAAAATTGCCCTGGGGCCTCCCCATACATCCCCCCCCCCCACACACATACAGACAAACAGATAAACATGCAGACATGCACAAAGACACACACACATACATACATACATACAAACACATATACAAAATGTTTTGACTTCCCTGGGGTCATTCATTGCTATCTGGTGGCCCTAACAGCATGGGTCACTCGATGGGTCCCTTCACTGTGGTTCCAGCGCATGCCAGAACACATGGCTGCGGGCACCTGGGCCCCCTTGAGCAACGGGCCCAGTCTCAGCTGCGACCCCGGTAGTTCCGCCAGTGTGTGTGTGTGTCTGTCAGAGAGCGTGTGCGTCCGTCAGTGAGTGACCGTGTGTCTGTCAGTGAGTGTGTGTTGGTCAGTGTTGCGATGGCCACAGCTGGACAGTGGGGAACCTGGAGGTGCATGGAGGCACGCAACGCCACATTCCGACATGACGTCAACGTGCTCCACCTTCACAGGTGGTCAAGGAATAGCGGGAGGATCTGCTTTGGCACAGTGTGCGGATGGTGCCATTGGTGGTATACCTGTTGCTAGCCTCCAGAGTCGCATACTGGCAGTGGCAAAGTGAGTGGAGTCTGCTTGTTGGCTACTATTGTTTATTTTTTTAAACATGCGCCGAGGTTTAGTAGAGGGAGGTGCTGCGATTTAGTAGGGGACGGTCGGACTTGGATTTAGTATAGAGAGGGGGACTGGGAACTAGTATAGAGGGGGGTGTGACAGACCGCCTGGCACCCCGACTGGGTACCTTCGTCAATCACTGCTTCCTAGTAATCCTTGACTACCATAAGCACCGCACCAGACACCATAACCACTATAAACCCCACAAACCACCGCAGCTTGGTTGGGCTCTAACTGTCCTCCACCCACCAGTCCAGAGAGCAAAGCAGGCTGCTTTTACAAGAGCAATCGTTGTGATTATAGTGATTATAGCAATCCCAAGAGTGAATATAGCTCTCCAATCCCCCCAAACATGAGCCTAGACTTCATGAAGGGTAAAACGAATCTGTTTAATTGCTGCCACAACTGGCCTTTTATGCACTCCCCCCTGGACCTGAGAGCAGACTACAGTAATAACATACACACGATTACATTGGCTCTCAGGACCAGGACACTCCCATACAAAATAGGTCAATCCCTCCCCTATGCCTGGGAGATAATTGAGTCAAGCACTGTATTAAACTCAATTATCTCCAGGCACAAAACACACAATTTAAAAAAACAAAACAAAGATACCCTAAAACACAAAATCCCCACAAAAGTTACATCCAAAAATCACCCAGATCAGTTCAGTGGTTCAGGAATTTCCTGGAAGTCATAATTTGACCGACCTCCCGCATGGTCCCATGCCCCAAAAAGTTCCAGAGAATCAGGGATTGCGGTCAGTCTAGTTCGGTAGTTTAAAAACGAATAAACTACCGAACAAAGTCAATAGTCTTACCCTGGAGCTTGTTCCCTTTGTACATGGTAACGTTTCCACTGAACAGCGCCTTTCTAAGTGTTGTAGAAATGAACGCAGGTGATGCTGGAAGTCCAGCGGCGTTCTGGAGTTTCTGTGTCCGTTTTCAGTTCCATGAGATTCATGCCCAAACACCGCTGCCTGCTTTCATGCGAACAAGATGGCCGCCACCTTGTAGTCATCCAAAGTAATTGCGGCCACCCAAACTAACACTTAGAACACTGCAGTGGAAATTGCTACAAAGTAGCAATTAGGCTTAACAAGCTCCATGGTGGTCTCCGGTTTGTGTGGCTGTTCGGTTCCCAAACCAAATATAAAATCCCATGAACCAAGTCTGTTCACATAGGTTTTTAAAGGGCCCATAGTCTTTTGGTAAGAGGCCAACCAGCCGGCCCTTCCAAGAACACGTGACGAGGCTTAGTTTGTCACAGGGGGAACTGGGGTTTAGTAGAGGGGGATGCGTTTTTTTTTTTTTTATTCTGTACTTTTCAAAACAAACCTATGTTTCTATGAAAATGTAAGTTTTTTTTTTTTGCGGCTCACAGAAACTTAAACGTTGTTTATTTGGCCCGTGCTACCCTTTGAGTTTGACATGCTTGATCAAGGGGATACTCGGATTCACAATATAATGAGTATCATGGAACCTCTGAGGTCATGGGCTCAACAGAACTTTGAATTCTGTCAGCTATTCATCTTGGGTATAACAATAGTATTCTATGATGATCTTCCTCAGCCAAGCCGTAGTAGGCTTGGGGATTGGTACCAATCAAATGAAGCCTTCTAAGCCGTCTATGGCTACTCGCAGCATCACCAATGTGGTTCTATGGCGACTCGCAACAACAAGTTTGTCGAGTTCTTCTCTCAAATGTTGACCCTCAGTCTTTTAATACAAACGCCCTACTATCCATATAACAATTCATCCTGGAGTAAGTATTTCCACCTCTCCTCGAATGAACGATGGGTTCCCTTTTTTCTAAGTCTAGGCACAGAATTACATGTGATTACCAGAGAATTTCAGTCCTTCTCTTCCAAGGACCAGCTCTTTATCCAGACCCACCTTGTCCTTTCCTGAAGACAATGAAATTGTAAAGGTAAGTTTCTTCTCTGCAGTTATGGATACAGTTTTTCCAAGCCAGGTAGCATTTCACTTCTACTCCCTTTTCAAGGATTATGTTTTTTTTTTTTATCTTGGTCTCTGTCTAATCAGGTAGATAAGCTCTGAAGACACCTACTTTTGAGTATTTAGAATCCATTTCTCTGCATTTCTCACCATCATGGTTAGCTAGGGATTCTGGCTTTAGACAAGCATATATCGGAGCTTCAAGTTTTATCTTCTAAGGATCTCATCTCTGTTTTCATAGGCCATATTATTTCAGCTACAAGAAAATTGTGCTCAATGTAAAATTGTGCTTAAAAATGATTGCAAAATAATGGAATGTTCTTGATGATATGCTTTGGTTCTACTGTGATCTTTTTATTACCCTATGTCAAAAAAGTCTATTTGTTATCTCTAATAGGGCAGGGTAGGCCTCCAGGATCTAAGTAAGCTATCATAAGATAAGATGAAGATCAGTATTATCTAGGTCTCAGGAGCTTTGGTACCTGATGGACTAATAGCTCAATTTCCATGTTCTTTTCTTCCTTGTGGGCTGCCACAGCTAGGTTTATTTTATTGTAATGATATATAGTGCAGCTTCTTGTGCCTCTCATCTCCTTCATGAGACATGACCAATTAGATGTCTGACTAATCAGACATCATCAATTCTCTCCCTGTCAGTTTGTTGCAAGTTGGAGAGATCTTTCAACCGCACATGTGTAAATCAGTCAGGCATGGGCACCAATTGGTTAGATCATTGTCCCCCCTGGAGTTGGTATAGAAACCATAAGATAGAAGCAGCAGGTACACATGGAGGAGAAAATAAAGTCATATTTACCTGTCTTTTTTTAGTATGCAGAGTAAGGCAACTGTCTCTTTCAAAGCTAAAGCTTGTGAATCAGACAACTGTCTCATAGTGATGGATGTCCCTTTAAGATGTTAAACCATTTACAAATGGTTTAAACCCAAAGTTGTGTAGACGGCACATGTCATCGCAGGCCTTTCTTCTTCAAGCAAAGTTCTTGGCTACAATGATAACGCCTTGGACTGGGCACCAGTGATAGACTAAGAGAATCAGCTGACACTCTCAGCCTATCACTAGTTTCCTCAAAGTGTGCATAAGGTTAGTATTAGTGAGTGCTGAATATACAACTTAGGGGTTTAACCATTCGTAAGTGGATTAACCCCTTTAGGCAAAATAGTGCCCAGGACCTCAAGGCAACATAACTTCACTGTTGCGAAGTGTTCCTTTAATAGTGTTCAGAAGCATTAATGCTACCATAGTGTGAACTATAAACACTACTTATATGTTGAACACATTCAGGGTTACATATTAATGTGAGAATTCAAAGATAATTTCAAATTTAAGGTCAAAATAGCAGAAATGGAAACATGCTCTAATTCAGATTTGCTTCCAGTCTGGCCTTAAATTTGAAATTCAATTTGAATTCTCACTTTAGAGAATAACCCTTAGAACCCATGCTACCTAAAGTGACTCTTTGAATTGCTATATGACCACAGGTATGGATTATCAACTTCATCACTGGCTTCATTTTTTTTCAGAATATTCCCTTGATTTCTTATTGTTGGACTATCTGGTTTGGCTCTTTGGATTACCCTGGTCTTTGAAATTGGATTTCCCAATAAGTATGAGAGTTCCTTGAGTACTCCAACCTTGCAATTCCTGTCTTCTGCATCCCCAAAGATAACTTAACACAGTTTTGTATCATGGTCCTATTGCATGATCAACTACCATCTCATGGATAGATTAAATATATTTGGAAAATATAGTGAATATAGGGAGTCCAAAATCCTCCACAGTGGTTTTACAGCCCTTCCTATACTATTGATTAGCATTAATATGCTTTCTGCAATGCTCATGGGTATTGATTAGAGCATGACATCACACAGACACTGATCTCCTGTTTTAGTGTCAGAGAAAACTGGGACTTGTCCTGACATACATTCAACTCTCCCTCCCATCATAATACAAGTGATTCATGCCTTCTTCCCTTTATTTGCAATGTTGCATGTAAACCTATGTAATTTAAAGGCACACTGGTTTGCTCTCTCTCTCTGTAAGATTTCTAACTAACTGTAATAAGCCAATGGTAATGAAGACAAGATGACTGCCTGTAAGCTGCTTGTTAAAGTGCTATGGGCCAACATCAGCGTATGTATGCAAGAAAACCTAGATGCTTCACTAAGGGCTTGGTAAGTTAAATGATAAATGCTCCTCCTTGTGGTGCCAAATAGCAACACAACAGAGTCAGCTAGGGGCATTAGCACTTGTCTAGCTCTTATTTAGTAACTGGTGCAAAACTGTCAATCACAAAGAATCCCAGATAACGCAACCTCAACAAAGGACTAAGGAATGCCATCAAAGATTGACAGATACTTTGTTTTCCTGGCTAATCCATGTCAGGATCAGTTTCATAGGTTAAGCTCCATCCTCTCAGCTAATAGGACAGGAATAATTCATTTAAAATTTTGTATAAAAAGAATCCTTCTCCCTTAAAGGGACACTGTAGTCACTATAAGCATTTCATTTCTTTGAATTGGTTATAGTGCCTGGAGTACCCTGGCACTGTCCCTCCATTCAGTGTTGCACCATGTTCATGCAGTATTCCACAAAATAAGAGTCCCTGGCCACCCACAGTCCGGCCCCTTCAGTATGTGTAGCTAAGGCAGAGATTACACACTTCCTTGTTGTCATACCCACTCATACCGTCAGTTGGAACTCTGACAGGCTAAAAGCAGTCAGCTGACACTCTCAGCCAATCACAGCTGCCCATTACTGCTCAGGCTAATACTTCCTTATTAGCCAAAGCAGCACAGAGGGGATGGATTGCCGGGGACTCTTTTTAGCATTAAAACTTTAAAAACTGTTTAATGCTTATAGAAATGATGGGACCAGAAGACTCCAGACACTATAACCAGTTTAATGAGATGAAGCAGATACAGTGCCTACGGTGTCCCTTTAATTTAAAATTATGTATAAAAAAAAAAATCCTTCTCCCTAAAGCAGCTCTTTCAAATAACTTTAAAATTCCCTTTGGCTACAGGAAAGGTATGCCGGCAGCAATACCAAATATACAAGGATGAATAACAGCTACAATTTAAAATGTATATAAAGTGCCAAGAAAAGTGGTTCCTGAAGGCTGGTTTTAAGGATCCTTTACATACATTATTTTAAATTATTGTCCTGTCCTATCAGCTGAGAGGGACCAGCTTAACCCACTAGAGTGATCCTGACATGGATATTTGCCAGGAAAAGAAAAGGACGGTATTTTTCAAAATGTTGTTTTATCGCATTCAATTCAATCAAATATTGTCATAGTGCTATTAGGAAAAGACCATTTATGTAACTTGCTCACCTGGAGTCTTTAATTTGCTGGTGGATAAAATGGGGGTGAAAAGATGGGACCATCATATCTTTCTCTCCATGTATGATAAGTGTTGGACACTCAATGAAGGGCAGCAAATGACGACAAATATTACCTGCTGTATAAACCAATTATATCATTTGTGATTAATATTTTCTGCAGTTCAATAGCTCTTAAATAACTATCATCTCCATAGCCTTATTGCACAAATATATGTATTTAAATTCAAAGTCAATAATGCAGGTTTTACTAAATGCAACAAATAGGCTAAAAGTTATATTTTGGAAGAACCACAGAAACACCTTATCTGGCATTTCTTTCAGGATGGCCTCTCACCACCTAAAAATCTAAATATACAAGACTTAGCTCCTAATTCCCCCTCAACAGCATCACTATTCACTGCTTTCGTGCTACACTTGTTCTGCATTAGTGTAAAGATAAGTGGAATATGAGTGGCTGGGCTGTAGGCACTACAAGAGCCCCACGCCAAACAAACACTCTATTGATTTACACTTATTTTAATTCTTATGTGTTAACATTTACCATCAGGTTTGCTGGTAATATTACTCATTGCTTCAACCCACGCTTTGAATGTCTTGGCAAAATACTCCTTTCCATACAGATCCTCCATCGGTTTTCTCATCGCCTCACTCCAGTTTGACACATCTTTAACAGCTGTGAAAAAAACCCAGAAGGATATCAAAACTACTATTTTAAAAAGGTAGATCATGTTCGCAGCCAATTTAAATAATACATTTGTTATAGGTGGTGCCTGTTTTGCCAACGGAATTGCATTAAAAGTGTAAAAATTACTTGGGACTCTTGCGGATTGTACAGTTAACCCTTTCAATGCTTTGTGGTTTTTTAAGAGATAAATCCATGGGAGACAGCATATATCTAATACTCTTTAAGTCTCTACCTTTAGGCTGGTTCAGAGTTATGTTTGTGATTGAAGTAAAAAAAATAAGTACAACAGCACAAGAGCCCTAAATAACAGTTTTTACTAGCGGATGCAGTGTATGCAGAAGAGAGAATATACCACTTCACCTTTAAATGCTATAGTAATCCATATTGAACTTCTGCAATGTAGGACTGTTTGACCATATGCTGGACCGAGTAGGTAACACAACTGTACAAGCAGCTAGCTTGCTTGGGTCCCTCATTTAACAATGAAGTGAAACATACAAGTCATGTTTTACCACTATATCTATATATAAAATAAATCTACAAATAGATCCAAAATCGCCAAATACATTTTCATTTCTCTTCTTTTATACAGACAATCTTTGTTTGTTTTACCTAGTCACTTCAGGGTATTTCCTATTGCTTTCCATGTTTTTCCTATCCTTACCTTTCGATAACATCACCATGCACATTAGCTTCCTGTTTCCTCTCTATTCCATCATCAACATCAGCGGTGCCTCATTACATCAGCCTCTATACAAGGCCATTCCAGCCCCCACAACATGCTCGGATAACAAGAATAAATAAGAAAAATAAAACACGTTTCTCACTTCATTTCAGTCTCCATTCACACATTCTGTGCATCAATGCTCCTTTCCACCCAGATTATCTCTGTAATGTGCTATTCATAATAATGCTTCTACTAATTCGGTCTTCTATAGCAAATCATGTTTATGATCCACAATCAATACTAACTGCCAAGATCGCGCTCCACACCTTATGCTTCCATTTAAGGAACACTATAGCTTAATGAAACAGTTTTAGTTTTAGTATAGATCATGCCTCTCAGGTTTTACTGCTCAATTCACTGCCATTTTGGAGTTAAATCACTTTGTTTCTGCAGCCCTTGCCACACCTGCCCTGGCTGGGATTGGCACAGCCTGCATGAAAAAAAAAAAAGGGTTTCACTTTCAATCAGATATAATTTACCTTAAACAATTGTATCTCTTGCTCTGTAAATTGAACTTGAATCACATGCAGGAGCCTCTTGCAGGGTCTAGCAAGCTATTAACATAGCAGGGGATATGAAAATCTAAATTTAACAGAACTTGCAATAAAGGAAGGATAAACCTTAGATGACTCTTTACAGGAAGTGTTTAGGAAGGCTATGCAAGTCACATGCAGGGAGGTGTGACTAGGGTTCATAAACAAAGTGTCTTAACTCCTAAATGGCAGAGAATTGAGCAGTGAGGCTGCAGGGCCATGGTCTATATACCAAAACGGCTTCATTAAGCTAAAGTTGTTTTGGTGACTATAGTGTCCCTTTAAACATGTTCTTCCCTTCAACGGTTTGTTGTATACTGACGCCACAAATCCCCCTGAAAAAGCGGTTATGGCTTATCAAGTGTCCATGCTTGCAACATTTACACCGCACCACATGGTGTCGATCAATCCTGGAGACCTTAGTGCCACTGGTTGCCTATGTCCATGCACCATTGCCATAGTTGGGATACAATTTAATGTACGGCTTGTACCAGAGACAGTATTGAAACCACTTAAAAATGCAAAACCATCCCTCTCTTTTCGTCAAAATACAACAAGGACTTCCTGAAGAAAATTCATCTTTCATTAAGGTCGTGGAAGAAAGGATAGTAGAGAAAAAAATAAAAATAGGCCAGTCATAAATTACTCACAAACTGGAAAAACATTGACAAACATAACCCCACACATTTCATTAAAACTGAACTTGGCAGTATTGTATAATTGACACAGGATGGTAGGTGAACCACAACTTTTACCATTATAAAGCTGGAGGTCCTCTTCCGTCACATAGGCGTTGGCTCCCCAGACAACAAGTTTATGGATTAGTGATGGGTATCTGGCTGCTGCAATTAGTGCTGTTATGCCACCATCACTCCAGCCCAACAAAGAAAACCTCTTGAATTTGAGGGCCTACAGTAGATATACAAATAATACCAATGATGAGATATGAAAACACACACAAAAATAAAATTATTAGTACCGACTGACATAAAAATCAAAGGATAACAGATCTTTACAAATAACATCAGCTGAGAAAGCATATGAAACTATTAAGAACTGGAATGTCAGAACCTCTGCTAACCGTGGTGCTTGTCTGCTTTCACTGACATCAACAACATGGTCTCTGGTTTCCTGGTAGTTTGAGCACTGATAAATGCCGTGCTACTAAGGTTTATGTTTTTCTAACTTTCCTCTCTTTTGCATTCAGACAGGGCATTCATTCTTCATACATTAAAACTATTGCCAAATGAATGCTGTTTAGTTTCAGGGGTTGAGGGGATATTATAATACAACATTACTATAAGCATATTCTATTCTGCATCACTGGACAAGTCACATACTAATCAGCTATAATATGTATAGTACCCCCACTAGATTATATAATCATTAGATATTACAGTATCTGCTCTATTTCAGTGGGAAGATGTTATTGAAAACCCAGTATAATCATTACTCACGTTGACCTCGACCCAACTACAGTGAGGTTTGCAACCTGAAATATACCCCCTCTCCGTAAAGCACTAGGTTTAGTTACAGCGAGCAGAGGCCCCCACCCACAGTATGGCAGGTGGGGCACATGGGAGGTTTTTAAGCTCACTAAAGTTAGAAAAGTCATATTGACCCAGATAAGTAAAAAAAATTTCCTGCTGCCTGCTAGGCATTTAAGCATTCATGCCTGGAATCTAACTATCTGGGACTCGGACCTCAGCTGTCCATCCGTATTCGGTCAAGCTGAAATCCACACACATTTCTGGCTTTTTTGGCCAGAAAAACAAAATCCAGACATTGTTAAATATTCTGAACAATGTCCAAATTTCGCAGCCTGATTGGCCCTGTGCACAACTGGGTGACTTTGCCCAAGTCAGACTTTATTAAACACACTTGTTAATGTAATAAAGAGATAAAGAGACAAATGAATGAAGTGAAAATAACTTGTTACTGCATTCTAGTCTGTATCAGAGTATGTACACAAACACAAACACACACAAAGACTTAGAACATAATCCTGGCTTAAAATAAATAAAATGTTCCTTTCATTAAAATCATAAACACCATAACTTGTTAAGGTTCCATACAATGGGACAAGTAAGCTTTATAAAAAAAGAGGAGAGAGTAATGTTTTTCAACATTCACAAAAAAATGACTGCAAGATAAACCGTTAAGGAAGGGAAACAACTGTAACCTTAGGTAAAAAGAAACAATTATATCACAGAAGAAAATCTAGCACATTCTGTGGCCCACAATTAGTGTCTGAATCTTCAAGTTTTTCTAGCATTATATCCAAACACAGAGATTATATTTGACTTTAGATGGCCGCCAGCCAAATGCAGCAGACAGCAGATCACTGAACTAGAAAAGTCATCAGGACCTTGAGGCTGCAGACATGCACATTGTTTAACAATGTGGAACGCCCGCTGATTCTGTCAATTTACAAGAAATATGAAGAGCACATTAAATACGTCCACAGAGTCTGCCACAGTAACCAAAATGAAATGCAGTAAGTTTTCACATTATTTATTGTGGTCTCCAATTGCTTAAAAGCGACCCCCAGTTTGCAAGACTTCAATAGGGATGCAATGTCTTTATGGAATTCCCTAACCCAGTCTATAAGTCTTTTCAGAAGACATACGCAAAATAAATGCCATTAAATATGTTCTTCAATAGTGATTAATATAGGCTAGCAGAAAAAGTTAGACACAAAGTATCTCCAGGATAAACTCCTAAATATAGAGCTAACAATCTATCTATACTCAGTGAGCACACTTGTAGTCAGTGCCTAAAAGACATGTGCATGCCAAGACATTTTATTTCAGACGAATAATGTTTTTTTTTGGAAGATAGAAAAGGTTTCTGGACACCTGACATTTAGTTGGATGCCGGTTTGGCCCAAATTCCCCCAGCTGATTCTAGTGACAGTGGAGGGGGAAAACACTCTCTCTGTGGAGGATTCTCTATACACTTCAGTAGATAACAATAAAATGGACTGGTGAATAAATCCTAAACAAAGAAAATGGTGCTACAATCACCTTAGTGGAGCCACCAAAACCCACTAAATAAATACAAGTGACAATAAAAAGTACAAATGGTGAGAGCACTCAATATAGAACAGTAACTTGTACAGTAAAATTACCCAAACTGGATTATGATCTGCAAATAAACACAGATAGAGAGAAAAACATAGGGTAATAACGTAAGGATAAATAAAAAGACTTAACAACTGGTCTCACTCACATAAAAAGAGCCACTTAGATAGCTGGCTCAAACTTGCATGCCTTGAATAAAAACTCTTGTAGGGCTTTCACTGGGTCCTTTCTGTAGTTGTATTCCTTACACCACCAGGAAACGCAGGTTCAAGGGGTATTTATGAAATTTATTTTCAAACATAAATAAAAAACTACATATACAAAAGAAAGTCCCTTTAAGAAACAAGTCCAAAGAGCACCTGACGCGTTTCGGCAATAAGCCTTCATCCGAGGTAATTTTCGTAATCCAAAGCATGCTGTTTTATATCTCTGCTCCTCGCGCCCTTTTCCGCCACATTCGCGGCACTTTACTTCCGGGTTTGACGTCGGGACGCGTCCTGCGTCATCACGTCCCGACGTCTGACTTCACTTCCGGTTCGCCGCATATTAGGACGTATCGGGAACGTCGTAGAGGAAAAAGAGTGTCCTTCCGTTATAATGCCACTGGCATTCCATGTCCAAAAGAGCCAAATGTGCTCAAAATTCACTTAAAAGAAGGAAAAACAAAAACAAAGAAAAGAGGGGTATACAGCCCCATACACACAATAAAATAAAAAATCATATAGTTAATTACAATGAATAATACATTAGAATAGATATAATTAAAAGGATAGCCTAGGAACCTGGATAGTAAAGAAATAAAATATCAAAATGAATAATATCTAAAAATTAATAATATAATTGAATATAGAATAAAAAAACTACTATACATATAAGGATGTTAAAATATGGTATAATATATAAATGTTCATACATATTTATTAATCTCAAAATCAACGTTAAGTCCTCGTGGTGTCATCGTGTCAAGTTCAAACATCCACTTCATCTCTGCTAATCCCAAAATATACTCCTTATTACCCCCTCTCCAATGGATTTTGATTTGGTCAATACCTATAAACTCAATACCTTTGGGATCCCCATTATGGACTTGTAAAAAGTGGCTAGAGACACTATGATTAATAAATTTTCGTTGGATATTATATATGTGTTCCCTAATTCGGATTTTTAAACTACGTGTAGTTTTACCAATATATTGAAATCCGCATGGGCACGTTACCATATAAATCACATCTTTACTTGAACATGTTAAAAAAGACTTGATCTGGTATTCTCTTTTAGTAGCAGAGGATATAAATTTTGTAATTTTCTTACTTTTGTTTAGTCTAAAAGAACAACCTCTACAGGTACCACAAAAATGGAACCCTTTACTTCCCTTTAGAAAGTTGTCACCTTTCTCTATTTTTTCTTTATCTAAAAAACTTTGAGTTAAAATTTGTTTAAAATTACTTGCCCCTCTAAAAATAAATCTGGGTTTAACGTTTAAAAAAGGAAGTACATCGGGGTCTTCTTTAACTACATTCCAATGTTTTTTAATGACTTTTTGTAATAAATAGTTATTAGTGCTAAAATTGAAAATAAGGGGAATTTTTTCTCCGTCCTCTTTACTATTTTTATCTTCTAAATTATCTTTATTTTTGTATTTTAAAAGTGATTGTCTCTCCTTCTCTCCAATTTCCTTCTCAATTTTATCCAAATTTTCTTTCTTATATCCTTTTTCAATAAATTTCCTCTTTAAAATCTCTGCTTGTTTAAAAAATTCTTGTTCATCGGTACAGTTTCTTTTTAACCTTAGCAGCTGTCCCTTAGGGATATTGCTGAGCCAAGGCCTAAAGTGACAACTTTTTAAATCTATAAAACTGTTGACATCAACAGTTTTAAAAAAGGTCTTACTCTTAATAACACACTCATCTATATATATAAACAGGTCTAAAAAATTAATTTGTTCTTTACTGATTTCATAGGATAAATTGATATTATAAAAATTCTGATTAAGAGAAAGGATAAATTGTTCTAAAGACTTCCTATTCCCTTTCCATACAATAAAAATGTCATCGATGTAACGTTTATATAGGACCAGATTTGCCCTGATGTCCTCCTTAGAGAAGATATACTTTTCTTCCCAAAAGGACATAAAAAGGTTCGCATAACTCGGGGCAAATCTGGTCCCCATAGCCGTACCTAAAATTTGAAGATAAAATTTATTGTCAAACCAAAAGAAGTTATTTTTAAGGATAAAATCTATAGCTTTAATTAAAAAATCAATTTGTTGCTCATTAATATCCTTTGACTTTTCCAGATAAAATTTAGTGGCTTCACAGCCTTTTTCATGTTCGATTATCGTGTATAAACTTTTTACGTCACACGTGGCCATGATATAATCTTCTTGCCATTTAAAATTATCTAGGATTTGTAAAAGACTCATTGTGTCTTTCAAATATGCTGGACATTCAATAACTTTTTTCTGTAGAAAATAATCTATATATTGGGATAGGGGTGACAACAAAGACCCTATCCCCGAAACTATGGGTCTACCAGGCGGATTAGTAACGTCTTTATGGATCTTGGGTAGGACATAAATTACAGGTATTTTGGGGTATTTGACATCTAAAAAATCATATTCTTTTTTTGTTAAAATTCCTAAATCCAACCCATCATCTAAAAACTTTTTAAAATTTTTAAAACCACTAAGGTGATTGTAGCACCATTTTCTTTGTTTAGGATTTATTCACCAGTCCATTTTATTGTTATCTACTGTTATTAGCCACTGTTCTAGGTGAATTTTTCCTTTAATATGTCCATTGGACAGTTAAGGTCAGGTTGGCTTAAAGATTTGGAGACCAAATTCTCAGGAGAAACTATTAATAAAAATGGAAGTATTGTTAAAACCAACGATTTAGATACGATATGTTTACAATTAGAACGGCTCCTAATTAGAGAAATGAAGTTAAAATGGGAGGTTTTTATGCTAGAGAAATATACTATCCTCCAAATTACACCAAGGGGACTCAGGTTTCACAAATTGCCAACCTCTGACC